TTATCCCCCGAGGACCCAAACAGGGGTCAGTAACTAGTGCTTCACAGACCAACTCCCAGGATAAGAATTTGACGTATCAAAAGGCAGTGTTGAATAGATTCTCCGTTGAATATGGCTTGTGCTTAAAGCAGTGACAAAAACTGGCCATTCAAGCTACTTCCCGAACAGCTCTGAGCGAAAACGGCTGGTAGCGAGATTTTGCTTCTATGGTTCAGTTTACTGACCCCTGTTTGGGTCCTCGGGGGATACCTTAGGAGGTACCTAAGCAGCTAAGGTAGGTGAGTCCGTCCAGTTGGGTTGTAAGTGGGACCGGGAAGGTCCCAATCCGGTGGGTCAGTGCGATTGCATCGATTACAGCGATTGCAGCAGTAATAAGACCGGTTGTATTCCGACTCCTTCAATAAATTCCGAACAACTCAACTCCTATACGAATTTATTTTCTCTGGTCAAGCACCTCCATATATACAACACAGAGTCCGTGTCAATAATTCATTGGAAAACCCCTCTCCGAAAGTCCCCATCCCCTTTAAATAATATTTACCAAGGTACCTTACCTGATAGGTAGATACTTGGACAGCCAAGAAGATTAATTCGATGATTTTACCAACTCTAAACTCTATTCCTATTAACCGCCGCCGTGGAATCACGTTCACTTTACATGTGAACAGATGAGCGCTAACTCCCATCTATATCGGGCTTGAACCTGCCAATACTTTACCTACCTTTACTTAACATACCGTCATTATGATAACAACATATCTTCCTCCCTATTCTTAATCTTTTTAATCGACGTCTTGCGCTCGTCAGCTGTGCGCGACTAGGAGCTAAATATATCCGGATGTGAAGGGTGGGAACAGAAAAAGACTCGAGGAAATCGATGTGCTTAGAATTATTCACTATTCACGATTCAGATCTCATTAAATCATCTCTATCCACAGTCAAGTCTGGGTTTTTCAACCCTTCAACTCTCCACCCACGTGGCGAATATCCTTGTCAAATAGATCCACCGAATTAAATTATTACCTATCTGTGCGTTTAGGTTCCGCTGCGGAAGTCGTCAAAATGTCCCAAGAACGTATCTGGCATCCAAGGTCCAGCAACAGTACAGCAGCAGTCAATGAAGACAATGAAGATAATGAAGCGTCAGGTTCAACAGGTCCAACAGGTCCAACGGGTTCCACCTCAACTTACACGGTGAACATCCACAATCCCGCTGTCACGTACGGAGGATTAAATCCCGAAATTGAAGAGCATGTCCTCATTGTTAAAACCGTACCCGATCATGATCTACGCTACGGTACGGCGGACCGCCGTAAGATGCTCGGTCCCGACTTAGACGAGGATCTTGGTATTCCTCTACAGCGACGTAGTACAAGCGCGGCAAGCCGAGGTTCGTGAATCCATGCCTCCAGTCTTATATTATAAACCATAGCGGCGTCGGGGTCTTTTCTTTGGGAATCCCGAATCCCAAGGATCATTAGCTGACTGTTACCAACAGATTTGAGTCCCGCTCCTTCGTCTTTAAGCAGGAATCCCGACATATGTCCTATACTCAATCTACCTCCCGAATTAATTGACGCGATATTTTCCTGGCTTGCTCCTTTAGAGCTAGCCACCGTTTCCCGAGTCTGTCGTTCTCTACGAAATCATGCCAACTCTGATACGCAGTGGAGACGGCACGTACTATCGAATCTTCCAGTGAATCGTATCTCCTCTCCGTACCCGTGTCAAAGCTGGCGCGAGCTCTATATATCGCATGACCCATACTGGTTTCTAACGAAGCACAAGTTATGGTTTTGTGATCGCGAGTTGACCGGCCAAATAATCATCATCCGTTATGACGAACGACGAGGCTGTATTGAAGGCTATCAAATGCTCGCTACACGTAACAGGGATGGGAGTGAACCGTGGGGTGCTGACCAAGCGGTCCACATCCATTACTTCGAGCCCACGGTAAAGCTGCACCTTGACAAGCCTGTATTACAGCTGGATGTACCATCTTCATCCTTGAGACACTCTTTCTCGGAGCAGCCAATGCGCATTCATAGCGGGACAGATCCTCGATTCAGCAACTTCCTCCTGGCCAAGCCGCTTAGCAAGTCTGCCCTAGATGGCCGTATGACAGAAGATTTTCCTTACGGTTACGTCTGGCCTCCTCCTACCATTCCAGCCCGCCATCGTGTGACAGGACAACCGACGGGTGTTCATCCGCTTGCAACATCGGTAAATTACACGAGGTCGACATCGGCAATGTGGCAGCCGCATAACCGTTCGGAAGCGTCAGACCAAACCTTCCGCATTAGGCGATGGATGGAGATGGGACCACCAACTCTTGGCGTGCATGCTGCTGAGGAACTAGTAACTTACTCAACTCTTGATCCTATCTTGTATACTCCAACGGCCGAGAAACCCTGGAGAGGAATATGGGTTGGCGATTATAGCGGGCACGGCTGTGAATTCTTGTTGATCAACCAGCCCGACGACGAGATGGGGCACATGCCCTTGGAACGGCTTCAAGGCGAGACAGATTCGGAGTTTGAGCAACGTTTTCGTCACGAACGTGTGTACCGCGGGCGTCTAGAAGCAGTCAAGTTAACAGGCGACGTCAACGTACCTAGAGGCGAGTTTACTTTTGTTGCAGATGATCTAGGCGACAATGGGATGTTAGGTACTGCTAAGCAGCCACCATTCGAGGGTGCCAGAGTCGTAAGAAGCAAAGGTCACATTGCTCATATGGGATTTTCTAATGGTGAGATATCCAATCATACCATTCGTCGTATTATTTTTACTAAATCATCTGCAGATAGATATATCGAGTCGCAGCTCCTCTTGCTGTCCTACAATCGCCTAGCACAATACTGGGTTGGCTTCGGCCACATTAGCTTCTTCGAAAGAGTTGATATTGACCAATTCCTCGTACCCAAGTAGCCCTCGCTGCTACAACAAACGTATATATTATTTTCTCGAGTACATAGTCTCCTAGGAATCAGTGTGTGTTATATATTAAACCGTCACATTCTTCGGCGGTCAATCCCCATTGCTCAACCCCTTGCCTCTGTTCACACATATGTATCTACCTAGGTACCATTATATCATGATTAAGCAAATATATAGCATCATTGATAGCCTATCTATGGCATTATATCTAAACCCGAAGTTTACCTCGGTAGCTCCTAAGGTACTTCTCAGGTGGAATTCGCATATGGTAGGTCCATTAAATAAGCTATGGTCTGTGCTTTTAAACCCTGGTTTTGCCTTAGCGACGTCATCGGCCATCATCTAAATTCCAATCTAGCAAATATTACCTGTTGCGATATCGACGATGATCTACTTCTTCTCAGCTCTACTGTTTTAATTTTATAAATTGCCGTTCTTTAGAAAGACTATAAAGCGAAGCCCCGAAATTCCTTTATTACTCAAACCATCGCTATCCTTCTCTGATAACCAGCCTACTGGATCATTTAGTTTACTTATTGGCACGCGATTGCGGCAAAAAAAAAAAAAGGTCTAATCTGTCTGTTGACTTCTAAATTGAACGCTATTGATGTAGAAATAGCTCAATTTTGTTAGCCTTGCTACACCACAGAGCTGAATATTATTAGCCTGTGCTGGCCTCGAGGCTCGAGGCTTAGGGCTTATGTGAAATCGAGACAAAAATAGGCTCCGTCATGGCTGAGAAATATATCATTCAAGTAACCGCTGGGTCGGATTACGACCCGGATCGGCACGTCGTAGTTCCAGTCAACACGCACGAGCCAGTTAAGATTAGCAGTGACCTAGTCGACATTGATCTCAATGTTCGCGTGCAAAACTACCGGGGTCTGCCGAGGAATTCGCCTACCACGTCTCCTTATTTCTCCCACGAGCCTCACGCTTCCAGCAATGATCAGTACAGCATAGCAATCCGGTTTTCCCCCAAGAGGCCTTCCAACGACACATCTAGGTCGTCGTCTCCGTCTGCCGGCGAGGATGATTCTGATGAAGAACCGATAAACGGCATATCGGGGGAAGATCTCCAGTTCGGCAATGACTTCGACCATCCGATTAGAGACCGCTTACCGCCTGGTTTTAACTACGCGATGAACATCGTGAAATGGTGGATCGACCCCGGTCTCGAGGGCGACGCGTACGCGGATCAGCCGTATCTCTACGGGCCGGCGCTTTCGTCTTTCAACGCTATCCACATCGGGCCAGGGGAGTTCGATCCCGAGAAGGGCGGGCTGTGGGTCGAGGAAGGCGGCGACGAAGACGGCCTAAAAGAGCGAGAAGCCCTCGGGGTTCCGGCGGCGGCGAAGGACCGCATGAAGTGGGCCCTGAAGCCCGCGAACAAGAGCAGGTGGTTATTCCGGTACGGCAAGACTTACTGCTTGGACTTTTTCAACCCGTACCTGGATTTCAGCGAGTTTAACCTGCGATTACCTGGCTTCACTTTGCCGATCATGAAGTATTGGGACGGCGAACGTTTACGGTAAGGGAAACCCCTCCCTCTTCCCCCCCCACGTCATTGTGTGTGTTCTTTTGTTTTGGAATGGCCCTTTCTCATTCACGTCTTCCCAACCGCCATCTAGGTCCCAGCCGAAGCGCTCACACACCCTTAGATACACGCTGCGGAACCGGGCGACGGGCGAGACCTACCTGGTCGTGGTCTTCACGCTCTACCGCAAGGAAGACGTCAACGAGGACGGGTCCCTCAAGCCGGCGGCGCTGGAAGCCACGGAGCTGGATAAGGAGATGGTGAAAGAAGCGGGGAAGATACCTGACATGGAGACGACAACGACTGAGGATGTGAAGAAAGACGACGGGTACGAGGAGGCCCGCAAGAAATTTGAGGGGTTGGATGTTGGTGGTGAGGATGGTGGCGCGCGGCAGGGGAATGATAGGGTGGATTAGATTAGATGACACTTGACGGTTAGATGTTAGATAGAAGGTACATATCAAGTCCAACTACCTTAGGTACCTAGATACTCGATATATAGAAACAGAAAAACTTCATCGCTCAAATATTTCTTTCCTTCAAAGCATGACTTAAATTACGATTTTTTATCTATCATCTACCTCTCTCTAACATCCAATCTTCACTTAGTTATCAGATATGCATATCCACTACCTCCTACCTAGATCACCCTGGCTCCATCGTCAAACCCACTCGCGTTCTAGACCCGACCCGACCCTTCCCTTCTACTAAGCGCCATTCGACTCTCAGCGGTGATTGGCTGCGTTTTGTTTACACGATATATCCCGCAATACCCTCAGGGGAAAACATGCAATCTTAGTGTAATGGCTATCATTCAAGCCTTCCATCATTCGGTTGTTAGCTTGAGACCCGGGTTCGATTCCCGGAGGTTGCATCATCATCACGTCCTGCGATTCCTCATTGAGATGGGTCGGGTTTTTTTTTCGTCTGCTTTTCTTCCTTGAATAAAAGGCTACATGGTCATTACGTGTTTTTATAATATCAATCCAGTAGCTAAGAGGAAAGAATTCCCCATGTCAAACTTCTAGTGGAAGATTGAAGTGCAGTAGGTAGGTATTACCTGGGTAGGCTGAGTGAGATGAATCTAACCCACGATAGCCTCAACCGTAAGTAATCATAAAGCGTATGTTTTAGGACGGGGTTATCTGCAACATAATTTACCTCAGTTTAAAGGTTAAGATTAATTGTTAAAGTGCTCTGGATAGATATTTCGAAGAATCGTGTTCTTACTCGGAGCTCTACAGGTATTCAAGGCATAATTAATTTGGGGGTTAAATATAATATTCGGTGTTGTATATGTAATAGTTGAGACAGTCTAGTAATGTCTATCTACCAGTATCTTGGTTTCACGATTATCGTAGATAGTCCTTCATAACCAGAAGAAGACGCAAATACCCTCTTCGTTGACCTCGTTGCTGCTCTCGTCATCGTAGATCATGTCAATCAATGTGCAGGGCAACCACCCACCGAGGCTATATCTCCTTACCCCTAGCGGTTTAACAACCCGGAAAATGCGTACAATCCTCGCCGTCGCGACGCGCTGTATGAGCGCCACGTGGAGGAAATATCAGTACAGCGCATCCTTTGTGTCTTTTCAAGGTAAGATATAACCGAAGAACGTATTAGACGCTAAATCTTCTTCTTCCCAAGATGCCGTTCGCTGTCCAGATCCACGAATATCTCCTCTAGGAATATCATCAAAGAGTTCGGCAAATAGACATAAAAGCCCTTATAGGAATCATCAGATCCTTTATATGATGGCACCAGTGGATAGGTAATAGGACGACCCAGGCATTCGCGGGGCATCTTGGTTATTTACGAACCCCCAGGAAGGTCCACCATTTCTCTTAAACTTTCTACCAATGAAATCCGGCCGTACTGTAAGGACAACACCTGGATGTATCGTGCTGTGAGTGAGACCAAGAACATGTATCGGCGATGCGGTATGCGTTGGTGATGTGATGTGAGTCGGCGATAGGCATGTCATGTTTGGCGGCTTCTAATAGTAGCATGCAGCTTAGTGCTTGCTGCCTGTTGCTCATCGCTGAAATGCTTTCAGCAAGCTGTGAAAACAGGCGTGTCAAGGAAGGTAATAGAATATGAATGTGGCCCTTTGGTGAATACGATGATTAATAGTCCGTCCTATTGCAAGCAGAGCAGATTGCGACGCCTTTGTCGTCTCACCCTCGGCTGTCACTTGTGCTGATCATCAGTGCTTTCCACACTCCTGCGATCTTGTCTAAACATAATGAAGTCTTGATGCGGAGCACTTGCAACAATTCTAAGAGCGGCGTAATAAGAAGTTTCGGCTCGAATGAACGCCAGAAGCAGTGATGGAAGACTGTGCCTCTACTCTAGTTAGAATATTAGTGTTTGTGAAACTAATGGTACCTGTTGCTATTGTCATTTAGCGGTATATAGCCAATATGTTGAGCGCCATAGTGAAAGAGGCTAGGTCAGTTCCTTAAGCCATGGCTGTTTCATTCCGATATAAATGCTCTCCCTGAATATATCCAGATATTCTACTGTTGAGAATGTGTCGGGTGTATATCTGAAAATGTTTGATCTTCAGCTATTGTTTGAAGAACAGTCAACGATGGGGCTCAGGCTTGAGAGGGAGGATTGAATAGTGTTGGCAGTTTAGGGACAGCTATAATAATATGTTTAAGTGATAGCTGGAAGATATTAGTTAAACCATCACTAGTAGGTAGACCTTAGGACTGGATACTAACCCAGAGAAGTCACAATAGGCAATTGACCGGCCCATACCTCCCCACACCCAGGCCAGTGTATCAATACGAAGACACCGATCATAGATTGGAATGTGCTTTCGCAGTTAGTTCTATCGAAGACATGAATGTTAGTTCGGTCTCGGTATGGATAGTAAACCGGGACGATAACGAAATGAACTTACACGACATCGCCGTAATAAACGATGAAAATGTTCTATTATTCCATAATCCCACTCGTTCTCAACACGAAATGCAATCAAGGAAGAGTGTTGCTTAGATTGTTGAACTTGACAATTGCTTTGTTCGTAGGTGCCAAGGCCACGTTTCTGGTTTTCTTCTCGACGGCGACCCAAATCGAACATCTCATAACCAATGAGTTTATGTTATGGAGCGGAAGCGGAAATATTGTGGAATTATGGTGAATAGAGGAAGAGCCACGAAACCCCTTAAAGCCTTGAAGAAGGCTGTGAAAACCTTGTGGCGAAGGTTGATAGGAAAGGTGTGAGGTGAGTTGAATGAAGGTAGAGTGACATTGGTAGGTTCCAAGGAATAAGGAATTAATTAATTATGAGTGAGGGTTTAGTAATATACCTACCTAAGGTAGGCAGTTATGATAGAGTTGTGTCATGTGTTGGGATGATTGGTGTTGGTAGGAAAAGAAGGAAGATAGAATGAAGATGAAAAGTTGGAGAAGATGTGGTTGTGTGGCCAGATATAAATAGTCAGAAGGGTAGAATGACTTTGGCTATTGTGGAAAGAGTAGGGCACATAACCCTTTAGGCAACTACCCCCATTGCCATGGAAATTAGGGCTTTGGATGTAAGGAGAGGAAGGTGACCGCGGTGATGGTATGTGGTTGCCCATGTCCAGGATGTAGGAGCTAGAGAAAAATCAGGTAGGTACCCCTTTAGCATCTTTCCTAATTAGTTCTACCCATTCCATTACGTGGAAAGAAAGTGGAAAGAAGTGGAAAGAAAGACCCCTCCAGGTATTCTCACGATGTTCTTTATCTTTAGTAATTTGGTAACTGCACACTCTGGTTCACTTCCCTACGTTAGGTACCTGATAGGCTCATAGTGACATGGTACTTCCATGGATTAGTTCGGTAGTCCCTGGCCAGGAGGTGCCCTTCTCCTTTCCTCTCTTAATTACCTAATATCCAAGATAATAGGCCACCATACTATGTCCCTTCGTCGTGGCATGTAATGGTAAGCTTGCGTCATAAGCATGAAGCCTCATGGCACCTGATTAGGGCACTTAAGGAGCGCTCGAAAGGCATGAAGAGGTTACGGACATGTCTAGTTGCTGCTGTGATAGGAGCTGTGGAGTTTACGTAGAAGTAATGGTTATGGAATTCTACAACGTCAACCTTCCTTTTCATCTTGTCATCTAACTTAGGTGCCCGAACAATAGCCTATGACCATTAAACTTGTTGCTTGATGTGATAACTCATTAACAGAAGATGGCTTATTATGAATTTTACTACGTGTTTTGGTGATTATGATGGTCAGGAAATGCTGGTTTTCAGTCTCGGTGTCAGAGTATGAAACGTTGTTATAGAGATTTTAAGATTGATGTAATGTGTTAACTGGCATAAAAGGTATCTACCTAATGTAAACTAGGTACATATACCTACCTAAGGTAGGAGGAAGCATGTTCTAGAATAACTTCAAAATAGTTCTTTCTAGTCTTTTACAGTTACGTAACCTCAGCCTGCGTGACGAGGTAGAGTTTGGAAGGTACCCTTAGTAGGTTGAAACGGCTTTGGCCCTAAGTCTTGCTCCATGTTTCCACAAGAATATTGGGAGCGGAACTGAGAATACCAAGCCAGCTAACGCCAGCACGCTATTACCCCAGCCATACCCAAGTTTTGAATACATGCTTGGTGCAAATAATGGGAATAAGAAAGCCATCAGGCTCTTGAGGAACTGCTGTGCCGCCATAGCGCTACTCGTGTGGTCTCCATACGTGTCAATAACGTATGCCGTTACTAAAGCGTCTCAAGTTAGCGATTACTCATGGACATAGGACAGTTCAGAGAGAGAGAGTCAAGTGATAAGTGATACATACTGGGCAAGCCACCCAACTGCATACCAAACAACATAATAAACACCCCGATATCAACAATAATCCAATGAAGTCGGTACGCAGCCGTCCACCCATATATCAAAGCACCCGCCCACGTGATAATGATGGAGGGAAACATTAATGGCATTCGAGACTCTGGTGCTTGTTTATGTGCAGGTAGCCGTTTGTATAAATAGTCCATCAAAGGCGCACCGACTTGTGAGGCAGCTAATTCGCCAAGTGAACAGGCAATGTAGTGAAGTCCACTGATTTCGACTGATTGTCCATACTGAGATGTGAAAAGAGTGGAGAACGTAGAAAGAACAACATATAAAATACCATAGTTGAATCCTGATAGAACAGCTGAAACTTGGATAATAGGATGGAGGATAAGGAGGCGAAGTGGTCGTGTTAAAGTTCGCACAATGATGGCTATGGCTGATCTATCTCCGTCAATGATTTCACCTTGGGTATGGTATCGACTCTCTCCTGTTTCTTTACGAAGGCGCTGGGCACGCCGTCGGAGTATTAATGGTCCATAGGACTCGTGGAAACTAAAGAAAGAGACCAGTATCATGACGGCTTGAAATACAGACGTGGCCCAAAACATCCATCTCCAAGTAGTTCTTTCAGCCATAAAGCCGCCAATGATAGGACCTAAGATACGGAAAATTTAATTAATTCTCTTTGATGTCTTCGGGATTACAAGGGAGGCACTTACCAACGGCCGCACCTAGTAGGGGAATGATTAAATACACTCCTAGAGAACTACCTCTTTGCTCAGGCCTCCACACATCACCTAAAACACCACCAGCTAGGGAATAGATGGCGCTAGCACCAAAGCCTGCGAGGAAGCGGGCTGCAATGAGGGTGCCCTTGGTTGGGGCAAAGCCACAGACGATATTCCAAACGAGGAACCATACATTCGAAGTGTGTAAAATTACCTTTCTACCATATATTTCTGATAAGGGCCCAATAAGGGGTGGACCAAAAACGGTTGCTAAGAGATATATGGAGAGGGACATAGCGGACTCGGTAGAGCTCATATTAAGCTCATTGGCAATCGTTGACAACGCCGGGGCCATGATCGTCGAGACCATGATACGATTGAAGCCCGTGGCGGATAATACATCGGTTACCATCCATTTACGGCCTGTCGGCCAGTCCAAGGGGTTCTCGTCATCGTAAGGCTGGTCGAATGTGACGAGGAAGGGATCACGATCGTTTTTGATTGTAGTAGCCGTAGGTGTTGGGATTTTGCCTAGTTCTAGTGTAGCGGGGTCCGGGGCAGCTTCGATATCATCTTGGTTCTTTGGAGATGGAGATGCCATATCCGGAAGTCTTATAATAAATCTCTAATAGATACGAAAGGATATCTCTAATAAGAGTTGAAGTAGACCACTGTGAACTTTACGGAGGGAAAGTAAAACAAGTATCTACTAATTTTGTGAGAGAATGAGCGGTATATAAACAAGACTTGATGGGTAAGCCGAAGCCGAAGCCGACACCGAAGTTAAGGCAGCTTGACAGGCCCAAAAGAGGATCGTTGCCTGAAACAGGTACATAGTAAGTAATATATGGCGACTATAAATCGCTGGATCTAATAAGCAGTAATACACAATTGGAATATACCTAGGTAGTTGTGGATTATACACGGTAAGCGCTTGGTAGCTGCCTGGTTCCAATGTGTTGTTGATTGAGAAAAGAGAATGCCAAGCCTAATTATCAATCAGATAAGATTCTCCGATCCACAGCTTCGCATTGCCTGATTGGTGGTTGGATATAACCGAGATAACAAGGGTAACAGGGTGTGACAGGGGTAAGATTTATCAGCAGGTCAGGTGACCGCGCGGAAATGCTTTTTGCCGTTTGTACTTTGTACGGCATACCTTCTCACCCTTCAGACCCTACAGCTCGTGATAGTAAATCTGCTTCCACAAGTCCTGCTACCGTGTCCAAGGACTTCCGAGATCCTAACAGGTCCAAAAACGGAATATCCGCCTTTAACGAGTTCCAAAGCCAAGACCTAAACTCCGACGCGATCATGCTGTCCAATCCAAATTGCGCAAATGGCTTATTGGGATCAATTTGGTCCCTCGGTGTAAGCAACAAATCCGAGAATCTCTTGGTTAGGGCTCCCAATATCGCTCCCTTCAGAGAAGAAGCCTCGGCAAGTTCTGGCCGGAGAGTATTCGTAACCTCTTGGGGTAAGCCTCTCATCCACGGAGTGCTAACGATTTGATGGTCACCTTCCGAATTTCTGTTTCCGCTCGAGCCACTAGCATTGCTAGCAATCTCCAGCGATGCTGCGAGAATAGCAAGTCGTTGGTCGTCCAGAGTTGAGTTAGAAACTTCAAATCCTTGACTTATAATCTTCCGGAGATTCGCAGTTTCCAAACCAGTGAGAATATGAGCCGGCGCTACATTTTCTTGTCCCTGTCCTAAGCCGCTATAGCTACTGACGCCCCCAATCGCAATATCGGCAAGTAGGAGAACATCGTTCTCACTCAGAGGTTGAGTACCTCTCCGCAATAGCAACTCTTCAATCTTGGGGTTCTCATGAAGATAGCCAACACCAGCCACCATTCCAAGCGCGAGTGACACGGCTGTCTTGCCCTGGCTTCTCCGCCAGTGTGCAAAACTATCAAGAAATGCGTTCGCCGCAGAATAGTTGCTTTCTGTTGGTAAACCGGTGGTCCCGTTCATAGAGGAGATCATGAGGAAAAAGTCGAGACCTTCTTCATGTCCGTCAAGCGCCCTATGAATATTCCACGTACCCGCCCATTTAGGCCTTACGCTCTCATGCCAAGAGTCACTCGTCATGGCGCTAAAGAGGTCCTCGTGGAGACCCATTGCGGCTTGCATTACTCCGCCGATAGGCCCGCCTAGTTGCTTGCATGCTGCTATGGCCGCTACGACGTCGTCTATCCTTGTGACGTCGCCCTTAACCACCCTAACAGACACCCCTTCTTGTTTCAGCCAAGTCACAAACTCCTGTGCGCTCGACTTATCGCAGCCTGATCTTTGGAGGAAGACAAATTTTTTCCCACCCCGCAACTTCATCCAGCGGACTAAACTCCTCCCTAGGCCTCCAAGGGCCCCCACAAGAAGATAAACTTTCGCGGGATCGAGTATCGTAATATACTTAGGAGGCGCGACCTAAAGAGCACATGGTTAAACTAGCTGCTACAAGTGCTGACTGCACCAGGAGCAGAGTAGACTCACGGTCAGGAGACTCTTGGGGTTCTCAAACGAGACGACGATCTTCCCAATCCTATCCCTAGAAGAGAAATAACGATATGCCTGGGTAATGTTCAATACGTCAAAAGTTGTGATGGGTACGGGCTGAATCTGCTTTGAGCGATACAGCTGCAAGACTTCCTTGATCAGACTACATGGAAATTGTGGACATTAGCAGCAGGTCATCAGAAGGGAAAAGGAAGGGTTCGACTCACCTAGCTAGTAGGTTCTCATAATAATCTCCCTCTTGAAAAAACGTCTCGCTAAGGTCGAATGCAACAAAAGTCGTGCTGCGGGAGAAGATATCCATCTCCAATCTTCCATCGTCGACCAGTTCACGTTTGCCTACTTCTACAAAGCGGCCAAACTGAGCCAGACAACGCCAGCTGGCATGCATTAAATCTCCAACCAGAGAATTAATAACAACATTGACTCCTCTACCACCTGTTATCGTGTTCAACGCCTTCTCGAACGAATCATCCCGGGAACTAAAAACATGACCAGCAGGCAGGCCAAGATGATTGACTAGAAACTCACGTTTCTTATCCGAGCTAACGGTAGTATATACAACGGCACCAGCCCGTTGTGCTAGGGTTATTGCAGCAATGCCAAAAGCACCGGCACCTGAATGAATAAGGACCGACTCACCGGCGCGCAGTCGTCCACAGTCGCGAATGGCGTACAAGGCGGCGGCGTATATAGTTGGCAGCGTTGCCATCGCCGCCATATCTTCGCCCTCAAGGAGTTTATGACAGGTCCAAACAGGCACGCGTTCAATCGTTGAGGAGTGGTTAGGCCTGAGGACGACTACCCTGTCTCCTACCTTGAGGTTCTGTTCGTCTGGTCCTATTCCTGTGATCACCCCACCAAATTCAATACTCGACGTACCGGTTCTAGTTTCGACATGTCCGCTCATCGCATACACGTCCTTCGCATTCAGACTAACAACTTTCACCTCGACATCAACAAAACCTCTAGGTGTGCTCGTATGCGGATCGCAAATTTGCTGGAAATATAAGGAATCCATGTTCCCTACTTTTTCTATACATAGATTGGCCGGGCTAGCGTCAGAAAGTGTCAATTGTTTCATGGATGAACGTGTTTTCTTCGTTCGGCTCTGAAACACCGTATTGACTGTTGTGTTGGGCTCTATGCGGCTAACGTATAAGAGGCCCTTGGAAAGAACGAATTCTCTATCGTCAATTTTCTCGTGGTGCTCAAGCACCTGGAGAATACCTTGACACGATCTCCGCGCGTCGGATGATAAGACATCGATAGATCCAACGTCAAGAACTGTAAACCGAAGAGATGGCTGCTCGACCATGATAGAATGCGATATTCCTTGCACCAAAGTAAGGTCAGGGTTGGGGGTACCGATCAGGTTTGCTCCCACCAGCCAGACGATGTCTTTCACAACACTCATTAGATTATGGAGATGGGTCAGGTCTTCCTCACATATGTCGGCTAGGAATGGCCGTTCTATTTCTATCAGCGAGATACAAACCGCATTTTCGGAGATCTCTATTGCTGGAAGTTCAGCTAACGAGATGGTGCGGATCTCCTGAGTCTTGTGCGTCTGTCGTAGGTGTTCCGTTAGGCTAGAAATGAAGGCCTCTAGTGGAGGGGATACTTCTCGAACCTATCAATATTGGTGTTAAAAAGTGAGGCAAGTGCGTGTCCAAGACTACCAAGTAGGTATATACGTACGACGATGAGGACTGGTCGTCCTTTGAAGAATTCTGGCTCTTTTCTACGAATCGCCACGATGATGCGATCTTGGATATCTATTATTTGGAAGTTTGATGCCGTTAATTCTGACACGGCGCTGTCGGATTTGCGGACGATTGCAATCCCATGCTCATCGACGAGCGATATAAGATGTTTGGGTGAGTGTTTCCAGAGCTTTTCAGACGCGTTGTCCTGGAGAATGATGAGCAACCTCGATCGTTCTAATATCATGATTTGTCACTTACACTGTGTACAACGACGTCGAACCCGGGTTTTTTAATGGCGTCTGCTTTGAGATGGCCTTCCACGTCTGGCTCTGTCGTTTGCCATGACCTAAATCGTGGGAACGCGGTTCTGTCTGCTAGTAACTCTAGCCACTCGTTCTTCGTTTGCTCATTCGATCCTCCAATCTCCAAAACCCGCATCCGAGGGTTTTTATGGCCTGCCAGGTCCAATATTGCGCTGATGATATCCTTATACACGTCATCGCTTGATGATGACGGTCGATTATGAGCAAAGTTTGCAATATAAGCCTCCAGCTGAGGTACCGTTTCCGGTGTCAAGTGCATGACATCTGGCTTCCAGTTCACGTCTGTCACTGGGTATCGTTGTAAGTGAGGATTGTTAGAATCTTCGTCTTTAATTACTTTTCCTGCATACCTGGTCAATCGAACCCCCTTCATTTGAACCAGCGGTATCCCTTCTCTATTTCGTAAAGTGGTATCCGCTCTTAGACTGGAGAATCCAGTTCGCTGGGACGTGGCGCGGATGATTCCTTGCTGGTCTTCGTCTTCATCCGGAAGTGGCAATGTTTCGATGCGACACTCTGAGATAAACACTGGTACATAGGCTCGGAAAGAGTCAGGATCGCCAGATGTAGCACTTATCAGAGTAGCCTGTAGACATGCGTCGATTGTCACGGGATGCATTGCATAACGGTTGGCCGAGTCCTTTAGCATCGGGGAACTGATTTTGGCCGTGCATAGAATTTCGGGCCGTTCTTGGTCGATATCAGCTCGCACATAGGTTAATGTTTTGAAGTGCGGACCAAACGATACCCCTTCTTCGGTGAATTTCTCGTACCACTTGGCCACGTTCCAGTTCCTATACCCGCTTGGACTTGAAAACCCGTTGACTGCTGCTGTAGCTTCAGGCGGTGTGTCAGACACTCTGATACTTCCTAGACAGTGCACAGTAGCCTGCCCAGCTGTCCAAGACGATATTGTGAAATCGTATATAGCTGCCGAAGAAGTTTTGGACGATAACCTCCGCGCGGTAAGCTTCGTGTGTACCTCAACGGGCACATGTCCCAAATCATTGTCCTCGGGGACTACCATGGCAGAATTGATACTGACATTCTGTAGATCAAATGTCGTACGCTCGTGTAAGGGGCTCCCACTTGTTACTCTAGCACTAGTAACTGCTTCTATGGCCATGGCAAGATACCCCGCGGCTGGGAATACCACTAGATCCTCAATCTTGTGGTCCCGAATCCACGGCATCTCGCTCGGGCGGAGGATATTTCGCCAGCTCCAGTCGATCCCATTCCCGGAAACTTGCTGGGAGCCAAGCATTTCGTGTCTAATGAGAGATCGGTTACGCACTTCGATACTCCCACGAGGCTCAAACCATCGTAGACCGCCCGAGTAATCCCAGGGGTACGGAGGTAGATTTGGGAACAGAATACGGCTTCTACCGGGGATATGGTTAATGGCTTTCCAGTCCAGTTCATATCCGTAGGTGAATAGCCTGCCTGCTAGTTTTGCCATGCTCAGACGAGCATCCTGCTCCCTGATTAATGTCGAACTATAAGGGATGGCTTGCTCATCTAGCATCGCAGCTCTCCGAATTTGATTTATAGGACCTTTTAGTGCTGAATGAGACCCTATCTCGATGAGATGGAGTCGCTCATTTTGGATAAGATGCTTCAACGTGGAATCAAATCGGACGGGTTTCTCGAGGTTGTCCCTCCAGTACTTGGCCATTGGAATAGATGCATCGACACTTTCGGGACGATCACCTTTGTGATAGACAGTCGAGTACATCGCTGCTTTAGAGGGGCTTTCGTGGGGCTTATCCTGGAAGTACGGTTCGAGCAGTTTCTCGTATGTAGCCCCAGCATTCTTCATCCACGAAGAATGGTATGGTTGACCGCCTGTCTTCACCAATCGACAAAATGTTTTCCGGCTCAGGAGTTCTGATTGTATCTGATCAATACAATCCTTCGGCCCACTCAATGTCAAACTCTCCGGCGAATTGAAACAGGCAATACCGACTTGTCCTGTAAGCCCGCATTTTTCTATGACCTCTTCAGCCTGATTAATGCCAAATCCACAAGCAAGCATAGCACCAGAGGTGGGGTTCTCCGCTACTGAATACCCTCTGAAGTATGCGACGAGAAGAGCTTGAGATGCGCTACGCTTTGTAGTTAGCATACTGGTATATAGACGTCAACGTTGCACGGGGTTTAGGCTAGGAGAACAAACCTTAGGAGGCCTGCCGCATATGCCGCACCAATTTCGCCGGAGGAGTGGCCCAAAGTAGCAGAGGGCTGGACACCCCAGGCTTGTAAAAGGTTAACGAGGCCAACCTGCAAAGCTGTACAGACCGGTTGACTCCTCACGGCTTCGTTTATTTTGTTATCATCGGTATCTCCCCGCATCATGCCCTCCAAGGTCCAGTCGGGAGTATATGGTGGTGGAAGATTCCGCAGAACTTGATCTAGTTCTCTAATTGTGTTGAGAAAGATTGGACTGCTGTCAAGAAGTGCTCTTCCCATGCCGCTATACTGTGCTCCTTGACCGGTGAATACGAACGCGAAGCGAAGCGGGTCTCCTTCGCTGTCACGAGAATCTCCCGATAGCTCCATTGGCCAATCCTCAGGGGTTTCATCTTTGTTAGGAGTTACAAGGAATGATGTTCGGTATCTCAAATGCGACAAGCGCTCAGCTAGGGTATAGCTTAGACTTTCGATAGCCGGAACGTCGCATGACTGGGCAAGTTGTTGTATCTGACCGATACGAGTCTCCAAAGACTTTTGCGAGGAAGCCGAAATCGGCAACAATAGAGGCTGACAGGTCTCATGAAGCCCATTCTTATATGGGAGTGAAGAATCCGTATAGCTGGAAAGCGATTCGAGTATCACATGCGCGTTGGCACCCCCATAGCCAAAGGAGCTTAGGCTCACTCTTTGAGTCTTCCGTGGCCATGGGCGTGGTTCAGTCACAACTTCCATATTATGACGCTCCAATTCGACTTAACATTACAGGATCAGTCAAATGTCCTTTAAGAGAGTGGGAGAGAATTGACTAACGTTTCGGATTGAGCGTCTCAACCCCGCGAGTAGGTGGTATCAGGCCATGCTGAAAGGCCAGCAGAGCCTTGATCAGCGACGTAAGGCTGCTTGCTGCCTCGCTATGGCCGAAGCTTGGTTTCGTCTAGATATTTAGTGAAAGTTCAGTACCTAGGAAAACCACAACCTTCATATCCCGCTTTTGCTGAGAAAACATAGGAAAAGGGGTTTGTCTACTCACGCCTCCGATCAGGATAGGTTTCTCACGGCTAGAGAAGCAATTTCCTAAGGCATTTAACTCGACATGATCACCTAATTCCGTTCCGGTTCCATGGCATTCGATGTAGTCCGTGTCGGAGAAGTCGAGATTGGCGTCCTTGTACGTCTTACGGACTACAACTTCTTGGAATTCTGCGCTGGGATAAATCATTCCAGGAGTTCGACCGTTCCTAATAGCGTTCTTAGAACAATGCACCGATTTAAGCACGGCTCGAGACTTACGAGTTGACTGCCGTCCCGCGAATAATACCGTAAATGGTATCGTTGTTTCTGATGGCCGAAGAGAGGCGCTTTACGTACACGGCGTTAACGCCTTCGGCTCGCGCGTAGCCATCGGCTGAAATGTCGAAGGTGTGACACGTTGATGTGGGAGACAGCATGCCAGCCTTCATGGCTGCGATATGTGGTCCCGGAGTCAGGATCAAGTTGGAAGCAGCCACGATGGCCCCATCACAATCCCCTGCTTTCAACGCAGAAACAGCTAGATGCAAGCAGTAAATCGAAGACGAGCATGCCGTGTCAAGCGTTAAGCTATAGTTCACCGTAAGCAACCTTGCACCGGAACGCCCGTTTCCTTATCAAAAGCAAGACATGTGCACACACCTTGGACCATGAAGGTTGAATACGTGGCTAATTCGATTAGCCAGCATGGTTAGACCGTTCCCGGTGGCGTGATAGCGCCGTAATTCATCTGGGTCTCTCATCTGCATCTGGAGACTGTCTTGAGTGAAGTTACCCACGTATACTCCCGTGTTGGAGTCTGACATCTCGCTGAGAGATGTCCCAGCATTTTCGAAACACTCGAAGACTATCTCCAAGAGCTTGCGCTGCTGCGGATCCATCTGTGTTTTTTAGTAAGTATGATTCAAGCCGCTCCACTTTCTTCAGATCCGTATAAGAGGGAGATTCCGAATAGTTGAACGTACTGCATGCTGTTAGTTACTGGATGGGAAGGTTCGCTGCTATCCTTGTAATCGTAACGGCACATGGGCAGTAAGGACTTTTTTTTACTGACCATATGTAGCATCGTAGTTGTTTATGCCAAAGAATTCGTTGTCAAACTGTCTAACGTCTTCTCGAATGAAGTATCCTCCGTCCACGTTCATGACACCATGCTTCTCTCCTTTGGAGGAATAGAATCCATTGATGTTGTAACGCTCTGGAGGCACTCGCCCCTGTCCAGACTTCTTTTCCATAAGGAATTGCCACAACTCAGAAGGCGATCGAACATCGCCAGGAAGCCGACACGCTGTATCGTTGAATCATCATATGTCAGTATAGTTACTTTGGTATCAAAAGATATTGTGGGTGTAATTCGTACCCATGCCAACAACACATATTGGATCATCTTCATGGATACTTCCGCCTAACCGACCATTCTTTTGGTGGTTGGTCTCGGAGTGTCCATTAAGATACATTCTACCGCGTAGTTGTCTTTGAGGATCTATCAATGAGGGCTCACGACGCGGTTACTTGGTGGATGGTGCTCTGGGAATACTATACAGTAATATTCTTGAAATTGGGAAGCAAGTTCTCTGGATTTCAATTTCAATCATCGCTATGCCGTGATGTCTAGTATTATATAGGCATTTACAGTACACACTACGCTTGACCAGAATCCTATTATGTTCCAGATATCTTGTAACGCCAATGGGAGTAGGAATCTCTACGAGTCACGAAGGATATACCTTTGGTACCTACTACCGCAACACCACCTGGATGTAGCGTGCTGCATTAGATGAGAGGCAGCAAGCTGTGACTTCACAACACGGCTCCTCCTTCCAAACCACATGTGAAGTGCAAATAGTTCATTATCTAGGACTTTCCAATGAAGTAGCATTCGGAGGGATGGATATTGATTGGCGGGGGGTGACATTGAAGATATGTAGGTCCCTACATCATACTCCATGTTCGGTTGAGGAGAAAAACCCAGGGTTCAAACACGGTTGATTCTGCACAAGTCGTGTACCCTTGTTGGTGAATTTCCTGTCCTACCACACTCAATCACCCCCTTCCGCCTAATAGGCATCCCAATCGCAGAAACCAACCTAATTAACATGATGATACCCATTCGGTAGCCGCGTTCTTCCCAGATGAGGCCGCCTTTTCGCCTTGACTCTATGGTTCTACACTCCTAATTCTAGCGGTGAAATTTGCAGCCTTCAGTCCTCGTATGGTGTAGAGTAACGTACATGTCGAGGTCTCGGCAGACTTCGACAACTCCAACGCAATAGCCGTGCTAACATCAATATATTGATATAACCTACCTGTAAGCTCACCTCAGCCATTTTCATGCAGTGACACGAGCGGGTAGAAAGAGGTAGCGAGCTCTTGAAGATGTAGTATGCTATGCGGGCTCTATTAGGTATGTCCCCAGGTGTGATAGAGGAGCAGGTTACATCGCTCCATTATACTAAATTGGTCGATATCCATACTAGGATTAGGTTAGGTAGGTTATTTTCACGTCTTTAGATGTTCTGGTAACATATACTTGCGACTTTCTTGTGCTTGACACGGGAGGAAATACTTTTCACTTTTTGCACCCTCGTGTTGTTCTTGTTCTTGTTCTTGTCGGTTATTGGTCCAGGGATAATGTAAGCCAAGAAACCCATACTGGTCCGAAGTGCCTATCTAGGATAGAATCCTACGTTTTGACAGCCCACCGAACCAGAGTTAAAAAGCATCACGAAGTAAATAGGTTTAGTGTTACTGCGCATGTCTTGGTAAGTACGAGAAAGGCGCAGGTACATATTCTGCCAGTGCTAAGAGTTTACAACCTTTTAAAAGAGGTTAAAGCTATATTGTCGTAGGAATGCTAGCGTAAAGGCGTAAAGGCCAAACCGGGTAAATCTAGACGACAATGTCCCTGCGCCTTGTTGGTACTTGAGGACATACCCGACCTAACCTTAGTATTTTTTACACGTTACTCAAAATATCATGATACTGTACAACATGAAACACATCATCCACGCTTTTTTAGCTTAGTAACTTCTACATATGTGCGCTTGCGCCGGCGACTACTAAGTAAATAACCAACCAGTAATGAACCTTCCCTCCCCTACCTACTAGATATGTATTATAGCGCGTGAGGCCCAGGTTCCCAAGGGTGCTGCGGCTTCTTGAAATCCTTCGTGTCGTCCCCGCCAGCCACCACCTCCTTCCTCACGCTAAACTCCTTGGTAAACATGATCCCCGTCTCGGGCCCCTCATACGCCCCCGGGTGGCTCGGCTCAGGCAGCTCGGGCCCCGCCATGGTAGCGGGCTCGAGGGAGGATATGGTGGTGAGGGGCACGCTGATGTCGCCGATCTTCTGGTAGCGCTTGAACGTGTTCTGCTTCTTGCGATGCGCGGAGCGCTGCCAGCTGCGGTGGTGCTTGTACTCGGACGAGCCGTTGCTGGCTTTCTTGGTGCTGCCCCGCAGCGTCCGGAACGTGGAAAAGAGGACGGAGAGGATCCACGACCCCTTGAAGGCCGCGGGCATCGCCGGCCCCGCGAAGATGAGGAACATGCACGTCATCTCCGCGATGCACCAGAGCGATAGCGCGCCCAGCCAGTACGCCTTGTCCACTGCGAAGTAGTACTTGATCGTGTAGGCGAGTCGAGAAACTGCGGATGCGCAGGCACTGTGTTAAGTTTCGGTGTTAGTCTCTGCCGGTAAGTATTAGGTATTAGGGGATGTGCGCGGACATTTCCCCCTCCCTCCCTCCCCCCCTTCCCCTCCCCAAAAAAGGAGAAGAAAAGAAAAAAGAAAACTTACAAAAGCCCGATTGTAAAAACCAGGGAAACACCAATCTTCTTGTTTCTCGACATCTGCAGGCCCCAGATAACCCTCTGCGGAAGCACCAAAATGACGAAGTCGAGAATTATGTTGATAGTTGCCCCGGCGATGAGAATCGCGTTGATGTTGAGGCACTGGCTTCCCGGGACCAGCTGGTCCCATATGCGCTTGTGCGGGAAGCAGGAGACGTTCTCGACGACGACGGCCACGCTGTAGAACAGGATGTTCATGACTATGATGACATGGCAGATCCAGTAGAAGACGGGTCGCGATCGGTGCGGGGAGAAGATGCGGCACCACTCCTTCGGGATCGACGCTTTCATGACAATCATCGTGGCGGAGTATAGGTTTGTTCCGAGATGAACGATCTGGGATTTTAGTTAGTTAATGACTAGAAAGGACGTGCGTAGAGGTAGGTATTTTAACGATCGTGGAAATCATAGTTGTAGTGAAGGGGTTGGGGCTGAGAACTTACGTATAAATGCGTCGTCATATCCTTAACTCGGATATCCCATTGATGCACGAAAAATCCGATGATGTCGAGTAGCCAGTAAGTAACGTAGATGTACCCAACATAAGTTCCCTAAGAACAAGTCCTCCAATTAGTATACGCGGTTACCAACACCGCGGTTAAGGAGGGTGGCACGAACAAAAGCTGCCACGACCAGGTCTATCCAAGCGTTAGTTGATGTGTCCTAATCGAAAAAGAAAAACGAAAACAAAGGAAAAGAATAGTTGGATTTATCGATTCAGCGGTGCTGTACTGTCTGACACTTACAGTCTTCAAATTTTGGTGTTCTAGTACATATGAACCTGGAATACAGGCGAATGATCACGGCGAGCGTCGATACGACGAGACAGATGGTAACCGCCGCGAAGGCCATAGCCGTTTTATTCGGCGGGTCTACGAAGTTGGGGAAGACCCCTGGCGGGGGTGTCAACGCAGGTCCATTGAGTATTGCTTCTTGGTCCGCAGGCGAGAGGGTGCTGAATTGCTCCGCCGACATGTTGGTATAAGAAGGGTTATGGTAGGTATCGTATTGTGCGCAATACGAGTGAAATCCCTCTAACCTAACGTATGGCGTCTGCCGGGTGGGCGAGCAATTGATTTAGTATTAATGTGGGAAAGGGAAATGAAGAATTTGGACTCGGAAATCATGATGTATTTGAGAGGTTATCCTATTCGTAAGCCTTGGAGAGACATTTTTTAGAAACGATAACTGCTTCATCCTGTAAGAACTTGTAGGGTAGCAGTAGCCTGGGTCCTTTGCATCCCATATCTCATCCTCTAAAGATATGATTTGGTATCACCATGGTAAGATGCCGACGTAGGGCAAGACAGGTTCTGGCCACATTGGGTAACTAGTTACACAACATTTGGAGCATCATGGGGTGAAGGACTGGGGGGGGTAGTTCGGCAGGATCGGGGAGTAGATGTAGCAAACGCAACGCTGGTTCTAGACCTCTCAAGCCTATCACGGTGGCGTATCTGAAAGCCAAGGGTTCACCTTACATACTGAAACCAACTCGACTTACACGACCTTCCTCCCTTTGTGTGTTATTTCTTCCTCGTCATCTTAGGCGAGCCTCCTTCTAGTAGATGTTGAATATGCTCGCTACTCTATGCGGTTCTACTGAATTTATATCAATTAAAACACACCTAGGTACCTAGGTAATCAATCGGAACCTAGAAGAAATGGCAAGCGATGCGTTTACAGAGGACCAGTGGCGGACACTGTTTGCCCTAGTTGATTCTGTTGTTCCCTCCATAGTGGTAGGAAAACCTCAGGCTGCAACCAACAATCAGATCGCTATCACAGAAGATGAATTCAACGGCCTCTACCGGCAAGTACAGAAGAAAATAGAACGTCCGCCAACTGTTCAAGAGTTCCGTGAATATTTGTCGGCACGGCCTGTGGATAATCCCAATTTTGTCGGTGCTCTCAAGGGTACAGTTGGCTGTTTAGCTCCCACTCCAGCAAAGCAACTCGGCTTCATTCTCAGTCTCCTCGCGTATGCTATTCTGCACTTCTTTCATTACCTTATGTATCATACAAGTAGTACTTACTAACAGGCTAGATAGGTCCCGTTTGGGCAGTTTACTCAGTTCTTGGTCCTTAACGCCCCTTGCCAAGCAGTCGACGCCTGTACGCGAAGCTATCATCCAATCATGGCAACGCGCATGGCTGCCTCTCTGGCCTATAGTCGCGAGCAACTTCGTGGCCATGGGGAAAACGGCTTGGAGCGGTACGGACCCTCTCCTATTAAAGATCAGCGGATACGATCAGTACATGCAGAACACCAGAAAGTCGGAGCCTGGCCCCACGGTCGATTACAAGTTCTTGGAGTTCCATGATGGGCCCTCCAAAGGCGAGTCCATCGAAACCGACGTGCTCATCGTTGGGTCTGGCTGTGGCGGAGGCGTCTGTGCCAAAGTGCTTGCTGAAGCTGGTCATCGCGTTACTGTAGTTGACAAAGGGTATTACTTTCAGCCGAAACAACTCCCACTATCGCTAGGCACTATGTATAACTTGTTTGAAGCTGGAGGCGCATTATCGACCGTCGACGGGTCGACTTTCGTTTCTGCGGGCAGCTGCTGGGGAGGGGGCGGCACAGTCAACTGGAGCGCGAGTATTGCCACTCCGGAGGAAGTCAAGTCTGAATGGGCGGAAGAGCATGGACTGAGCTTCTTCAAAGAGGCTAGCTATGAGGAGTCTATGGACCGAGCCTGTAAGTTGATGGGAGCCACCGACTCCCAGGTGCGCCTCAACCACGGTAACAACGTCATTATCGAGGGATCTCGGAAGCTTGGTTGGCACTCTAAAGTCGTTGCGCAGAACACCGGCTCTTCGAGACACAGTTGTGGTAGCTTTTGCGCTCTTGGTTGCCGGACAAGTACCAAACAAGGCCCCGCCGTCAGCTGGCTACCAGCAGCGGCAAAGGCTGGTGCTCGGTTTGTCGAGGGGTTCGAGGTTTCGCAGATAGTTTGGGATAAAGCTGATGGGCAGAAAAAAGCCGTTGGAGTTGTCGGAACCTGGACCCCTCGCGATGGAGACGGCAACGTGCAGACCGCGAAGAACAAAATCAAGAAGCAGATTAACGTCAGAGCGAAGAAAGTCATCTTGTCTGGCGGTTCGCTCCATACCCCTCTCATTCTGTTAAGGAGTGGGCTTACGGTTAGTCGTCTTCATCCGAATGAATGGTTGGGCCGCATCATTGACACTGCATAGAACACCCATATCGGAAAGAACCTCCACCTGCACCCTAGCGGCGTTTCGGTATCGGTGTTTAAAGAAGATGTTAGGGGATGGGAAGGTGAGTTTGAAGTCTAGCAAAAAGATTAAACTGATTATTGTTCAGATGAAATATTGACGACCCTTATGTACGAATATCAAAACCTTGACGGGAAGGGCCATGGCGTTCGCGTCGAAATAGCGAATATGCTTGTAAGTGGGACCCTTCTACTTGTTATTTATCGTAAGGCTGTATCTAATGTCGGGTCTTATAGCCGTTCATGTCCATGCTTCAAATACCATGGAACAGTGGATTGCAGTACAAGATGGATGCCCTAGGTTTCCGACAGATGAACAACTTCCTCTCCCTCGCGCGCGACCGCGACACAGGCTCGGTATACCCAGATGTCGATGGGAGCCCTACTGTTGCTTATACGCCTTCAAAATTCGATCGTGCTAGCATACAGGCTGGAGTGGTTGCCGCTGCGAAGCTCAGTTACATCCAGGGGGCTGTCGAACTGATCCCGCCGGTCCGCAGCATCCCGATCTTCAAAAGCGATAAACCAGCTAGTGAAAGGAAGATAGGCGATACTGAATTTAGTAGTTGGATCCAGCAGCTCGAACAAGCCGACTTCAGTCAGGCGGTGCTGGTGTCTGGACATCAGATGGGTTCGTGCCGGATGAGCGCGACCAAAGAACGGGGTGTGGTCGACCAATACGGTAAGGTGTGGGATACTGATAACCTACACATTGCGGATGCAAGCGTATTTCCGTCGGCGAGCGGAGTGAATCCCATGATCACTATAATGGCCATCTCGGATCGCATCGCTAGGGGCGTTGCAGCTAGTCTGGGATGAAGGACTTCGAAATCACATCACCAAGGTTAGAGCCTCGGATGCAACAATATGAGGTACGTATCTTAGGGGGTATGTACCTACATAAAAATTGGGAAGTAATTTCATAGCCTTATTTGTATTGTTCGTAGGAGATTTGGGAGAACATTTCTACCTCATCAGTACGACTTCCCTATGCGTGTTGTTACAAATGCTATACTTTGCCTACGAACCTTGAATCTTCATAGCATAGCTGCTCCGACAGTTGCTCGATAGGTATGATCTCATAGAGAAGGTGGTTGGTTGAATGAAACGAAAATAAATAAAATCAATGTGACGGCAAACCGCCAAGTTAATAGTTGACACACCCCAGGGGGCGTATTATACGCATACATACAGGGATGTACATACTGTAGTACCAGGTAGGAAACACACCCTTATTAAATCCGTTTTTTCTTTTCCCTAAAATTTACGATAAGCCTTAGGTACTTGCTCTTTTCACTGACATTTCATCATTGTCTGGTATCAAGGCAGTCATGAAAAGAAATGCATTGTAACCAGTTGGCATTAATTGATATTACTGCTAACGTAAGGGGGGACACACTTGTCAGCACGGCAATGTACGAGCCGTAACGCCATCATGTAGGTTATTGATCGTTCGAACGAATCCTTTGGCTTGGCTGGTCTCTAGGTACATGGTACATACCTGCATACCGAATGTATAGAAGCTCCGGTTTATATTTATGTCAGATATCAGGTCAAGCACAAGACTCATTCTGGTTGTAGTTACGAACTTCGCATTCGCGAGGCAAAACGAAAAGAAGAAAAAAGTCCTGAAGGCTATATAATGCGACACAAGGTTGGTACTGTAACACTTTCTCTTCTCGAAAAAATGAAGAATGGCCCCCACCTTCGGTGCTCCCTCGATCGATTCGTAGAGATTTATTATCGTGTGGTTACCTGAAGGATTCAGCCCCTTGACACGGGAAACGGGAGGCATGCCGAGAATTGGAGCGCGCATAAACACTAAATGGAGGCCAGGATGGGAATCCTTTTATATCGCTAACAAATGATATCGTATGTTCTTAAAAACCTACTTGCTACAGTTTTCCAGAATATGAGTTTCCAAATCCGATTGGTTCGATCTCTTGTATTGTTCTTAATATGATATTAGACATAAGGCTGCTTAATTGAACATTTTAATCGGAATGATGCTATTATCGAAGCCCCTTTCCAATGTTCCCGTCAGTGTAAAATCGGGTCAATTCTTTTGGTTAGCGTTGCGATGATCAACGGCTTTTGAATTAGGTAGAAGTTTCTATTTTGCCTCGGAATGAACACGGCTAGTAGTGAGATTCAGCCCTATATCCTTCCCGCTAGCCCACCCTGCGCTCGACACTATGCGGGCGCCTCCCCGCGCCAAGTAATGTGTAAGTTATCTTGTCTCGTCTTATCTTGCTTTGTCTGCCCTTCTGATAAAGGTATCTTGGCATAAAACGAGATATATAATACGTGATAGTATAATAGGAACCAGTTTGCGCCTGCAGACGATAAGTAAAGTGAATAATCAAGTATTTAACTGGCTTTGACTCGGTAAGTAAAGGATGCTATTCTCTCAGCGATCTTGTTTTTTTTAACTGGGAGATCCCATTTTAGGTATACGTTAGGTACTTGATGGATGACTGATCAGATCTCTTAAAATATCTTGCTGGCTCCAGACAACTACATTTACCGATGCCCCCTCGTTGCCAGCGCCTCCGCGTCTTGCTGGATTGTTGTGATATTAGCGAGATTTCAGCTGGTATCCCTCGCCCTATATTGCCGAAAAGAGCGACAATGAGAGCCTCTAACGTAACGTTAAGCTGGGCTATAAATTGGCGTCTTTTGAATAAGGTAAACATTATAGCCGAGAAGCCTCGCTACCGTTGCCAGTCTTGTTCTGATGGCAACATTTTTGTGAGGGGAGAGAAGATACAGGATGCCACTGGTTGTCATGTATGGAATGAGTTTCAGGAATCATGTAACTCCCTCGGACGTGCTTAGAGGGGTTGGCGCTAATGGATCACCATGCTACACACTTGCTATTGTCCCTATTATTCACTCTACGTACGACATACATCGCGGGATCCATCTAACAGTTGTGCTGGCAGATTATGACTGGGTACGCAACCCTTTCCTCCCTTACTTCAAAAAAAAAAAAAAAAAAAAAAAAACACTCGCTTGATTGTCATATCACCAATCACATCACAATAACTCCGCGAAGATATTATTAGCCAGAGTTGGATTAGAAGGCAACGGCTATGGTTATTAATGAGCGCTAGGGGTGAATGTAGTCCTCCCCGACAAGTACGCAATAATGCCTAGCCGCTCCACACAGGAGGGCCCGGAGGAACATAAGAGTCTGGCTGGATAGTACCCAAGTTCACCAAGATACCAGGATCGTTGGTTTTGTAGGCTCCCGGAAACGCGACGAGAGGGCCAGGTGTTCCGCTGCCACCCCCGGTGATCTTGATCTGTGTGCACGCGAGGTAGAACTGCGCTCCGTTCGCTTGCATCGCCATGTGCAGAGCTATCTGGTCCACGCGAAGCAGATACTCTCCATCGGGCGTAGCAGCGGGGATGGTCGCGTTCGTCAAGACGTACTCATCTAATTAAATCGGTTAGCTAAGTCCCTACTTGACATTTCGTTAGTAGCCGCAACTTACTCTGCGCAGGCCAGGTCAGTTGCTTATTCTTGTCCATGGTTGGCTTCGTCGTGTGGATCTTAAACCAGACGTTGCCAGAACCATCCCAGTTCGAGGCACTCTTGCCTGCGGGAACCTTGGCTAGATAATACTGGGTAGGCCCTGGGTGGTTCACCTGTTGCGTCGAAATGTAGTGGATCGTCGAGCCGGCGGGCACGGTTATGATGTTGGCTGCATTCTGCGACGAGTAGCAGCGAATATCAGGACTCGTTGCGCTCAAGACACCCGTCTTGCTCTCGGCATTCTTGGTCCTGCGTGTGGCAGACCAGTCCGCTTCCTCTGATTTTCCATTGATGACAAGTCGCGGAAATGTGTCTTAGATACTTGTTAGAATGGGCGGATGATTAAAGAAAGGATGAGTGCCTAACTTACAGTGAGCCTGCACCGCCGTAGCAGCGATCAAGAGAGTCGTGAGGAGCTGCATTTTTGCCGCTTATAAGATGAAGACGAAGGGAACGCGAAGAAATCTAACTGCCTTGATTAAGACAGAAGATAGTTATATTATACTTTAGGCCACGGCTCATCCTGGTCTTAATCTTCTCAGGTAAAAGTCATGGGACATAGTGGTATTACCGTGATGTATATTTAGTCATGCTTATTTGACCTCTATCCTCTACGAGCAGTAACGGACCTCGCCTCCATATAGCTAACAACATTCTTTTTCTAACCTATGGGCTCACCTACGGCTAATATGTCATCTTGTCTGGGGTGCATCACTTTATGCCTCCCCAGATTATTATCTCGGCAGTGAAGGGAAAATTGCGGGGAAAGCCCAACGAGATTCAAGTTACCCTAATGGCCGCTGTGTAAGTTGCATACACAAAGAAATACCAGGAGTATAACTTCTTATCCATTTAGACAGAACTGCGAATACGGCGCGCCTTATGTCAGATATCCACCGAAAATAGAAGTATCGGAAGCGAACCATCTACATTTCTGTGCACAAACACGGCCGAGACCCACACCTCTACCGAGCGGGACCGGACCTTTCCGGGTCAGAATGGGACACGGAAAGGAGTGGAGCCAGAATGAAACGGCGCACTTCCGATATCTTATCGCAGCCAGTGTGATTCCCTAGAAAAGTGGTGACATCGTTGTTGTTGTATTATTAGGATTACAGGATTAAGATCTAGCTATTGTTTATATATGCGTAGATGCAGGTAGCGACTGCCTCTTTACAAAATGGTTGCCTGGGTTGCTGGGGATCCACACCAGTACCCAACAAATGAATAATTGTCATAAAACGATGTGTGCTCACTGTACTTACTACTGATACTATTTTGGGTAGGTACCTGTTATTTCTTACAACGGGGTATGATCGCACTTTATACCGCAGAAGTCCTGCACGTCAAGAATGTGGGATCCTAATAGCAGCGGCGAAATCGCGCTATGGCGATGATTGAAGGTAGAGAGAGCAAACATACCGCTTCAACAACTCGAAACGACTCACGTCGAATGACAATGGCATACTAAATGAGTGGCCTAGTGATAAAAATAGCTTCCCCACATCCAGTCGAACATGCCTTGGGGGTAATCATACTGACCGGCTAAACTCTCGATATCACCCTAGAGGGTCTAGCCGCTTAGACGTCCAAAGATCCTAGTGCGTGGCCTTTTCATCGTAATCTACCTAGGTAGGTTTCAAGCATATGGGCTATTTCTTGTTCAGCTAGAGCGGTGGGAAACTCTCAATCTGTTGTGGAAAAAAGACAAAATATAAAATGCAATAGCCTTAGGTAGATATAGGAGAGAGACGACTACAAACGAAGGGAAAGAAAACGAAGAAACATTACGAGTGAGCTTAGGTTACCTAAGTTTTAAGACATACTACGAGATCTTTGATTGATGAGCCTAGCCTCAAGGATATGTGGACAATGCTACCAAAAACACCCGGTTACCTGCCTCGGAGCAGCGGCAATATCGACGTACGGCAAAGAGACCGAAGTTCCAGGATAAGCCGATGTGACCACGTCGCTAGATACGCGTAGAATCATATATAATTATCGCTCCGTTGCCTTCATGTGTTGTACTCATTTTACGCACTCGCTCCTACAATCCATTATATACCCAAGCCCAATTCCTAAAGGCCTGTTGCCCAACATGCCCTCCCGCAAGCGCGCAGCCGTCATTGGTGCAATCGCTCTCCCATGGCTCGTAGCGGCGATCCCAGCAGCACCAGCTCCAGCTGCAGCGCTGACGGCAGCAGCCGAATGCGCGCCGCTCCCGTCGGCAGGTAAGTATCCCACGTGGGACAAGCTCCCGAAGCAGACCACGCTACCGGACCCGTGGCTACCGCTCGCCTACACGACGACCGATAGCGAGGGCGGAAGCTCGCCGTCTTTCGCCTCCGACGTGATGACCGGCAAGGGAAAGAACCGCATCCAGACGCCCGAGGAATGGTACCGATGCAGACAGCCCGAGATCCTGCAAATGTTACAGGAATACCAGTAGGTCAAGCAAGAGAGAGGAAGCCAGGCTCTGCCGAGGAGGAAAAATATATCCCAAGTACCATCAAGCCCTAACGCCCAAGGCTCGCAGATACGGCTACTACCCCGACCACTCGAAAGAAACGGTCAAAGCGACGCGCAGCGGCAACACGGTGAACATCGAAGTGACGGCGGGCGGCAAGACCGGCAAGTTCAGCGCGACCCTGGCGCTCCCGCCGTCGTCGTCGCCGGCTAAGCCCGCGCCCGTCGTCATCAACATCGGCGGCATGACCAACCAGCCGTACCTGCAGGCGGGCATCGCCGTCGTCGGCTTCGACTACTCGCGCGTCGCCGCCGACAGCAACGCCAAGACGGGCGCGTTCTGGGATATCTACAACGGGAGGGATATCGGTAAGTCAGTCAGTCGATCGATTGGAATCGAAAGATCAATATGACAAAACCGCAATAACGACCACAATATTAACCCTCCCCTCCTCCTCCCCCACAGGCGTCCTCACAGCATGGGCATGGGGCTTCCACCGGGTCCTCGACGCGCTCAACGCGACGGTGGCGGAAATCGACAGCTCCCGGGTGGGGGTGACGGGGTGCTCGCGGCTGGGCAAAGCGGCGCTAGCAGCGGGGCTGCTGGACGCGCGCATCACGTTGACGATGCCGATGAGCAGCGGCGTGCAGGGGCTGGGCCCGTACCGGTACCACGGGCTGAGCGGGCAGGACGAGACGCTGGAGAACAGCAAGAGCGGCGCCGGCTGGTGGACCGACAAGGCCCTCGGCACCTTCGTCGGCCACGCCGAGAACCTGCCCTACGACGCCCACACCATCGCCGCCGCCATCGCCCCCCGCGCCCTCGTCATCGACCAGGGCACCGGCGACCAGTTCACCAACTCCAAGGGCACCTCCGTCGTCGTGTACCCCGCCGCGAAGCTCGTGTACAGCTGGCTCGGCGTGCCGGACCAGATCGCCATGTCGGTTCGTGGAGGCGGGCATTGCGATATGAGCGGGTTGTAAGTGTGAACAGACGGATTCTATTTTTTTTCCTTTCTTTTTTTTCCTTTCTTTTTTTCCCTGACTCAATTTGCTTGCTGATTTCGACCCATCCGATTTCATTCTGCCTTGTCTTGGTAACTAACTCCGATTATAGTAACAGCGTTCTGCCCTTCGTCACCAAAATCCTCCAAAACCAGACCATCACCAAGGACTACGATGACCTCGGCAGCTACGGCTCTCCAATGTCGACAACTTATCCCTGGGCGACGGCAGTACCCAAAGCGGCCTAGATTTACGTGGAATCAGCAGAACATTAGGCACCTTGCCTACCTCCTAGGTATATATCAGGGCTCTCGTGTGTATAGAAAGACAAGACCAGACTAGTGAAAGACAATCTCCTGAAATTAATAATAGCTCCAGGAACTTTTGTATGTGACCATGACGCCTCCAGTATTAGACTTGACCTCATATCAATATCTATGTATGACAATATCCCGTCTACCTAGTAGCCATCTATATCACTCGCTTTGTCTCAGAACGTCATTATCCGAAAACGCCATGTTTTTACAATTAGAGATTCGTTCATAAAATTCAGGCGAAAGCACCGACAAGAGCCATGAGCGTAGCACCCGCCAGTACGGCCAAGGCGGCATTTCTTCTCTTCTTCCCATTCAAAGTCTCGTAACTCTTCTCCGTAAGAAAGTCTTCGGAAAGCAGCTGCACTAGACCCGCAAACAGCAGAAGGCCGCTGGAGATGGCATTCATAAAGCCGACCATGAGCAAACCCGTCTGACTGCGCGGGTCGTACAGCCTATGCACGGCGAGTCCGATGGCTTGTCCGAAAGGAGTAGTAAGCCCAAATGCCAAAACCATCAGCCAGGGACGTAAGGATGCGCGCGGCAATTGAATTGCGGCAATTCGGGATCCTAGGGCAAGTCCTTCAAAAGTCTGGTGGAATGCGATGGCGATCAAGAAAACCACAAAAGGAGGCCCCGTAGCGACTGATACTGCCATGCCAATGAAGATGCTGTGGAATAGAATTCCAGCCTCTAGCAACATGCACTGAAGCATCAGTCGTTTCTGCTCTTCAGGTGTAGGCGGGCCTTGAGATACGGCAGATTCGGAATGATGTCTTGTACGAACACTTCCATTAGGACGGGCAAGAGGCTGTGAATCTTCTTCCGCAGTAGGTTCAAGCTCATTGAGATTAAGATCAAGATCATCGTTATCGTCATCGTCTGAGTCGTCGTTGTGTCCGTCGTATCCGTTGTCGTTACCGTCAAAGGGCTTCTTATCCGGCGGCGATACGACGATAGGCGTGGATTCCGGCAGTGGGGAAACATCTTCCATAAGACTTCTACTAGCGCTCATGTCACCAAGCGTAATACCCGCGGGCCTATGGCTGCCGACTCTTCTTGCCGACAACCCACCATTAGTCGCGGCATTCTTGCCCTCCTCTTCCGCTTCTTCGTCATCCGAGCTCCACCCATGGTTGTGCGAGTGCGAGTGACCAGCGCCCCGAGTCGTCAGGTACGATTCCAAAGCCACAACAACCAAAACCGAGACCATAGCTACCAACCCCGCCATGGGTTGGTATCCTTCACTGAAAGCATAAGGGAGACAGGGGTCGGTCAAAGACATAAAAGCAGTCGGAAGAAGGTGGACAAAGGCAGTTGCAAGTAGGACGCCTGTGCCGAAGTGTTGGCTAAGAAATACGATCGTATGGGCTCGACGGCTCTTGGAGGATTGGCGAGAGAAGAGGGGAAAGCCGCATGCTACAGGTTTTCCAGTCAGTACCTAATGCCCAAGATATGCCTAAGGTATGGAATGACAGCTAGAAATTTGGGATTGTACCAAGTGTGCTTAGCGTAAGTATTAGGAATAAGGCAAAGACGTGAAGCGCAGTATTGTACGCGCCTCTCTCGCCCGATCCACAGACTGGCTTTTCGGCATCGGAGGTAGAACTACCAGATCCATGCTGTCTTTTCGAGAGTTCGGCAAGAAGTAAGTGAGTTGGAATAGAGGCCCAAGAGATATCTAAAGCGAGTACAAGTTAGCAGCAGGTTAGTTGGTCGAGGGTGAAATTCAAAATGCCATATTGCTTATTACTTATTGCTGGCAGTTTGACTTGATTGCATCCGTACCTCGCGGATTAAATACATCCATTGTGGAAAAATACGAAGTATAAATCAACTCATAGGAAATTGAGATTGAGTTTATGCAGCGGTAGCATGGTTAAACTTAGCGACGCCGAAATTTCCTATGAAGTTGTAACGTTCAAGCGAGCCGGCGCGAACTTTAGGACAAGGGAAGTTTTTGTAAGTTTGTAAGTTTGTAAGTTACCTTCATTGTTCAAATCTTCCCTTGATTTGAATTGGGGACAACTTTCCGCGTGGTAAGCTGCAATGCGCTAAAATTAACGTCACTGCCTCGGAATCTCAGATACCTACCAGGTAGGTACCTAACCTAGCAAGCCTAGCAAGCCTTAGAGCGGTTCCGAGGTATCTGACGTAGGTACCTACCTAGATCGGACGCTTTTGCCGACATCTCACTTTATCTTTTACATGCATACCTCAAAGACCCATCCGTTCAGCCGTTCTAAAAACATACCTCCTACCTCCTAGGTACATACATCTCATCTATACGCCTGCGAACCTTCAAAAAGTCTTATAGTATCTCATGCAATTAATGCTGTCAATCATAGGTGCTCTTATTTCATATCATCAAGCTCCTTTACCTCGTGTATCGTTCGTTACGTTATCCAAATTTAATATCCGCCTTCCTTCGAGGCTTAAGCATCTTGGCTCTCAATCTGGCTCATCTTCTCCACCATCTTCTTGGCGGCATCGATTGTCTCTTGTCTCACCACCTTGTTAAGGCCAGACACCCATTCCGCCCTCTCTTTCCACAGCTTCCATCTACCCCAGCTAAACCCAGGCTTACCCGACCATAAGCCCTCGCTTGGGTCGAGATTAAAACTCTCTTCGCTGTTGTAGATTACCTCACCGGCGTGAAGAATCCATTGTGCCGCGATAGGCACGTTGGAGTTCAACAGTCTAACGTCGTCTCCCTTAACGGTTGACCCTGCAGCCGGAGTCTGCTCAAAGGCAGCGTAGAAGTCATTTACTGCCGGCGACAGAAAATCGTTGGCATCGACAAGCTGTGATGCACACAGCTGAGCTGTGAAAGCAGTCACTGCTACATGCTCCTCGGAATACGCCAATTCATCCCCTAGCGAGTGTTAATTCTCTGCAGATAAGAGCGAGCTCGAGAGTTATTACTTACGATTATAGACGTTCTCTCCCCATACTTCGGCCAGTTTGGGAAGTTCAGGCCACTTGACAGCTGTTTCTCCCTTGATTACGACGTCTGGAAGTTGTCGAATAGCATCTACCAGTTTGACCAACTTGAAAAAGTTAGAGTAAGTAAGAAAAGAAAAAAAGAAAAGAGAAACTAGCAATCTCAGGTTTCCCTAGAGATGATAACAGTTTTTACCTTGACATGATGCTCGGGGAACTTCTTTGCTGTCTCTTGGAGCAGCATCCAGATTCCCCATAGCGATCCGTTAGCCTTATCGGCACTACGAGCTGCAGCGACATCGCTTGTAAATCTCGTAGCCGCCTCCTCGGGGTTGATCTTTTCTTGGAGAAGCTCGCGAAGAGCATTCGCCCTATCGAGGGTTAGCCAGCCTTAATTAGAGGTAGAGAGAAAAATAGATAGCAAAAGCTCACTCGTTTCGCGACGGGCCCCATCGATCTGCGATCTGCTTTTCAAAGAATGAATCGATTGAGGGTGCCATTTTACAAAAGGTTTTTGGTGTCGGATACTTGATAATAGTTTGGGGTTTGCGATTAGAATAACAAAACGTCTTGGAAACGCAAGAAACTGTAGACCGGGGTTGCTTAAGAAGGGAAACCCTACAAAGGCTGTTGAACAGCTTAGCAATTGCGGTTCTTTTGAGATGAGCATCAGCATGCATACGATAAAAGCTGTGATACCTAATATTACACTTGTACGCTATGCATCACTCTCGTGCGGCATTGCTAGAAAAAAGAAAGGATTCGTAGGATGTAGATTAGAGGAGCATGATATCAGCGCTTGAATAAGGCGGTGTTTAGGCCTTATTGACGGTTTATTAACAAACGAATGTTCTAACGCAAAAGTACTTGCGCTAACCTCGAGTTATGTAGGGCTTTTCGATTATGTGTTACACGGCTGAGCCTCCTGATCCGTAACAGGCTAGGCAAAGGAGCTACATAGGGGAAAGGAAAGTTTGTGATAAATTAATATAGTGGACAGTGACTTAGGTACATCGAAGAAATCAATTAAGCTCCTTCCCTTTCCATCACCCCGCGCCATCATCTAGCCTTATAACTATTTTTAATCCTTCGTACAAGGTTTTTCAACTTTTTATACGGGTACGGATGGTATAAATGACATCAGCCAATGAAATGTCCGGTATAATCCAACTTAATAATATGCAAAACATATGCATGGGCAATTATATTATACAACCTGGCATAGGATCCGTCGTCAAACGTCGATCCAATCGTAGCTTTTCATTGGCCGTTCACTCAAGAAGATTCTATTTTGGTAATTCAGCTGAGTAGAATGGAACATGTTCCAAGCAGGTGGTAATATGATTCCAAGAGGCTCAAAGAAGAAGATGAAGTGACCTGGCTATTCGACATGTATTATATATAAAGGTCGTTCATCGACGCCTCATCCTATCCTACATCATCACTCACCACCACCAACCAACCAGCCAACAGCCACTACTCAAAGGGGCTTTTTCCTTCTTTTTTCTTATTCGTCAATCATTTATCCAGATCAATTACATTCTTTTTTTTTCTTGGAACAGAAAGCATCTTCCAACATGAAGCCAGTCTCATTCATTACCGCCGCTCTTTTCTTCTCCCTAGGGCACTCCCTAGTCGTTCCGGTCGAGGACATCAAGGAGATTAAGGACATCGAAGACTCGATCGACCTGAGCGGGATCGAGGACATCCTCGAGGACCGCTCGCTCGAGGACCGGGCCGTGCGCCCCAAGTTCACGTACGTCGGGTTCCCGCGCAGCGCGACGTGCGCGAAGCAAAAGTACACCAAGGGGCAGATCCACGACGCCGGGGACCAGGCGGGCAAGCTGCAAACGCGCAGCAAGCAGCTCGGCAAGGGCAAGTACCCGCACGTGTACCACAACCGCGGGCGCGAGATCAAGAACTTCGAGAAGAAGTGCAGCGGCCCCCTGTACGAGTTCCCCATCCTCCAGAACCACAAGGTCTACCTCGGCACCAACCCCGACGACCCGGGCCCGGACCGCGTCGTCGTCAACGTCTCCAAGAAGAACAAGAAGACCGGCAAGGTCGACATCACCTTCTGCGGCCTCATGACCCACACCGGCGCCAAGAACAGGGGCGCCTTCGTCCAGTGCCGCTGGTAATGAACCGCCTAAGCGCACTTCATCGCCTGCTGTTGGTCGGGCGCGGGATAAAATAGGGGCGGCTTGCAGGGACAGGCACGTATAGCATCATGTCAGGAACGATGTACTTCACTTAACTTTCAAGACGGAACCTATCAGGGATAGGAACACTTTTTTTGAGCATTTCTTCATTCACCCAGGCGGTTGGTGGTTTTTTCTTGGTGGCACAGACGGCATTCGGCATTAAGCATTTCTCCTGGCGGTCACGAGCAACTAACACCGGGGGGGGAAAGGCATTTGCATTATGAGATAGAGGGCTCGGACGCACGTAGCTTAACATACTTAGCATCGGGACAGGCGTTGATACAATTTACTCTCCATAAAGACTTTCTTTTTTTTATCGACGATTTTGAAATGTGAATAACTGTCGGTATTAGACTCTTGAGCTTTTGATGTTACTACTTTTCTCGTAAATTGCCCATACACTGCACGAACGGAAAGGGGTAGTATCTCAGGTGTAAGATCGTCTTCGATTGGCGTTGATGTCCGATGAACGGAAGCAGCTTATACCATCGTCGTCCATATTATCGCTGTTGTCAGTTTATGCACATGAGCAGCATACTACCCGAAGACCATATGGAGAAACGTTCCTATGTATTGCGCTTCAGTAGTCACCTTCGATGCGCCATCGATAGGCATATCTAGCCTCGTCGTAAAATATGATGTGAGATTGCTAATAATAAATTCTACTACACGCTATGTGTTGTGTTAGTGTACGGCACTTTCATATTTATGGTCTTAGGGTATCCCTAACAGATATGATATGAGTACCTAATATTAACCGCGCTTCTATACACTCCGGCTAGTGAAAAACTCCATGTATGAACTACTAAAAGAGTCAAAGAAAGCCGTCAATTTCAATTAATGCATATCCTCAGCGTAAATTATCCCTGCCCTGGGTATTTTTCCCTATGTATCAACACCAACTTAGGCTCCTCTGTCCTCTCGTCATACCCGCAGATCCCGTTAGCTCCGGCGGCGGCAGTAGTACCGGAACGAGTAACTTACGTATATGATCACTCGGAAGCTAGGCAACGATTTGCTTACTCCGAAAGTCGCGAATATTGTCGCCTACCTATCTTTAACCCCATGTTTTATCCCATTCTTCGAAGTGGGACTCTACAGAAGAAGTACGCCTTTTTTTTCTTTCTGATTGTTTAGTCGTCTTAGGACGGGAACGCTACCAACTGTAAGTCGGAGCTGTATTCAATTTGAATATGTTTCGCCGATATCAACCGTGGGAAGTTAAGGCCTCTAAATGAGTTTATGAGATAAATAAACTCGATACTGTCATCTCCATAGATGTAGGTGCCATCCGTAAATCCACCGTTACCTAAGTCAATCAACCTGTCAGGGGTATGATGCATATAAGGAGCACGCTGCTCCCTCGAAGGTCTCTCAAGGGGCAAGAGCTAGTAGATCACTACTCTACACTGTATACTTTATACTCTCTACGTGCTACTGTCTCTAGTATTCACTCTATGTACGACATACGTAACGTGATCTCTTTAACACAACTACTGCAAGTTAGCAATAGTCTAGTAGTTGAACTTATTCATCCTACTTAAAAGTTTCACTTGACCATTATATCATATGAGCTTTTGGAAGTTCTGGATGTATTCACTCTAGGAGGACATCTAGGAATGTTATGTTGGGTACGGAGAGACACTCAATGATATTTTTGGTTCGAAAATATATAGGGAAGAATAAAATTATGATCAAGAAATTGGTACATTTAATCCCAGGGCTGATTCTATATTCCGGGCAGTATAACCATTTGCCCTAGAGCGGATGGACATCATAGCATGACAGGTATGTACCTAGATAATGACTATCCAAACATTGAATGCGATACTAAATAGGAGGCCCATATTCAATTCATAGATAAAACTTCTTTACGATAGTTGAGCCACGTAAGGTTATGTTTAGTTATATTTATCTTCTTTTTTGTGTTAGGGACTATTCATTGTGAATATAGGTATTGAAAGCGGTGTAAATACCAACATTATTAATACTCTATGATCGTATTCATATATTCATCACTTATTCTTTTAGACAATGATCAATAAACAATGCATATCTACATCCTGACCATGTGGACTGGAAGCGGATGAGCTTAGGCTAAGGTTCAACCTTGGGTTCCTGCCAAGGAACGGCTGAATGAGACTTGAATCAAAGCCGACATAGATGCAAGCAATAGCTTTATATATGCAGGTACCTTGATAACTGTTATAGAATCTACCAATTCATGGCGGGCACTGTAAGAGCGCAATTGGCTAGTTGTTTGGTCTTATATTGGAGGGTTTGAGGGTAAATAGTTGAATTGAAGAGAAAGAGACAAATGTAATAACAAAGGGAATCAAAAACTTCTCAGCGCACAGGCCACCCTATATTAGGTGCTACCTATTGCACATCTCGCGAGTTAAATTCGATGATAGAAAGATAGCTAACGTCACGTGTTTGTATGCCTTTTTTTTCACTTTGCTTTGTAAATAGCAAGTCAGCATGTCAACAACCTGTGCCGTCTGTCTGCCTGTCTACAAGGTGGGTGCTAAACGATACCGAATGCGGGGGAACACGTTAAATCGTATCAAGCAGCTGAAGATGTAGATCATTCACGATATTCTGGTGTATCGTACCACTTACACATTGAGCGCGTTGAGCAGATTGAACAGATTATCTTGATAATCTGGAATCTTCGATAGTTAAGATATGATTAATGACTATTACTTATGTGTAATATTGTACTCTTACGAATTGTTAGGGTGCCAATATCGAAAGATACAACTGTTAATGATTTCGGCCTAGGTTCTTTACGGGAGAAATTCTCCAATCAGGATCTGCGTAGCATTCTGGCAGTGAAAAAGCTCGGCACGTCTGATATCATGTAGGCAAAGGTTATCGGACGGTATTAGATGCTATTCGTTATTCCCTATCCCCGGTACCAAGGCAGGTGCAAATATCTCCAAACCGCCATAGACCGTTCATAGATCCTCAACCTTGTATATACAAGGATATACCTAGCCAACGAATGAGAGACGGATGGCATGTGTTCGTAAATATATATTAACTTACACAGAGGAAATAGGTTCAATGTTCATCTGACCTCTTCGTCCTTAAATTTCATCATAGCATATATTGATTACACCATATAAAATCTCTTCATTAGATGTAAACTAGATGTAAGCTAGATGTAAGCAACAAATTAATATGTTGAATCTCGTGCCCGGTCCCACTCCGGTGCTTAGGGGAGTCGGTAGTCTATTTTACAAGGCCGGCATTTCCGACTGATGTGACATCGCATCGGCGCTGCGAACCATGAGGACCGGGGAAGGCCTCAATTTTCATTACGAGAAAAGTCTCAAAGGAATTATAGCCTACCTCAGTCACGTATGAGCTCCCACGCTGTCGCAATCCCCATGTGTCACGATGCCATTCTTTGGGTACCTAGGTCCTAGGTTAGGTAGGTAGGTAGGCTATCAAGTAACGGGCTTCACCTATTTTGCGCCATTCTGTCGTGATGAACGTGATGCGTTTCTGTCAGGGTTCACATTACGAAAACGGAAGCTCTGATGTTCAGAGAAGCCTAGCCTGCGTTACATCGCGCCGTTCGTCAGAGGGTAACATGGTCCCCCGTCCGTGTCCGCTCAGCCTTGGCGCCTCAAACCATCGCTGAGATATGCCAAACAGACCCAAAATCTCCGATCATGCTATGCACACTACCTATGCATCATATCCTTGCTCCCAGCTCCAACTCCCGAAAAATCCTCATCGTCCAACTTGTTTACCGGCGTCATCCTCGTACCTGTCTCTCACGGGCTTTCTCACAAGTTGACCTTCCTCCAAGTTTATATTGCCAAGATTGAGTTGGCATTCCATCTCAGCCCCGCCCTGTTCTGATAAGAGCTCGAATGAATGGTTCGCGTAATGTCATTGGACGAATGGCCTACTTGGTGGCTTGACTATACGACCTGCGTACTATTGATTCTGGTATCCTTATCTGATACTACCCAAGACCCGGGTCGCTCAGGCAGCTCCACGAAGGTCCAAGAATCAGGGTTGGGGAAAGGCTAAGGCTTCAGCGCTTAGGGGTTTGATGTCGGTGTCGTGCTGGGTTTCCGAATCGCTGGGTATTCTATCTGAACCCTCAAAACTAAACCCCCGACTTGTCGCAACGCAGATCATGATTTTATGTGCTATTGCGAGCCTCAAAACGATGCTATCTCTAGGTGATCTTTACCCATCGTAGCGGCTACATGGCTAACTTTAACAAAGCCACCGGGGAAGCACGCGGGTGCCTGCCGATCCGGCAAAGCTATGCTATGCGGCTGACGCCCTCTGGAGCGATGTATAGATATAGTAGAGGCTCAGGGGTGGATGTCTCCATCTATCACACCATCGCATAGCTTCAGAGCAACCGCACCTCGGTCTAACTATCTTAAGGTAGGAATGCCGCTGGCCCTCTCTTGCGTCTCGTCCCGTATTATTTCGCCTCCTGGTTTACTTTGAAGCTGACTGGTGAAGCTGAAAGTCGCATTGCCAAGTGAATTCCTGCCTGTCCCGCCTTCTCCTACCTTCTATTGCTCAGCGATGCATCGAATGGCAAGCCGTAGAGTATGGCGTCTTAATAATCATCGACCACCACTCACATAGGCGCTGTGTTTCTGCCCGCATGCGTTTATTATTCCTCCTTCCGTATTCGAATCGCGTCGTAACTCTCATCCACGTCTCCTAAGCGCTCTAGCATGTATCCTAAGGCTGATCAGGAAGCTCGGAGATAGTTTGCCAACCTCGAGAACCTCATTAGACCATCTCGTAATGAAACATGCAAGATGTCACCATCGATGGCGGCTTTTTTCTGAGTTCGTAGGCGTTTAAGAAACGTCTATATAAGACGCTTTGATCCCTCTCGTTTGGTATGTCTTAGAGAAGTTCGACAGCCCTGAGCCAAAAGCCGCAGTCATCTTCTGAACTCCCTCGCACACAGTCCACAATGTTCAACGTTCGTCGCCTTGCGCTCTTCCTCGGAGCTCTGCTCCCCGCGGCCATTGCTGCTCCTACTCCTGCTACCCAGCAGAAGAAGGAAATCATCCCCAACAAGTACATCGTTACCCTCAAGGAGGGTGTCTCCACCGATGCCTTCAAGACTCACGTCAACTGGGCCCGCAGTGTCCACGCCCGCAGCTTGAACAAGCGCGACACCGCCGGTGTTGAGCGCGAGTACAACATCGCCAGCTTCAACGCCTACGCCGGTGAATTCGACGCCGAGACCATTGAGCAGATCAAGAACCACCCTGATGTAAGTCATATCATTTCCAGCTTCTTGGGACGTAGCGGCGGGTCTGCAAACAGATCGGGAAATATGTGGAGGGGGGGGGAGGAGAGAGATGCTTCAGTCTCGTTGTATTCTCTAGCACGCGATTAACCTCTCACAAAAAAAAAACAAAAAAAAAACAAAAACAAAAAAAGAAACCGAATATTCTACTGCACATACGCTAACATCCATACCAGGTCGCCGAGATTGAGGAGGACCAGATCTTCTACCTCGTTGACGAGACCCCTGAGCTCTCCAAGAAGGCTCTCACCACCCAGAGCGGCGCTACCTGGGGTCTCGGCACCGTCTCCCACCGCACTTCCGGCTCCACCTCGTACATCTACGACAGCAGCGCCGGCCGGGGCACCTACGCCTACATCATCGACACCGGTATCCTCGCCACGCACCAGCAGTTCGGCGGCCGCGCCTCACTCGCCTACAACGCCGTCGGCGGCAGCGATGCTGATGCCGTCGGCCACGGCACTCACGTCGCCGGCACCATCGGAGGATCCACCTACGGCGTCGCCAAGCAGGCCACCATCCTCTCCGTCAAGGTCTTCCAGGGAAGTAGCAGCTCCACCTCGATCATCCTGGACGGATACAACTGGGCCGTCAACGACATCATCAGCAAGAACCGCCAGAGCCAGTCCGCCCTCAGCCTTTCCCTAGGCGGTGGCTTCTCCTCCGCCTTCAACAACGCCGTCAACTCCGCCTTCAGCTCCGGTGTCCTGTCCGTCGTCGCCGCAGGCAACAGCGCCACCGACGCCGCCAACACCTCGCCCGCCTCTGCCGCCAACGCCATCACCGTCGGTGCCATCGACTCCAGCTGGCGCATCGCCAGTTACTCCAACTACGGCTCCGTCGTCGACGTCTTCGCCCCCGGCACCGACGTCCTGTCCTCCTGGATCGGCGGAAACACCGCTACCAATACCATCTCCGGCACCTCGATGGCCACCCCCCACGTTACTGGCCTTGCCCTCTACCTGATCGCTCTCGAGGGCCTCAGCACCCCCGCCGCCGTCACCAGCCGCATCAAGGCGCTCTACACCACCGGCAAGCTCACCGGTATCCCCAGCGGCACCGTCAATGCCGTCATCTACAACGGCAACGGCGCTTAAATCATTGCTCGGTCGCCCGACATACTTGTAGACGAAGACAGCAGCTGAGGGGGCTGTATCGTCTAAGCGTCTTTAACAATGAGACGCTTTTTTTTTGGTATCATCTGGGTTTTACACAGAACTTGTCATGTGCACCTAAGCATGCAATTCCAAGTAGTAAAGAAAGGGGGGCAAAACCCGCTTTTCGAATAGGCTAGCAGTAGTTAATACGACTCTTGACTTTTTTCGAATCATCGTGTCTCTCCTTTTCTGCCTGATAAGCTTAACTCAGCCCTAAATTTTGACTGTTAGTATAATAACACAATACCATTGGATATTACCTTCTGAGCTTAGCTCAACTGCAGTACGTACTGTACTTCTTACTTACCCTCAGGTAGACAGACAGGTTTATAGAAACGTTATTTACCGAACCCACAATCAGTCCGCCGCATTGGCGGCTGTAACGGCTCTAGGACAGAGTCAATCAAAGGATAGAGAGACATGGTCCAAACACGTCGAACTTAGGCCGTCTCGAGGTAAATTATTATTGCGCTAAGAAAACACGCATCTCATATTTAGCCTGATCCGATCGTTCTGATTACGGCAACGTGGTGGTGGTTGCTTATATACCTACCTAGGTATGATCCTGAGGAAAGTAGATGAAGATCAATTTCTGAGATGGCACGAGCCAAGAGGCGTCCAACTACCTAACCCATACGAGATGGGTTAGGTACCTTCAGGCAAAGTTGCAGAAGCGGAAGACGCATGAAACGTGACTCTTGATGCCGCCGGCATCCAGACATTGTCGTAGTTGTGAGAGAAAGGAACAGGAAAAAAAAAAGGCGGCATATGCCTTGTCCTACCCGCCCATATCCACGACCCCGGGAGCCGTCCAATGAAGACTATCGTATATCGTAATTCCAACCTCCCAGCGCGCGCGCACGCATGTGAAGTTTAATATAATCAGAGCCCGTCCATTGGCGTCGAAGGACAGGACTTTGAAGCGAGGGGCCAATCTCTGGGGTAATAGACGAGTCTGGGGTGCAGATGGGGGGCTGCCCTATCAAGGGCCTCGTTTTAGAAATGCGGTGCGGTTTGAGATTTAGCCTCATATTCGAAAGTCTGGGGGAGGAGGAGAATTTTATCTAGTGTTAATTTTTTTTCCTATTTTTTCTTCTTCTCTCTCTCTCTACCCCTTAAAGTGGCCATGTCATGCCCATCTATCCCTGCCGCGCGCATGCCCAGAGTCTCGGTCGGCAGGGGATCGTCGCGAAATTACCTATTCGATCGGGCAGAGCGGACGGCGTCCAAGACCGGATAAAAGAGAGGGAAAGGGTCTCCCAACCCAACCAACATCGAGAAGATGGTTGCTGGATGGCGCAAAGTCCGACTTTTTGCTTCTTTAAGACCTCCCAGGGAGGACAAGTAGACCCGTTTGACGGGGGCTTTTTGATTGTTATTTTTTCTGTGGGGTCTTATATACCTCGATTTATATCTCTTACTAAATTGGTTCCCTTCTTTCGACGTTTCCTACTGCCGGCGTCGCTGCCGTGGACCGCGATGTCTGCCGTGGGCTGAGCTTCTTGGCGGGCTTAATGGAGAAATAGGAAATAACGCTGACGAACTCAGCATGGCCTGTTGAAGAGCTTCGTGCTCTCGCTGTCGATGGCTAAAAAGGGGGTGGTAGCCCCTTTGTCTTGCTTGCGGGAAGCCTATGTTTCCTTCTTCGTATCCCGCCTAGTTCACCCCCGAAAGGAAGAAATAGGTGCGCAATGGTGTTCGTGTCCTCGCTCACTGCCACTTTGGCCGTTGCATTGACGTTAAACCCCTTGGCGGTCCTCGGACACCCGGGAGAAAAGTATGGAAAGCGAGAAGCGCTCGAGGAGATGGGTAATGCCTTTGTCGTCAACAAGATGAACACGAGGGCTCTTGAGGCATGTCAGAATTCTCCCGCGGTAAAAGCTCGTAAAGAACGTGCCCGTATGTATCATCATACATTTTCCTCGTCTTTTACACCCATATACACTTACACCAATATACACATAAAATTGATCGACCTACACGAAGTCTTAATCCAGAGACAACAATCCGCCTACCCCTGAATTCCATAAGAGACAAAAGTTACTAACTTGATTACACTAGTTGCTCGACGTGCGGAGAAATTCGCGCAGCTTCGTCGTGATAAAGGCATTGAAGATGGTAAGGACACTTCCCACAATATTACAATCCCCCCTAATATTCAATCGACCGATATTTAACTCCTATCCATAGCACCATGGCTCCACCGACGTGACGCGGCATCCCTCAGGAAATGGGCCGCCCTATCGCACAACAAGACGGGCGCGCTAGACTTTTCCAAGGAGACGCCCAGCAAGGACATCTTCGGGTCGAACACGAGCTGCGTGCTGACGCCGGACAACGCCAACGGGCCGTACTTCGTGTACCAGGAGCACATCCGCAGCGACGTGGTGGAGGGCACGGTCGGGGTGCCGATGCACCTGGAGCTGCAGTTCATCGACGTGCAGACGTGCGAGCCGGCGGCCGGCGTGCTGATCGACACGTGGTCGTGCAACGCGACGGGGGCGTACAGCGGCGTCAGCGCGCGGGGCGAGGGCGGGCTGGGCACCACGTTCCTGCGGGGCGTGCAGCCGGTGGACGGGGACGGCGTCGTCAACTTCGACACCGTCTTCCCGGGCCACTACCAGGGCCGCGCCACCCACCAGCACCTGATCGCGCACGTCGGCTCCGAGGTGCTCCCCAACGGCACGTACACGGGCGGCCGGGTGGCGCACCTCTCGCAGCTGTTCTTCGACCAGACGCTGCGCGACGCGGTCGAGGCCACCGCGCCCTACAGCACCAACCGCATCCCCAAGACGAGCAACCTCCAGGACTGGTTCACCGGGTACGCCGCGACGGCCGAGTACGACCCCTTCCCCAACTACATCCTGCTCGGCAACAAGCTCGAGGACGGGCTGTTCGTCTGGGCCGAGCTCGGCCTGAACACGTCGTCGAATTGGGATCATTACGCCCCGTATGCGTCGACCTGGAAGGAGGGAGGCGGCTATGATAACCCCGCCTTTGACTTCTGGGCCGTTGCTAGCCCGCCGCCGACGCATGGTTGAGACTTTTGGTGGTGCGAGGGGATGGATCGCTCTAGGATAGGACTGAGGTGGTTGCCCTGCTGTATACCATGAACAGATAGAAAGCATCCCAGGGATGAGAGGTTAAAAATAAAACCAAATCGTTTCCTAATAAAGCTCTTTTAGACTTCATAGCTCCAGAATATCTAAGGATGTTATGTTTTTCAACTTCGGATGCTCGTCCAAGCTTCACTTGGTAAATATGTGATCTATTGTCCATCCTACAAGATATCACCCAACCAAACTACCATGAAACTGTTAGAAATATTATGATTATATCGTATTACTATTTATTTCCCAAAGCCTTTTTCTTTCGCTGAGATTGAATTCACACTCGTAAAACATAGCAGCAGCAAGCCAAAACAAACAAACAAAAAGCCACAAGCGCCACGCTTCCCATTTTCCATCCCATCCCGTCCCGTCCCATCACAAATACACCAAATCCCACTCCTCAGCCTCTCCACCGGCAAGAACTCGTCCCTGCCCCCCGTCCAAAACCGGCAATTATCCCTCTCCAAGCTCCCGCTCCACGCCGCCCCCGGACACTCCGCGACCCTGCCCCCCCCCCCCGCCGCCAGCCCGATCGCGCGCCTCTCGCACTCCTGGACGCACTCCGCCCGCGAGCCCGCCGAGCGGATAGACGCCTCCCCGGTCCCCGCCCCCGCCTCCGCGCTCCACAGCTCCTGCACCGACACCCCGCACGCGACCCGATACGACCACTCGAGCTCGCGTCGTCGTCCACCGCGCCCCCGAGCAGCGACTCCAGGAGCCCCCGGACGCCGTGCTCCAGGTCCGGCCCCGGCCCCGAGCCCGATCGGTTGTTGTTGTCGAAGTCCGGCCCCGCGTCCCCGACCCCGAGGAGTGTGAGGTACCGGTCTAGGTCGTGCGGGTCGAGCGTGGAGATGTGCGTTACGTCGGTTTTGAAGTACGACTGGCCGCAGAACTCTGGGGTAGGGGGTAGGTGAGGGTGGGGGTGAGGGTGAGGGTGAGGGGCAGGGAATAGGGGTTCCGGATGAGGATGAGGGATGGGGTGAGGATGGGGAATGGGGTGCGGGTGAGGGATCGGATGCGGCAACGGAATTGGAACAGGGCCCGCTACTTCCGGTTCTGGGACCGGTTCTGGTTCCGGAAGGGGAAACGGTGGGGGTACGACTGCGGGGTGGGAGGGTTCTGGTTGGGGACTAGGCGGTGGTGCCGATGAGAGTATGATCCTTGTGGTTAGCGTAGATGGCGCGGGGATGTGGACGATGGTCGAAGTTGAGAAACCTTTCAGGTGGGTGGTGCAAGAAGTAGTCGCTACACCCGCAGTTGACTGTAAGACGTGCGTGGCGTGAGGAGATGGAGGTGCAGGTGGGCTTGGAGAAGCGGTATGGGTCGCGGTCAAAGTAGACCAATGAGTCGTCTTCACCAAAGTCCGTTCTAGAGTCGGCGCTTTCTCGTCATGTGAATTGCTCGACTCATGTGGGCTCGCAGACTTAACATCATACGGTTTTGGCGCATGATTCGGAGGAGAACCTTTCGGGCTCTCTGGGCCGTCGAATGATGGTGGCGGTTGTTGCTTGTGGTGGTTCTTCGGCGGCGCGGCGTGAGGAAGGTCGGTTGGCACTACCACATTCGGATACATGTACTGCTCGCGGTAGATAGCGGCGTTCGGGCCTGGAGCCGGTTGGCTTGGTTTAATGCAGATCATATTTGGCTGGATATCGACGAGTGGTTGGACATCTGGAATGCGGATATGAAAGGTGCTGCAAGAGTCGAACAGGTGGGAGGGTAGGGCAGCCAAATCAACCATACATCCTCCTGTTGACGGCATGTACTGGACACCCAGCTGTGTCAGGGAACTCGCCATGACTTCAGTTGATTTAATATGTTTACTGGTTGACGGCCTAACAATTTATCGGGTATATTATGGTATTCTCCAGGTTTCGGTAAGCTCGATAAGTCGAGTATATTATACTCGAGCGGGATGGCAGGTGTATAGAGGGTTAAGGAGAGTAATATTTAGAAATCGAAGTCGGGGTATAAAGATATGAATCGTCATAAGTTGACGATAGTGTGAAGTCGCCTATACGGCTGTGTATTAAATATTAGATGCTCCGTTGTATAAGGATGCATGAGGCAATGGGGTAATAGAGATATGAGTGATCGCATATGGTGAAAATTACAGACGATGGATGATCGGCCGCCTTTTATACGGCTAACACTAGACCACAGCAGCTCTGTAAATGGCGATTATAGAAACCACTTAATTAGAAAAAGACGGTTTCGAGTTCCTGACGATCCCTAGCGAGGGCAAACTGCACGATTCAGGGACCCGAGCACCTAATTCGGTTGCGTACAATAGGGGTGTGCTACACTAATGAGCCAGCATGTCTCAAATCCAGTAGGAAGGGCTAGGTAGTCACAGGCGATGTGCCGCCAATATACTACGAAGGGAGACTAGCACAGCAATCTATAGGATTGGAGAGCCAATACCGAAAACGGCCAGACCAAATTTACCATAGCGAAGAATGTAGGGACGACATTATTACTATTCACGTTAAACCCCCATCAATTGAACAGGGCGAAATATGTATCTCGATTCCGGGAACGCCTAGTCCTATGTGTGAAGCGCTGCGGATCAATGGTGCAAAAAGACAAAAAGCCACAAGAACTCCCCCGTATTGTTCATTCAAACCAATATCACATGCTTCAATGCCTCCGAAATCCGTTCTCCGCGCTTGTTTGAGAAACTCAGTCCAGATGTTCTTAGAATCAACAACTTAATGCTAACGATTTTCATGCTCAAGTCTCCGCTTGGTATCATCCTTCTGCTTGTCGGTTGTCTTATCCTATAAGCTCCCGACGCTAGCAGCTGCAGAAGTCTTTCCCGCTCGCCTACCGAGTAACGTCGCCCCGTCCAGGTTGAGTTCAAAGGCTCCTCGCTGCTTATGTCGATCACGAACCTGCTGTCGGGCAGCTTGAGCCACAGTAGCGCTGTGCTGCCCATATCCTCTCTGCTCTCTGTCGGCTTGTCGTTCCTGCGCTCGGCCGCGTTCATGCTCCTTGCCAAGATGCGTCTTGCGCATGCTTTGCTCCAGCGATTGTGCCTCAGCTTTATGAACGTATTCTGGGTCCGATTTCTCCTCTTCGGAATCTTCGTGAAGACCAGCCAGTCGCGACGGTGCAGCACCCTTGGCGCCGATCTGCTTTCTCCGCTTGGCTTCCTCTTCCTGTCGATGTACAGAGTATCCAACATCGAAAATCTCTCGGAGGTTCACCGCACCAGGTGATCGGAAATCCATGCGACGCTCGCCGTCGATGAGTCGTCCGGTGTCGAATGCGCGTAGGGCTTCTGTATTCGTCTGCTTCTTCTCGTCACGAGGCGTAGGACCGGATCCTTGTATCCACGGATGGCTCAGAAATTCTCTGATCGTATAACGCTCGTCAGGGTCGACGCAGAGAAGATGGGTTATTAAATCTTGAGCAGACTTGGAGATGTCGTCCCACCATGGTGATAAGAAAGTGTATTGACCCTTAGCAACCTTCTCCGTAAGAACCTCTATGCTTTCGTCGTAGAAGGGCGGAAAGCCGCATAATAACGTGTATAATACGCAGCCGAGGGCCCACATATCCACCGACTTGGAGTAACGCTCATCCTTGACTATCTCAGGGGCTGTATAGCCAACTGTGCCGCAAGGCGTCATGGTTTGGTCATCCCATACAATCTTTGACAAGCCAAAATCGGCAATTTTGATCTGGCCAATCCCTCCTGCACCAACTCCTTTTATGAATTCGCCTTCGTCGACCTTATCTTCGTCGCCAGGCTGCGTTGGCTTGGGGTTCTTTGATGGGACGAACGGTATCGGACTGAATAAGATATTCTCGGGTTTGATGTCACTATTATCTCACATGTCAGTCGGCTGATGCAGGGACCAAATATTAGGACGTTCAGTGACGTAACCGCCACCTGATATGGCCGTCTCAGTGCACCCTTGGACGGGCAACTGAGTGGTGCTATGGGAAGGTAGGTTCGAGGCTCGCAGCTGACCGACCCGGTGTTATTTACTTACCGGTGCACAACACCCTTCTCTTCGTGAAGGAACTCGAGGGCTTTTGCGACTTGAACGATGACGTGTCTCGAAAGATCTTCACTGAAATAGGTGAGGCGAACGATCTGGTGGAAGAGCTCTCCGCCGGGTGCCAGCTCCAGGATAATATAATAATACTGCTTGGACTCGGAAAAGTCAACAAGCTTGATGATATTTGGATGATCCAACTGGCGCATGATTTGGACTTCTTTCAGTATATTCGCTCGCTGTAATGGGTTTGTTAGCTTTGCCAGTTCCTAGATTGGGAATACGTAAAGTATGATGCGATAAGACGATAGTTAGGCGGAAGAGCGCGAGAGAGAAAGATAAAATGCATAGAAATGTTATAAATGTAAAAAGATGGATTAGAGGTAGCCAGAGGACATAGCTGTTAGATCAGACAAAAGAAAGGAATATCATCGCACCTCTGCTGCCTTAGGAACCTTTTTGAAGTCCGGATGGAGATGCTTATTACCCTATAATTCGAACCCCAAATGGTTGGCAAAGGGAAACATAAATTTGCTGAAAAGAGAAACGCAAATGGCGAGCCGAAAGAAGAAACGACTAAGTTGACAACACAAACTCAACCGCCAGAGAAACTCACCTGCATGTTGTTCATCTCGAATTTTCGGACGACCTTGATAGCAACTTCGCCAGCATTGCCTTTCAGGTCTTTTGCTCGGTAAACATTACTGAACGCCCCATCCCCCATCTTCTCAAGTAGTTCCCATCTTTCTAGACCGGGATACTTAGGGAACCTATTCCTATTCTCGTTCTCCTCTTGTACGATCTTTGCGGCATGGGTATCGTCTACTCGGCTTCTGCTCTTATTCGAATGGGTACCGGATACGTGCTGCTTAGCTTCGACATGGTGGGCAGCAGCGGCATCGGCCTGTGCGACGCGACTTGGGTTTTGTATGTCGCCGGGCTGGGCGGAGTAGGCTTCAGCGGCATTGTGACGGTGACCGTTGCCGGCCGAGTGGCCGGGCTCGCTTATGTTGCCCATGGCTTTTTGCTGCGCAGGTTGCGGGGGAGAATATTCATGTTTCCGCGAGGGCTCTTCGTAGTTGCTTACCCTGGCCTGTTTGCCTGTTCGGAGAAGATGAATGTTAGCGGGACATGTGCCAAGAGATAGGTGATGTGATAAGTTGCAGCAAATCGAGGGAAGTTTTAAGAAATATATGGATCAAAAATGGGTCAGATATGAAATTTGGGAAAGAAATGCACCGAAAAGATGAGTAAAACAATGCACGACTTATAAGGCAAAAACGAATGGGATAATTAATAGAAATTTGTGCAAAGAAGAAAACAAATAAAATGCACCCAAGGAAACGCGTGGAAAGCAAGGTAGACAGAAGTAAGAAACAGCGGAAGGGTGGGACGAGGGAAAGGCGTACCATGGCGGATGAAATTCTTAAGCTGTTGGATTGTAGACATTTTGGTTACTGGATGTCACACCCAAGATGCACCTTATGGGTTATTATTTCCCACTTCCCACTCTTCTTCTTCCCGTGTCTCGTGTCTCTCTCCTTTGCGAGACAATAAATAAAAATAAAAACCTCGAAAGCACCACTGGTTCCAAGCCCGCGGGTTGTTTCAAATTCGAACCAAACAAACTCAAGTGCAGAAACAGGTGCCGTCCACGAATTGGTCAGGTCCGCTCTTTTTTCTTTTTTTTTTTAGAGGTCAAGGTAAGGGTAACCCAGTGCAGGTATGGAGGTGAACAGTAAAGATGACGAATAGCGGGAGTCTACCGGAAGGCGAGGATTTAGTTGGCGATTCTTTGCTTTCGGTAATGTACCTAGCCTAAGCCTATGCTTATGTGCGATCCTAGATAACTCAAACGAGGAACGACAACTTTGGTTTGGATGGAGGATGGAAGACCTTTAATTCTTATTCCGGATGGGAGTTGAATTTGGATTGCCTTTGATTTGTCACAAGAAAGTAACAAAAGTATGTAATGTTAGGTTCGGCGGGGAGTGCGCTGCAAAACGTAGAATTTGCTATCTTCTCTTTCGCTGTAATGCAAGTCACAAAATTTTCTATCGTGCAGGATATGGCTCTCCTTCTAATGTTGGCAACGGTTGCAATTCGCAATGTTCGAAAATGCCTTTCTCTCTTCAATGCTAAGTAGTAGATAGGACAGAAAATAAAGCCGTTCTCATAGGGATAGGGATTTGTCTAAACGTAGTAAGGTTGTAGGTTATAGGTTATAGGTATAATGGTTGAGTCAGGTAGGTTTATGAAAAAAAAAAAAAATAACCAAGATTTAAAAAATTCCCCTAGTAAGAATAGAATATAAAAAATAAAAATAAAAAAGATATGTGATCTAAAAAGTGGTGGTGCAGTAGTAAAAGTTTGACCCGGCGTTGTGTTTCTGGGGTGGGAAGATGGAATTATCGAAGAAAGAAGAAGAAAAGGTGGGAGAAATGACGACTGAACTGCGCGAATGGTTAAACGGTGACATCGAAGACACTACGTACCTCACTGTACCTCATTTGCCATGGTTAAGGACCTTGTTTAGTGCTACAAGCAGTGCTTGTATCCGAGATCGATGTCACCTGATGATGTAGTGGGCTAGTGCGCTAGTGCGCTTTTAGCGTATCCAGACGTACCTAACTGTTGAGCTTAAACCATCTGTGTAAGTATTCGGTACTTAAAAAGATATATAAATAGCTACGCGGATAGTGTATTTATACTTAAATAGTTAAGGTCCATAAGGTATGGCACATATGCACCGTACATGAATGTTATTCTAAGCTGGTAGCGAAATACCCTGTTTTCGCCACGAAAGTTTTTAGCATTACCTACGGAGTCCAATGTTCTGGAATTTAGTGTAAAAAATAAAATAAAAAAAAAAAAACCAGGCTGCCAGGTTGCATGCCGGGCAATTTACTTCAGATGATGACGAAACCTGTTCGAGACCCAGCTACAAAATATACAAAAGGCGCATGCATTGTACCATTCATGTACGATATATGTATGAAGGAGCAGGCGAGCCGGGCAAGCTGACTATCCGACATTGCTTAATCTGGCACGAGGTAGGACAAAGCGACGAATCAAGTTAACCGGTGTATGCGGGGACCATGTACTTGTATGAGGTACCTACCTATCTAGGTACATCGGGTACCTAGGTGGTGGTAGCATGGCAGCATGGCAGCATGGTACGGTTTACCTGCAAAGAAGAATGCCACCTAGAACTAGGTAGTAGTTAGTTAATCTGCTAAGGAATTGCAATTTGATATTCTAGATATCTACATCATACACTCAAGTACCGACATTTATCATCCAGTCGAATTTCGGAAAGTCTCACGACCTATCCGTATTCAGATAACTAAATAGAGATAGGTGCAGTATCACGCATAACAACTTTCCATCATCACTTCTGTCAGAATCGGAGATGGAGCACGGTATCACCAGAAAGCAAACTTACAATCCGCAGCCAAGAAGACGCCGGCAACTTAAGATGGTCACTTAAAATATACTAATCAATTAACGACCGATATCCCGCAGCGTCTAGCGTCTACCGTCTACATACTTATACCTACCTAACCTAGTATCTACCCATAATAGCATATCCCACAATTGCGTTGTGGGAACTTTCAAGTTTTCTATGTGGGGGAGAAGTTCCTATGTCTTCCATACTTTTGTCATTTATTACAAACAAAATAATACGGCCTTTCTATTTTTCACATCTCAAATTAGAGTCGAATAGGTGTTGCTGGTCTTGCTGGTTCCCGAATCGCATTTCCGTGAAAATACGTGGCATGAAAGGGCTTCAGTCACATTTTACCTATGGCGCACCCGATTCCCACCTAAGAACAAAGCCTCATCTTCAACTCCTTAAATTAACCACTTATATGTACAATATATACCTAAACAGAGGTGCCCAACAAAAAAAGTACTATATAGGTACTTTAAGGTTACATCTGAGGTAAGTATTGTACCTGTACCTAAATTTATTACTATGGTATTAACCTCTCTAGCCCAGCCCAACTCACTACTAAAATCAGCCTTAGCACAACGTGATGTCGTTGTGGTTGTGCTGTATTACAAGGTCTCATATTGTCTTTAACGTGTGAATGAGAAAGTACTTGAAATAAGACAGATAGGAGTTTATTTCTTTTGTTCTACAGGTCCCGCTTATCTAGGTACTTGGGGTTTGTCTCCGGGGGGTTCCAATGTCTTGCAAGGGAAGAAAAAACACCAAGTTGATGCATGGTTCCATCACAATCCATGACTACCTAGGTACTTTCAAACTAGGGACCCGGACTAAAAAAAAAAAGAATGCTCTATGACGTATGATGTAGCGTCATTTCTCAGCCCACCCCACTTCGCCCTTTGAATTTCGCTTTCCCAATCTCCACTTATTCCGTACTTTCCTGGGAACTGGCAGCGCAGGAACCAATTACCTCGTAACGTGATCCAAGGGACCCAAAATCATCATCGGTTCCCCCAGAAGGACCCTCCCCATTCGCTACACCTTTTTTGGCAGATCTAGTGTTAGGCCAATGACGACTCAGAAACTTCAATATAGCTGACGGGGAGCCTTGTCGTATAGCGTCCGGCTCCGTATTGATTTAAAATTTAACAGGTTCGTTGGGCTATCTGCAAGGCTATTGATATAATAGAAATTTATCGGGCGTCAATCTTCAAGAAAGTTCTCGTCCCTTTTTTTTCAGCCTTGGAGCCTCGTTTGTTAACAAAAAAGAAGGAAAGTAAAAAAAGAAAACCAAGTTTTCCCAAGCAAAACTCTGTTCACAGCAAGTACCTAGCCTAGGTTCTAGGTTAAGACATCAATACCTTCCTTTTACTAGTAACTAATATTATTACTACCTCTAGCTTAGGCACTAATTAACTAAACAAAACAAAACAAAAACAGAACAAAAAAACATATTGAGGCCATCCCAATTACGTTTTAGTTGAACGAACCAGCTCAAGAATGCAGCTGTCGTGCGACGTATCTTGAAACGGCACCATCACCCCTTCAACTTCGATGTGCTCCATTACTCCCGCTCGGTAGCATCTCGTACATCATCAGGATTCTTAGCCCTTTCTCTTTTGACGATATATCAGTGCTGATCCTCGGTATCGTAGCATCAGCTAGCTCATGCGGGGGTGTCCCGCATACGTCAGCGAGATCGAACCTCTCCAGATCAGTTACGGCATCAAGCCATTGCTTATTGGGTAGGGCCTATTAGGTTACGGGTCGAGCCGGGTCAAACGGCCAAACCGTCATAGGCGCCATGACATAGGAGGCCACAAGTAATCAAAAAGTAGCCGGTCCTGGCCTGGCTGGCTGGCTAACGACGGGGATGAATCTTATCCGCAAATTAGAAGCCGGCAATCCTGAACCAACAGGGAGAAATGCTCCTCGCTGTTGGCTATTAGTAAGATAACCTCCTTTGGTCCTTTTGGAGAAGACTACGTTCGAGCCGGTTTTCCCATCGGTTCTCCAACACTTGCTTGGAACCTAGGACCAAAGGTAAACATTGATAGGTACCGACGCACGTGTAGAATCTACCCGAGGGCAACAAGAATCCCACATCGCCAAATGTACATCTGCTACTTCGATCCTTAAAATCCAGGCTTAGGGTTACACTGTTGGTTCAAATATTACATACTTCCTATTCTATCTTAAGAACATAGTAGTAGGTATCTCTCCCGACAGTTCGAACTGGATCCGCCAGACTCTGTTTATAACCGAACTGTCTTCTGGGGGTTGTGACGAAGCAATCTAGAATGGTTCAATGAAAACTTACTCTTTACTTACCTAAGATATTAAAGACTATTTTTATTATTTATTGTTTAGCCTTAAACCCCATTGCAACAGTCAGACCATAGTAATTAATTATAGTAGACACAGTATTCAAGCTTACACCACCAGCATCACTCAACACCACCTAGATTCGATAACACCTTTTCTCCCTCAGGCGTCATTACGTCATGGGTTTATGACGTAACTTGGCAGCTTGGACCCTGAAAGCTGAATCTGCACGGACAGATTACCTCACAAGGGGGATTACTAATTTATTGTCTTGGAGCTGTCCAATTATACTGTGTCATCGATATTACGCAAACGGACAATGACGGAGTTGGTCTTGTGAAGGTCTTCTGCATGGTCCTCATGACATAGGCTAAAACACTGTATCTAGGTAGTATCGACTTCGTGTTGGGTCAGGACAACATCCAACCTCCAACCATAAGATATCTTCCCTTGCAGTTTGCCATTATCTGCCGTTAGTAAGACGTAGGTAATATATACCTAGGGATCTATGTCGAAACCCTGTTTATTTGCAATGAACCTAATCTTGAGGCTGAAATTATATAATATTACTTGCCACAATGTCACGAGCTTCGAGAGAATGGAATGGAATGGTAAGACGGGTTCGAAACTCGGGATGGCTCGCAATGTCCACGAGAAACCTATTCCTACAGGATTGGCCAAGAGGTTTGTACGAGCAGTGCCTCCTCTGAGCCGCGTCCCTGATTAGCTTAACTCCCGATATTGTTTCTCATTTATTTATTTATTTGTCTCGTAGCTAAGAGATAGGTAGGAGTTTATCTATAGGTACCTACCTGTTATAAGATACGCTCAAACTTAGTATAGTACTAGGTAGTTGGTTAAGCTAATCTTGTAGGTACGGCTAAGCTTTAGGTATAAATACATGTTTAATCGTGGATGGCTGAAAAATACTTTATAGGGGTCTGGAATAATCGTCTCTATTAGACGATACCCGGAGGTTGATAAGTGCTAACAAGGCCTCATCCAATACTGGCTTGCAAGGGAAGCGTAGTAAGTGATAAAAATAGAAGTCTTTGTATTGAACATTACCCCAGGTTATATAGGTACCTCTAATAGAAATTCGAACCTATATGATATCTTCACAGCCAAACGAGGACTGCCTCACTACTCTGTACAGTGACCCCCACAACCCCATTCTCAACAGCAATCTGCTCAGTATCATTCCTCACATCCCTAACTTCCTCCCCAAGACTCTCGTACGTCCACTGGCTACCTCCATACGTAATACTATCGGCAGCGGCACCAGCGCCCAGGGGGCTATTCAAATGATACACCGTGACCACCTGCACGTCCCGCGGAACCTGCAGCTGAAGCGTAACGCTCGGCCTCTCCCAACCCGACGACGTCAAATTCCAATAGTCCAAATTGGTCACCGCGATCCTGCTCGCCTCGTTGCCTTCGTAAGCAGCATACACAGCCAGGTTCGGAGGAACGCTGCTATCGCCGGTGATATCCAGCTTTGCAGCCCTGGTCCCGGTCCTGGTCTTTTGAGTATCGGATGGCCATCCGAGGAAATCCGCGACGAACGGCTGCGAGTAGAAGTTCGCGAACACCTGCGGCGCGACCCCCGCGCTCGCGACCGGCAGCCACAGGTCGTACCCCGCGTGCATGATCTGCTGGTAATTGACGCGGGCGACGCCGACCGCGGCCGCCGCGTACAGGTAGAAGTCGGCCTGCCAGAGGGCGCTGCCGAGGCGCGCTTGGAACGCGTACGAGTTCGTCCGGAAAAGCGAGTTGCCGACCTCGTTGAGGACGAACGGGATCCCGGGCTGGTTCTCCTTCAGCCATTCGACGTGTCGCCTGAACTGGTCTAGGTGGTTGTGCGTCGTGGTCGTGTTCATAAGCCCGGAGGCGAGATCGGCCGCCGTACCCGCCTGGCGTTGGTAGTAGTGGTGCGATACGTCCTTGATGATGCCCCGCGCGTCGATGCATAGTTTAAAGCACGTCTCTACGTCGAAGACATACGCGTCTTCGTGCGCGTCGTCGCCCACGTGCGCGGCGACGTCGAAGGCCGAGAACAGCCGATCTTTAGGTAAGTCCACGGCAGCGAGGATCGCGTCGACGTATTTCGTCCAGTTGCCGACGTACGTCTCGTTCGTGAGCGTGCCCTGGTACTCCGGGGGATTCAGCTCGATGCCGCCCTCGCCGTAGAAGTCGTCTGCGTAGAGATCCGCCTCGTTGCCGGGCTGGATCGAGTGGATATTCTCCAGCCCGATGCCCTCCACGGCCGATTGCGCCCACGCCACCGTTTCGCTGACGTTGGTCGTCGCGAGCGGGACTTGCACCATATACTTGGCGCCTGGGAAATTGCGCGTCAGAGCCCAGTAGGAAGGGCCGATGGTTGTGAACCCGATGTTCTGGTAGTTGTCTTGCTCGGCGACGGGCAGCGCCGGCTCCTCTTGGCCCGGGAGATATCTCCCGTAGTCCGGAGACGTGCCGCCAAGCCGGATGATGGGGGCCCCGCCTGTGCGTGATGTGACGGCCCTGATGAGGTTGTTGGAGAAAGCGTTGGGTTTGCCGTTGTCATCTTGGGCGTAACGGACGAAGGATGCTTGTTCGAAGGCGAAGCCGCAGAAGCTGGGATCAATGGGGTCTGAGGCATCTACTACCTCTAGCGCGGGAATCTTAACGGAGAATGAGGCGCTATCTCGGGCGAGTATTGCTGCTGGTCCAAGTCCCACGAGTGCGAGGAGTAAAGAGGCCCGTCTCGGGTTTTGCGACCTCATATTGTCTATTCAGTTGGCAACTTCAGCACTTCGAAGTGAAGTTGAAAGGCTATCTAAGGCAGGAGAGATCCAGGCGGAATGAGAGATCCTCTATAAATACATCCTCAAACCAGACCACGGAATGTCACGCTTCCCTAAGAGCCTGTTGGGGACGACTCAAAGTTGCATCGCAACATCTCGCTTGGTTACAAGCATTTTAGCAAGGATTAACCAAACCATTAACTATAAGTTACGGGTCAGTAAAGGCATAGAGTGCATATAGCGAGATTGTAAGGCAAAATTCCCCACTCTTAGTCTTGGAGTTGGTAGTCCACGAAAAACAGCATACGCGAAGCTAAATCGGCATGCGATGAAGTTGGTGTAAATGATGTGCTGGATGGGTCGAATGAGTGTAGCTCGGCTCTCGGGGAGGGAGGGTTGAGACTGGACAATTACCCGGTTTACGGTAGGATTGCGGGGTGCTGGGGCAAGATTAGGCAGGGCCAGACAAGCAAGCCGACTTGACTTTTTCTCACGATAGTCTGATGATCTTCATTGGCTTCATTGGCTTTATTGGTCCTGGAGCCTCCTTAGGCCCTCTGGTAGCTGAGCGTAGAGTTAGGCTTGGGAGCTTTGACGTTGTGGGCCGTTGCTCAGGTATGAATAGTCCTAACTAGGCATCTAATACTACCTGCATATAGGAACACGATGGGATCACTGTGTGTCTACGCATATTTGCACATCGAGAGCGTCGTAATCTGTATACGATTTAGGTGTCGGATGTGCGTAGTCCTAGTTCTTATAAACGTTGAAGAACTTTACCTGTTGTACGTATTAACGGGTTCCATGACGGGGTCTTGGGTGTCAAGGTTTAATAGAACTTGATCGAGAGAGAAGTACCTATAACTAACCTAGGACTCAGAGATAGAATAGATTATTCACCACCTGATACTATAGTCTCGTCATCTCTATGGATCGTACATCTAGGCCTCTTAGAACACTACGTTTTATTGAAATTTGTTGATTGCAAACTTGTGCTTTCTGGATTGTCGGCGTTCCATGTATAAAGTGGTTAATGGGAATAATTGGAAGGTATGTGATAATAATTATTCAAGTTTCGTTGGCTGCCTAAGGTGCATAGTGGAATTAAGTGAGGTACCTAGGTACATGTATATATAAGAAATATGTATGTTTGAATGGGATCTGACTGTGGCTATGGAGTTTAGCCGCACTAGCCACAAGCTTACCCAATTGGAACCCTAACCGGACTTCAACTCATCCTCCCTCATCATCTCTCTCATCCCCTCTCGTCTTACCTCACCACATCTACAATACAATAAAATAATGTCTGGCGTTCGATAATACAGCCCATCCATACGTCTTAAAAGTTCCGATAATAATTTGCGTCTCTCGTATAGTACGCCATATATTAGTTATACTTCTTATAAACCGACCACCTCATTTTCCTGCACCACAGCATCAGAACTACACCATCGAGAAATTGCGGGGCTGTTGCGAGCCGTATAAGGCAGCCCGCAGTCGGTGAAATGGACTTACGGTGGCTGCAATTGCTTCTCTGACTCTGTCGAACACCTTATGGTGTAGGCTTCGTGTCGCTCAAGAGGAATATATATCGATACGGCACTTGCATGTAGCCATTACCGTGTGCAGGCCGGGTTGTCCTAGGTTTATGATATCCAAGTAATAATATCCCTTGGAGTAGCCCGGTTCGGTCAAATTTATACACAGGGTAGATTAGGAAACCCTCATTTCATCGAGCCTGCTTGTCCTTATATGCAATATAAGCCTTCGCTTCGAGCACTTGAGTTTTGTCAGCCTATAAACTCTGTGCGATATTTCGTGGACAAGGCCAAAGATCAGAGAAGGAATGGAATGAGGAGACCTACCCCGCCTTCCCATCTTTGCTGCAGTACATTCACCTCGTCGAGACTCTCCCCCGAAACCACCATTCTTCCCGCAGCATGCGCAGAATTGATGGTTCGATAAATCGAACTCACTATAGTCCATGTCGTCGAAATCAGGCGTTGGGAGTCTTGGAATCCTGGGAGCCTTCGGCGGGACTGGCACCTGATACCTGTCTTTATGGCTAGATCGATGCCAGACCTCATCAGAGACATCTCCATTCTTAGAGCTTTTTGACGTGGCATAACCGCTCTCGCGATGAGAACGACTATGTGCGATACTCGAAGCAACTGTGTCTTGATCGTTGTGGGCCATTCGGGTTACCTGTCTATGCCCCCGCTGACTCTCCGAAGAGACGGGATAAGCGACGGATGACGGTTTATCATCAAACAGCAAAAAGTCGTGATTATAGCGCTGGTCTCAATTAGTATGCGCTCAGGCTCCAAGCATCAAATGGATTAACTGGCTTACGATTAATGGCAACTGATGGTGTTGGCTTCCGTTCACAGAATCCTGATTGCGCCTATGCGATGTCCCACTATATCCGTTACTTGAGGTCCGATAGTCATATGGTTGGGAATGCCTGGACCAAGATTCTCGGGAGGAAGGTCGAGAATTATGTGGCGCCATATCATCTGTCACTTGTCAGTTTATGATAGGCACACCCCGAACAGCGTTCAGGGTCGAGTCCTACATGAAGTCCAGGCAGCCTTTTGGTCACGTGGAAGACGGGCAAAGTCATCCATAGCGTTGAAAGTTGTCTAAGAATTTGGGCAGCGAGTCGTTACTTAACCCTTACGAATATCTAGGATGCTTATCAATAAGAGGAACACGGAAGGCCTCCGACATGACTGGACTCACGTTTTAACGGTTATAATATCGTCGAATTGGTTTATATCAGGGGTCTTCGCCTTAATTTAGATGGACCGCGACGAGTTCGACGTTTTATGGGCCACTATTTGATGGCAATTGATAAATGGTATATGGAGAGGGAAAAATGGAAGAGGAGGGTAGAGGAGGGAGTGGGCATTTATGTAGAGATGTCGAGGCAGTACGGCACACCTACCCCTGCTTCCCTTTCCTAGTTACCCAATCATGTCTGGTCAAGAGGAAAACTCATGGCCAATCAGGTGTTAAGGTGCAACTACCACCAATCTAACACGCATCTCCCAAGTCCCGACCGAAGACTTATTCTTTCCCACCCACAGCAATTTCTCGACCCGACTCTTTACTGAGGGTTAAAACCCGCTCAAACATTGCTGATGCCGTGTAGTGTCTGGCTCCCGATGATCAAGTCCTACAGACCACGTGTTGTGCTACTAGGCAGCGGGTTATGGAATATGGCTAGCCTAGGTTGCCTTATTGAAGGCTTCCTATTATTTCATGTTCGGAGGATCAAGAGACTAAGGACCCATGGTTAGGCCTTGCGAGTCCTAAGAGCGTTACACTATTGCCGCTCGGATATGTACCTGATATTCATTTTCTCACACCCTCACTCTCATGCATCACTTTGATTTTTCATTACCGTACCATGTCACAACCCCCTTCTAGATACGCCCTGGTCGTACTTAGATTTGATGCGACGAATACACATCCTCCTAGTACGTCACCATTCGGCCTATATGAGTTTTCTCTAGTTTCAGAATTCACCCATTCGTGGCACTGCTCAATCATGGTTAGCCTCGATATATTTTTATTTCATATAAGGCGTCCTCTCTTCCGTTACCCGGTATACAGCAACGCATACATCCACTAGCTAAATGACCAGTTTCTGCCTACTTAAACAGATATCTAGTTGGCCTGCTACAGTCTGTCATTAAGGCAGTTGTCACCCAGTAGATATGTCCGAGCCTAACACTACATTTGTCCCTTTCATCGGGGTCGAGGTTTTGAAGGGTGAAACGTGTAATACTTGACACGTCGTGAGCCTATCCCAATAAGGTCGCTCGCTCACTTTTACACTCGGTACATATCCGATTCGTTTCTGTCGCAGCAATGCATTTCTATCTCCATGGGGTTGGGAGACGTCACACAATAACAGCAATTATTTTCCTGTTACTATAGGCCCTTTTCGCTGTCGAAGAGCCCAGACACATAACAAAGCAAACCTAAAAGGCAAGTTTGTACTTTCCTATGTCAAACCCCACGTCAGTATGGAGACACTATTTTGATCCATCTTGCCCCCACAATTCAGAACACTTCATGCTGCTAGATATGTCGTCTATACCCCAGATCCGATCTTATGAGTCTGCTATCACCTTTACCGAAAGAACGTCAAGTGACCTAAATTACACACCGGGAATCAAATATCCCCATGACGTAACTGTGTATGACGGCATAAGATGAATATCCGTATTATTGACTACCTTAGGTACCTACTTAGGTAGGCTTGCAACTAGCTTGAGGGAGGTTAAACCCTGAAGCGAAGCCTAGGAAGGCCAAGCTTTGCGCAAAACAGCATGTCCATCATTCTCTTCGCTACTAAGTTCATATGCGCCGTGCGCGAGGTATTACAATATGCAGCTCACTTTATTTCTCCTTTCACCTCTGCATCAAATATTCTTCAAGCAAACAATGTTCGCCCTAAAACATGATATCCAAGCCTAGGAGCTTGGTGAAAGTTAGGGTAGATCGGTACATGATTCACACTGCAAGTAAGATCGCCTAGGCTGTCGTAGCATGTTACGCGGCTTTTGGCGATACAACAACGTCTCAGCCGCACGCGTCTTTCGGTGGGGGGGCGTGGCATCTTAAGAGATTTTTCCTCACCTGCATTTGAGCCGCATTTCTTCGTGTTACTCCCCTCTCGAATTTGGGACCAACCAATTATGTACTATTTGATTCACGACTATTCTGTTTGGCTCTCGCTCGTGTCACAGGTATAGAATGGTAACGGCTCTATGCGTCTTGTGGTACCTGCTATAGCGCTAGGGACTTCATTGCTCCAACCTCAATGCAATTCGGTTCGTCGCGGCTCCTTATCTTTTCACTCACCCTCAAACCGATGGGGCTTGGCATAGCAGTCTGCTACGGCTTCCTTCATCTGGCACCAGGTAGGTTAGGTACACCAAATGTCCCGAGTACCAAAAGCACGACCCCCACGAGGAAAATGTCTGCTTCCTGGCGCTCGGGAATTCCGCACGATCCGCTCGGCGAAGCTGAGCTTTAGCTGTTTTCCTTTTTCCTTTTTTCTTCTTCTTTCCCGCGGGGCTTACCTGCCGTGGTGGATAAGCCAGTCGCACAAAAAAAAACCTTGGCTCGATGCCGAGAACAATATCGTATTAGACTCCTCCCGTAGGTAAGGTCTGCATTAATTTAGATTTCTTCGTTCAGCTCCTTGTGGAACGCGATGGATGTATCTCGCCTTTATTCCCCAGTAAAGCGAATGTTTCCTTCGGCCTTAAGACACTGGCGTTATTCATACGTTCCATTCTAGACCTGGAAGATGTCCTGGATCGTATATTTCTGTTACACGATAGTCTAAGATTGAAAGGAGGTGGTGGCTGAGAAGTCGTAAACGGACATAGTTTATCGGGTAGGTTTCCGTGAAGTCGGAGGCTCATTTCGAGAAATCTGTCAATCAAAGCTCGGCCAATGGTCTGAATGGGCATACGAACGACAAACCATTATTACATCAGGTACCTATGTATTTGAGGAGTATCTGCGTTTAAAGGAAATACGACTTTGATTCGCAATTCCTATGTTAAAGACACAGTTGGGCGGAACATAGACCCTACCTACCTCTTACTACTATCACGAGTGTTGAGTACCAATGTGTATACTACAAATAAACAGCAGCCTTACTAATAGAAACTATCCCCCATCCCAGTGTTGAAGATTCTTTCTCGCAGCTTTTGGGGGGCAGCTTGTTGGATAATGACAAGAGTGGCAGCAATAGTCATTCAAGACGACGTGCCTGTTTACACAGGTTCATTTGGGCCTTGTTCTTTTTGCATCTTTCCATTTACTTTAAACTCCTACGCACTTCTCAAATATAGGACATAGGCGCATGTTCAACATATTGCTAATACACCTTTGATCATATTCATACTGCTGCGTAATCCTCACGAATTACTTGAACACTTTTGGGGCTTTCCCCAGTTTTAATACTCGAAAGGCAAAAGCGCAAAAGCGCAAAAAAAATGGGCAACTATCACATGTGCATAATAGACATGGGTTTCACCGAAAAACAGGTCGTCATTCGAGTTATGATGGGTGCCTGGATGTAACCCAAGGTACCTCTTAAGGTGGTTGTTTAAGAAGTTAGCTACTGCATACTAACAGCAACTTAATATGCATCAGTGGTTTACACGATTGGAATAAGAACTTGGTGGCTTTGTAGTGAAATTTATCAATAACAGGTATTTAGGTAAATAAGAGAAATAGAGCTTATGGTTGAATAAGAGAGGGAATAAGAGAGGGACGTTTCAATGTTACGTTTGCCGTAAGTGGGTATGCTGACAAATGACACCAAGTGAGCTAGTGGTACGTAGGTACCTAAGGTACATACATACTTCAAAATATCGCCACACCAATCTTTATTGCACCAGCCACAATACAACGATATCTGATACATGTATCAAGCCGTATGGCTGAAGCTTGGAAGTTGACCCAATTGAATTGATCCATGTCCCTTTGATGGCAAGTCTTCGCGCTAACGTTCCTCATACATACAACTTTGCGCGACGATAACTAAACAGCCTTTACCGAGTTGCTGTTTCTATCGCGACGACAAACCAACCAAGCATCAATTTAATCGTAAAATAAATCAGAATAATAAACAGTCGCACTTATTCATATTAATACTTCGAATCCCGAAACCGATTTTTTTTTTAATTTTTTTTCCCTTCGCAGAAATGGGAAAGAAGAAGCGCGGTCACCCCGACGTCGAGGAGCTCCTCTCCCGAGCTTGGTGTTATTATTGTATGCAATCAATGCCCGCCCCTCCCTTGGTTCTCGAAAAAGGTGTAGTAGCTAATAATAGGTTTTTTTCTAATTAGGCGAGAGAGATTTTGAAGATCTCAAGTTGTTAATATCTCACCAAAAAGCCAAACATTTCAAATGTGACCGATGCGGCCGACGATTGAATACGGCCGGAGGTATGAAAAGAGTTTTTTTTTTTATGTCTTTTCTATCCACTTTCGACCTTTACATAACGCGATACAGTTAGCTAATTTATTTCCTTTTTTTCTTTTTTCGTTAAAGGTCTGTCCGTTCATATGAACCAGGTGCACAAAGAATCTCTCTCGTCGGTCGAGAATGCGCTGCCTAATCGGCAAGGACTTGACGTCGAGATTTTCGGCATGGAGGGTATCCCCGAGGACATCGTCCAGCAGCACAACCAGCGGATCATCCAGAACTTCTACCAGGCCCAGGCCGAGCGGTACGCCGCCACGGGGAACCCCCCGCCGGGCCAGGGCGGGAAAGGTCCTGCTAAGAAGTTAAAGATCGAGACCCCCGACGAGATCAAGAAGCGGTTGGCGGAGCACCGCGCGAGAGTCGCCGCTCAGAAGACGGCTATGGGTGGTGGCAGTGCTACGCACACGCTGCTCGAGGGAAGACCCGACGGCCAGAGCCCGGCGCAAAACGCATCCCCCGGTGCATTTGTATGTTGTTTCAACTGTTATTCGTCAACATCCATCCATCCATCTATCTATTTATCCATCTCTTTTTTCTATACTAACTGCGACGAACAGAACTCACCTTTCCCTCCCCCCGGCGGCCAGTACCCAGCATTCCCCTCCCAGCCTGTTCCCGGCTACTCGCCTCCGCCGCAATACCCCGGCGCGTACCCACCGCCCAACCTACCCTCGCGGCCCGGAAGCAACCTCCCCGCGCCCCACGGCCTACCGCCTCGTCCGGGCCAGCCCGGGTGGCAAGGCACCACCTCGACGATCGACGAGCTGGTGTCGGGCGCCGCAGCGGAGGCGGTGCAGGAAGGCGACGAGATCGACCAGTTGATTAGGATGGCCGAGGCTAGAATCAAGCCGCCTAAGAAACCGGAGACGCCCGCAACTACAGCTGCTGGTGGTGGTAATGGTGGAGCGGAACCGGCTGCCGAGGGAGCCGAGAAGAAATCCGGCAAGAAGGAGAAAGACAAGAATGTTAGGATGGTGTATGACGACGAGCTTAGTCCGGAGGAGAGGATGGCACAGATGCCGAGGTATGCGTTTGTTGTGGAAGCAGGGGCTTAAGGAGGATGGTGATAGGAGAGAGGAGGGGAAGGGAATAGGGGTGGTTTGTAAGATATACGAAACGGCATGGTATGCTTTACGGTTACCTAATGAGCTAACAGCGCACAGTGAACTGTTCTGCACCTGTTATGTGGCAGTTTTACTGGGTAGTAGAAAATTACAACGAGGTGAAATATCCCAAGCAAGTACTTCTTAAATTAGGTTTGCGGACGACGTCGTGAGGAATGGTTTTAAAGTGTAAGAAATGGGTAATTAAGCACAGTCGTATATCCTTTAAGAGCACCGGTTCGTTCAGTAAAATTAAACCCCATGGGACGAATTATATGTATATCTCTTAGAAAATACCCCTTTTGTGACAACTGTATTTTCGTAAATTCCGTTTTAAGCCTGTTTCTTACTAGGCTTCTAGTGGGCTCGTGACATAGTTGGTAACCCTTTCGATATTACCATCCTCGTGTTGAAAATAGCAACTGACTATTCTCTATTTAGCATTTATCTTAGATATACATAGTGTACCTAAGTGTCCTCTCGAATGTTATGACCGTAAATGTCACATGACAACAATGTATATATACTCCCACTCAGTGGATCTCAAGTATCGTAACCTTTACACAATATAACAACTATTACATCCATCATCTTCTTCTGACAGTAAAGATACGGAAGCATCCGCGCGCTGCCGATGACGTCATCTTCATGACATGTTCAAGTAAGTCTTGCGATAATGTACGGATTAAAGCTTCACTATGATCAATGGAATATAGTAATAGGAATAGTAATAGTAAGGTATCTATATTGGCGTGAGTATGCAGAAGTAAGACACGCGAAGTGGTAGTTACCACGCCCAGAATTGTATATTCGGATATTTCTAATCGTTAAGTCATCAGTTCATTGAATAAGGGGCACTTCCTTCAGCAAAGTTTGATCCTTGTTACCTATCTTGAACCTTTAAGTTAAGCCTTTAAAACTCCGAGCTGAAGTTACAAACTTCCACTATCCCCCAGCTTCGAACACAACACCATTCATAGCGCCTTTCACCACCACCCCTCCCAAAATGTCTACCTCCACCTCCACCTCCTCCTCGCAGCGCTTCCTCCCCAACCCCCCCGCCCCCCTCCGCACCGCAGACGCCAAAGCAGAGCTCCTAGCCAGCCTCGACCGCATCACCTCCCCAACCCCCCGGTGCACACGTGCTCGACGAGCTGGTCGTTCCAGGGGCTCTACAGCGGGCCCACGTCCGTCGCCTTCCTGTTCTTCTGGCTGCACCAGATGCTGTCCCGCCGGGAGGAGGATTCGTCTTTCTTCTCCCCGTATAAGGGCCAGTCGCTGCTCGACTGGGCCGAGGCGTATCTCGTCCTGGGCGGGGAACGGAAAGCCCCAGATCCAGACCCGGCGTACTGCGGGGTCGCGAACGAGACGCTGGTTAGGAGGCTGTGCGCTTTTGAGGCGCGGATTAACGACGGAGGGGTCCGGGGGTCGGATGAGTGGTTGTACGGACGGGCGGGGTATTTGTATTTTCTCCGGCCTTGCAGGAGTTCGTTTTTGGGGGAGGAAGAAGAAGAAGAAAGTGGTGGTGGTGGTGGTGGTAGCAGTGCCCTACGCAACTTACTCAACACCAGCATCACCCACACCGTCGCCCGCATCCTCTCGTCCCCGCAGCCCTGGACCTGGCACGGGAAAGCGTACCTGGGCGCGGCGCACGGGGCCATCGGGATCATCTGCCAGGTGGTGCTCGCCCAGCCAGCCGCCGCCCCGAAGCTCGAACCCGTCTTGGCCTCCCTGCTCGCCGCGCAGCAGCCCAGCGGCAATTTCCCGTCATCCGCCGACTCGGCGTCCGACCGCCTGGTGCAGTTCTGCCACGGCGCGCCCGCGTTCGTGCTCTCTCTCACGTCCCTCTTGCCGTATTACCCGGCTCTGGCGCCGCGGATCCGCGACGCGGTCGCGCGTGCGGCGGGGGTTGTTTGGGAGCGCGGGATCTTGACGAAGGAGCCGTGTTTGTGCCACGGGGTTGCGGGGAATGCGCTTGCGCTTGCGGCCGGTCTGGGAGTTTGTAAAGCGGTGGAGGAGGATAGGGAGGAGGATAGGGAGGTGGAAGAGCGGTTCGAGCATTTCCTCTCGTTCATGAGTACCGAGAGCATGGAGAAGACGGGCTGGATGAGGAGGGCTGGACGGGATGATGGGAGAGCGGGATTGTATACGGGGGAGGCGGGGCGCGCGTGGGTTTGGGGGGTGAAGGTTAGTGGAGGGGAGAAGGTGTGTATTGGGTATAATGATGTGTGATGAGATGGGAGGATGGATTATAAGTTGCTATGACTTTGCCTGGCGTGTGAAGTACTGATACTGGTCTTTTGTATCCCAGGTAGCTACCTAACCTAAGGTACCTACCTAGGTGGTTATACAAAAGAGCATGAGTACCTAGGTACAATTGTGAGAGAGAATGAAGTACCCCATTACCTTGCTACTATATCTAATGCTCATAAGGTTATCTAAGGAATAGCAACTGTTATGTGAGTGAAAGGGGGGTGGCTTGTAGACAGAGAAAAAGACCTAAGATAGCTCCAGAAGTACCGAGTAGCTCATAGTTGGGTTAAATTGTTTAACGAAAATTCAACATCAATAGAGCTAATTCTTCATCCTAACGGGAAGCATATTCGCTTCTTTATAGTGATATATTTTGACAACTCACTTCATCCCATCTCTTAAAGCCCTCTCACCCCTCCTCATGTCCAATCCCCTCAAACACCTCCATAACATCCGAGCTACCATCTTCCCAACCGACGACAGTAACCTGTCTGGTAACCCTCCAGGGGTTCTCCCCCTTTTTCTCGAGCTCCGGGAGTCTCACCAGTTCGAGATGATATTGCCCCTGATTATCAACCTGCCTTCAGTGTTTAATTGGCCTAAACTGACTGCGGATTATATCTCCCCAAAGGACAAATCATCGAAGAACAAGCCTCCGACTAGATAGATGGACGTCCTACATGACTACATCCTGCGTCGAGTCCAAGCCATTCAACATCAACTCAAGGCTTTTTCACCCAGATCTCGGGCGTATAATCGACATCCGGAGCATACACATGTCTTTGATGCGGTCTTCGGCCGATTTACGGACCAAGTTTAAGGTCTTTGGCTTTGAGTCAGCAGGTTTCATTTCTGGAGGATTCCTAGATTATGGGGATCTCAGGGACTTACAAGGTGAGCTACGGTGTCGTGGATGTTTTGCTTGTCTAGTAGGTAAGTTAGAAGAGCATCGTCCTGAGCAGCCATTGTTGCTGGTTTTTTTTTGTTTTTTTTTTGGTTTTTTGGTCTCCTTTCCCCCTGGTGATATATGACTGAGTAAATGGCTGTAACTTAGAGCGCAACTTACCTCGGAATTGTCAAGAATAGACATTATTTACACCATAATTAACAATTACCATAATTTTACAACATTCTCGGTCGAACAGTTTCGTCCGCAATCCGAGCTACAAATCCATTATAAATCCGCTAACCCCGGACTTAAGGCCTCTAGCCCTGGAGCCGGCGCAATTACAGCCCACTGATTACGGGATTGGGACAAGTTCACAGCGCTGATTGGACATCTTCAACAGTCGATTATAAACCCCCGACCGTTAGAAGATTGCCCCCCTTTTCCCCCTGGACAAATCATACACTACGTCGTTGGAGGATGCTTGCCTCTCACATAGGTATTTCCGTATTTCTTTCTATAAGATCTCCGGGTGATACGGCGTTGGTGGTGCAGTTGGTGGTGTTGCAATACTTTGCCTGTACATTATATATTATATACCTACATCATCTCTTCTATCTGGTCTCGTCTTATTTTCAGAACCAACAACCAACTTACAGCTAATTAGGTACATAACTCCGTTTTATCTCAGAAACCCCAAGCACACACATATAACATCATGTCTTCCCAATCCGGCTCTATCCTACTGCTCGGAGGAACAGGAAAAGTAGCGAGCCGCATTGCTCCCCTGCTCCACGCGGCGGGTGTGCCTTTCCTCCTAGCGTCTCGCGCCGGGTCCGCTCCTAACGGCTACACGGGCGTCAAGTTCGACTGGGAGGATGAATCGACTTGGGAGCCCATCTTCGCGACTCCCATCTCGGCCGTGTATCTCGTTTCGCCCCGCCGAGACGCCCAGGATACCATGAAGAAGTTCGTGGACCTGGCGCTTTCCAAGGGCGCCCGGCGCTTCGTGCTGTTGGGCGCAAGCTTAGTTGAAGAGGGCGGCCAAATGTTCGGCAAGGTGCACACGTACCTACGGGAGCTCGGCGAGGCGGGCAAGATTGGGTGGGCGGTATTGCGTCCGACCTGGTTTCATGGTAAATACCAAAGCACCTTATCTATCTCCGTTCACATCTACCATCCTCACTACCCCCATTCCCTCCTTTTTCACATGAGAAACCATGTCTAACCCCCCGATCCAGAAAACTTCCTCCACGATCACGCCCCAGACATCAGGAAGGAGAACAAGATCTACTCCTCCACGGGCTCCGGGAAAATCCCCTGGGTCTCGGCCGAAGACATCGCCGCCGTCGCTTTTCACGTGCTCACGGCTGCACAGGCCCCTAATACCGATTACTTGATCCTCGGGCCGGAACTGCTTACGCATGCCGATGTAAGTGTCCCCCTCCCGATCCCCACCATCCTTCCATCTATTCTCCCTACTCTTACCACTCCACCCCCTTACTAACATTCTTTTCCTCCCCTTCCTCCCGCATCCCAGCTCGCAGAAATCTTCACATCGGCCCTCGGCCGCAAGATCACCCACGTCGACTTGACGGAATCCGAGCTCGCCGAGCGGTGGACGAGCCTCGGCTTACCGGCGGAGTTCAGCGCGGCCCTGGCGTCGCTGGATACGGCGGTGCGGCACGGGTCGGAGGAACGGACCAGCGACGACGTGCGGAGGATCACGGGGCGGGAGCCCAAGCGGTTCAGGGATTTCGTCGAGGAGAACAAGGATACCTGGGCTCAGGATTAAAGGGGAAAAAAAGTCTAGTTAATCCTACTATCCACCACCAGCTGCTTCGGTGGTTAACTATATGTAATTAAGTTAGTTGGGTTGGTCGGTGTAGGAAAGGAAGGAGAGGATATGAATCTACACTTATAAATTAGCGGTGGTTAGCCAAGGACACTGTAGACAGAAACCACGTACCATGGATTCATTGTTATATCAAGCTTATGTTGTATTCTCTACCTAGGTTACTGTAGGTATTCCCAAGGTGTGAGAATTAGGTACTAGTACATATGTGTACTTATGAGTACTTAATTATGGGGCGTCACCTGACACTGCCCCCAACGAGGGAATTTGCTATGCCCTCATTGCTTTAGAAATTTCCTTCGTCCAATCAATAACAAAACATCAATACCAAATCTATGCTTTGCGAAGACGAAAGTCTTCCAACAATTCGTCCTTGTCTTCTCCCAGTTCTTTTTCGGATACCCATCTGGTGTATTGGGGGCCGAGACCGATGTACTCTATCAAATATCTTCGTTTCGCCGGATCATCGGTGATGATTCTGCGGTGGTGCGATTCCAAGGAAATTGGGCCGGGGTGAGGCAAAGAGCGGCCAAAGACGTCGAGCGGCGGGGCCGGCTCAAGATGGTCAACTGAAATGACGTTATGTATTTTGAAGTTTGGCGGGAATTCGAGACGATAGGCCAGTCGTCCGACGCGTTCGATGACGCGGAAAGGTCCAGCGTATTGCTGTCCCAACTTTCGACCCAATACAGCGGCCGACGGGATATTGTACCCCTTATGCAAACGTAGGAGAACTTTATCATTGACGTTAAAGAAAATCGGCTTGTGTTTGCTGTCGTAGTATCGTTTGGCTGTGACTGCTGCAACGGCGATCGCGTCGTGGATTTCAGTGCGAGAGCGAACGGTTTTATGTAGGAGAGCAGTCAAAAGATGATGGATCGCGTTGGGGGTGAAACCGTACAGGGTTTCGAGGGGGCTGGCCTGTGTCGTGCTGGATTTTGTCGAGTTCATCTCGAATTGAAGACGCAGCAAGCATTGCTTCCATTGGGTGGAGTCTTCAAGGCTATGGAAATAATAACGCATTGCCGATTTAATTTGCAGGATAAAACGTTCGGTTTGGCCGTCGGTTTGTGGGTGGTAGGCCGTTGCGTACAAGAGCTTTGTACCGGATCTTGTCCAGAATTGGGTCCAGAAGTCTGACAGAAACTTCGGGTCTCGGTCAGAGATTATGACCTTAGGGATGCCCCAATTGCTTGAGAGTAGGGCGTCGTAGTAGGCGTTTGCCCAATCAGGGGCAGACCAGGTGTGTAAACCGGCGATAATTATCGTTGCATTCGAAAATTTATCGACAGCGATGCCCAACGAATTAAAAAGATCTTCGGTTTGGGGCAGGCCAAATGCGATGTCGATTGTAATCGTGTGAAAAGGGCAGGGTGGGCTCAGAATGGGCTGTAGGGAGCCGCAGGGCTTGTGATTGCGGAGTCGCGTGACAGAGCACTCTGGGCAAGTCTGTAGATATTTCTTGAATTCTCGATTATCAACGACGAAATACAAGAGAGTGTCTTTCAGTTTGTGAAGGCCCATATGGTTGCTGCCGTGTATTATTTCAAATATCTCTGGATTGCACAAACGAGGCACACAAAGTCTGTCGTGCGTTTCAGAGGGTTTCCACAGGAGACCGTCTCGCAAAACGAAGGGGAGAACAGCAACATTGTCGCCGAGCTGAAAATTCGCTTTGATGACGTCGAGAATGGGCTTCCATTTGGGGTCTTGCAGATAACCAGCCTGGAGCTTGCGTTTGAAATCGGGGTGGATTTGAACCAAAGCGACGCCTCTTGAGGAAGGGGGGACAAGGGGATCGTCGTGGGGGTTTGCTGAAGCAAGCCTAATGGCTGGCAAGGCCTCGAGGTAAGAGAAGAGGGCCTTTTCCGATGGGGTGACCTAGTGTTCGTCCCGATCGTCTGGTAAGACGTTGAGACCGCCGTCATCTTCGTTGGGCTTGTGAGATTCGGTAGTCGGCAGACGATACAAGGCATCTGGGACAATGTGGAGTTTCCTAGGTTTATGGAGAATAGTAAAGGTGAATTTACTAATGTACTCCATTGCTCGGACGAGCCGAAGGTTTTTGTTGCTCATCCCTGTGGAGTTGACGATGTCGCTGTATCTAGTCATACCTAGAATGGCACGATGGTCTGTGAAGATGTATACGCCAGCTTGAGCGACGTCAGTGTAATGGCGAGTCTTTTGCATGGTCCAGATGAAACCGAGGACCTCCATCTCAGTGGGCCAGTAGTTCTGCTCGGCAGCAGACAAGGTTCTGGAGAGGAAGGCGATTGGGTGGATAGCCGTCCGTGGGGGGTATGTGTGTAATTTTCTGTCTTTGGTAAGATTGGGCAATGCTTTTTCGTCAATATGGTAGACGGTGACACCAATGCCTTTGCGGGAGACGTCAAAGTCAATGCACAAGGGTTGTCTTGGGTCGTAGAAGTACAAGACGGTGTGTTTAGTGAGGGCTTCTTTGAGACCTTCGAACGATAGTCGTTCGGCTTCTGATGGAGTGTCCAAAGGGATGTTGGTGGCCCAGCGACGTCGTCCTTGTTTGGACTGTCCTTTTCGTGGGTGAGAACGAACGAGCAGAGATTTTCGTTTCTCCAGGGGTTCTGCCAATTCGGCAAAGCGAGGGACGTTGTTCCTCATATATCCTGCCAGACCTATGAATGTCTCAAGGTCTTTCAGAGTAGATGGGAATACGATCTTGGAGATCGCTAAGAGTCGTTCTCTGTTTGTGGACAGACCAAAGGAATCAACCGTTCTTCCCAGAACGATTGCGTTGAGGAATCCGATGAATGACTTAGATGGGCCAATAGAGACGTTCTTTCGGCGGAGAAGGGAGAAAAACAGCGAAAGGTCTCTGAAGTGGTCGTCAAGTGTGTCAGAGGCAACGACTATGTCGTCACAATAACAGTCCGCATCGTCGACATGCTCGGACAGGATGTCCATTTGCCGTTGTACATAGGCGTTACTGTTTTTGCAACCCATAATGAGAACTTGGAAGGTGTATTGGCCTTTGGCCGTTGTGATCGTTAAAGCCCATCTTGCTGAAGGGTGGACTCTCCATTGATAGAAGAAATTTAAGGCGTCCATGACAGTGATGAAGGCCTTGTTGTGCATTTTGGAAAGTAGGGCGTCTTGTGCTTTCATGGGGTATGCGTCGTTGAGGTTCATATCGTTGAACACTCGAGTGTCTACGACCATTCTGCCTTTTTTGGTGATCAATTCAGGACCGTTCTCGGTCATCTTCGTGATAGGGTTAGGCAAGGGTCTCCAAACGACGAAGATGGGCATAGAGAAGGGGACAGGGGCTTTGGTGCGCACGATCCGTCCCTGATTGATGAGTTTTTCAATCGTTTGGTCAACAATCGCTTGATCTTCGGCGTTGAGAGGGTATGGACGACATTTTTTGGGGATGAGGTCTTGCCATCCTGGTTTAAGGTGAAGACGAGGGAGTTCGTCTTCTGTAATGTGCGCAAAACCTTTATCCTCAAAGATATCAGAAAACTCAGTGATTGCCGCTGAGAGTTGTTCGAAGATTTCTGGGTGGTTGGGGTGTTTTCGAGACTGCTCCGTTTTGGAGATAACGAAGTCGACAGCTGGACCCAAGACGCGAGAGTCGTTTGGTGAGGGAGGAGGCTTTCGTATGGCGGGGGCTGGTCCCCGCTCCTTGGTGACCTGGTATCCTCGGTAGCCCTGTTCCATGGGCTTGAGGCGACCCATTACAGTGTTGGGCCGAATGACGACGTCTGAGCTTGAGTCGTTTCTCACGATAATCTTGTCCATATGATCGTTTGACAATGTAGCGTATGTCGATACTTGATTAGACGAGGGTTCAAAAATTGAGTCCTGTCCGAACGAAGCTGTATGAGTTACTTCCAGACAGAGATGTGATCTGGCGGGGACTACGGTGCGCTTGGTTGCGAGGACTCGTGCTGGTTGAGCACGGATGTCGTTTGTCACAGACAAAGGGATAGCGACTCTACAAGACTGTATGACCGCTATTTTCTTTGAGATGATAATGTCGATTTCTTCAGCGTCTAGTATGTCTATGCCGAGTAGCATCTTGACTGGAAGACCGTCAACAAGAGTTACCTCTCTAGCGAAAGTGGCGACGACTTGCTTTCCATCCAGAAAGCCTTTAAAATAAAATCAAATAATGGCGTAATCAGACGACGACAATTGGTGCTCCGTAACACCCCGAATCAGCAGTGGGGTGGCACGTTTTCGGATTTCTGTGCCGGGATACTTATTTAAGATCCATGTTCTGTCTGCGAGGGTCTTAGTACATCCAGTATCGCCACAGATGTCTTCCTCGTGTTCGGATTGCAAGTTTGTCATAACAAAGAGTTTAAGATAAGTCTTTGTTTTATATGAGAATCCGGTTCCGCAATCCAATCGTGAATCGACGGAAGATTGGACGATGGGAGTCTGGCTTTTCAACGTTGTTGGGGGGCAAACGAAGGGATCGACGGGAGGTGGGATTCGCTCGTCTACGTGATTAGTCAGATGTATGGTAGGAGAGACTTCGACTGCCATATTTGAGCTGATGACGTTTGCTTCCGACGATGGATTCATGATCGTCTTGGTGGAAAGGACGTCGTCTTGGATGGACCGTGTAAGGAGGGGTCTGATGATCAATGGCGGAGAGGTCATTGCCGTGAGGGTTGTTGAGGAGTTGCCTGATGGTATGGGTAGGCCATGGTCGTCTCGAAGGTGTTGGAACAGTCTGTTTCGACTGTGGAAACGTCTGTTGCACATGTTGCAAGATGATTCGACTGGCAACGGGAAAATTGTGCCGAATTGGGCGACTTCGTCATAGCTGTCATTAGGAAGAGGAGGCCCGAAGTCCTCTGGAACGGGACCGGATGACATGACCGGGTCGGAGGGGCCAGCTTCGAAGTCGTCGAAGGTAAATCCGGTATCGTTTGGGGGTGCGTCGAGCCAATCTTGTTGGGGGGCATGATAGCCCTCGGGGGGAGGGTAGTCATCTTGAGGGTAGTCCTCAGGGGGATATCCGTCTGGTGGGTATCCATCGTCTGGAGGATATTCCTCGGGATGATACTCTGGGGCTTGATAGATTTCGTCTATGTTGACCAGGTAGGCTTGTTGACGGTTCTGTTGGTTCCAATTCTGATAGTTGGAACGGTTGTTGCCTCTGTGAGATCCTCGTTGCTCACCTCGACGCTGGTAAGAGGGACCGGACTGTCTGTTTTGTGCATATTGGGCGTTGGATTGTTGAGCTTGATGATTTTGACCATACTGCTGTCCTTGGTTGTAGTTGTGTTGTTGATGTGGAGGAGTCCAACGTTGACGATCGTAGTAGTTATTGTATCTGCCTCTGCCGTATGAGGATCGAGGATAGTAACGATTATTACCCCAGCCACGATTGTATCCCTGTTGATAGTGTGAGTTGTCAGTGTTGTTCGGTGTGTCGTTCAGGGGTTGCTTGCCATAGAAGGCAGTTTGCATCGGCTGCTGTGGCTGATGCTGCCTATGGGGCTGAGACTCTGGTCTGTTGTTGGGCAGAGTAGGGTACATCGTGAGAGCGGCGTTTTGTGAGACAGGCTCTCGTTCGTCCAATTGATTGAGGAACTGGCCCAAGGTTGTTGCCATGGTCGGGCGTTGGATCTGAAGTTGGATGTGAGCGTCGAAGGCATTGAAGGCATTCAATAGCTGATTGAACAAAAGGAGATCACAATCCTTAGCGTCTCTGATGACGCCGTGCACAAAGGCTTGCAGATTCTTTCCTTGACGTAGGTCTAGCATGGTGAACTTGTGGTTCTGCAGATCCAGTGTCGCCTGAATGTTCTGCTTCTTAAATCTGCCGATAAGGGCTTCAACGATGTCGGTAACTGTGCCCAGGAGCAAGCCTCACTTCTCAAGGGGAGTGAGCTCCGTCGTCAGCCAGCCTTGGGCTGTTCCTTGCAAACAAGTTGTCCATACTTGTTTAACTTTGGCGTTGCCGTGAGATGATTGTAGCTCAAGGAGACGGCTGGTGAAGGCATGGACGTTAGTATAGATGGTATGTTTGCCGGAGGCGAAGAAGCCTAGGTTTTCAGTGTCTTTGGAGCTGGGATTGAAGTAACCGACGTCTTCGGCTTTGAGATTACCTCCATTGTTATTGTTTGGGTTGACTTGTGGTTCGGGTCGTTGAGGCTGTTGAGCAAAAGCCTCGGCAATAAGTCTTGCTGCCAGTTCGGCAGTGAGAAGGGGTGGAGGTTGATTAGCCTGAAAGTCGTTGTGTGCATGTCCGTTACCTGGATTTGCGGAGGACCCGCGGGGGGACCAGTTCCCGACGGATGGCCGCTGGAAGACATTGGGGTAGCGGATTGCAAACGAGATTGAGATCGTGTAGTGGCTCTGGGGATCTCAATTGTCTGGGAAAACTTAGATCTCGTAGATATTGTTGAAGAAGTTCTGACAGATCTGGACGATGTTTGTCTGGAAGACGAGGAGGCAGGGGATGAGGTCCTGACACTCGGGTCTTTAAGATTCGTAGGATCTCTGACAGAAGACGAAATTCGTCTGGAAGACAAAGAGGCAGGGGATAAAGTCCTGACACTCTAGTCTTTGGGATCTGCAGGAGAGGGAACTTCTGACAATTGTCTGAAAGAAGATCTCTGAGAAGAGGTTTGTCCAGAAGGATCTGGAGTGTAAACGAGCTTTGACGAACCTGAGGTTGGGATGTCTGAAGTTCCCAACGAAAGAAATTGGAACTTGGTCTCCAGAGGTTGTCCGACAGAGGGGACATGGGAGTCGGTAGAGATAGTGTCACCGTCGTCTTCCTCTTCAGAGAGAACAATAAGCTTGGGAGGACGAGGAGTTTGGGGATCACTGACGGTACGTCGATGGAAAATTTCCAGAGGACCTATTCTTGGTGGACGTAGTGGAGTGGGAATAAGTGGTCTGCTGGACGAAGTGCTTTCTGGCAAAAGGAGAGGGACTTCCCGTTCAACAGATGATATGTCAGAAGAAGAATCATTGTAATAGTTGTTGTTTATGTAAAGGTTACGATACTTGAGATCCACTGAGTAGGAGTATATATACATCGTTGTCATGTGACACTACCTCACATCGAATCTTGGCAAGCTTGGCTATCTCTTAGCAGAGCTTGGTATATAGATATATGCACGGATGACGCGGATCAGGAGCCCGGGTCTGCCATGCTCTTCGCCCTTTGTACAAAGCATAAAAGACAGGTATCATTCCATTTTAAGACAATATACAAATTGAACACCCCAAAACTTTTTCAGCTATTTTGCTCCGAAGCTGATTTTGACAATGCAACAATACATAGGATCCTTGAGACGAGCTTGATGCTTGATGTAAAGAAATATGCAATATGGGTACATGCTAACTTAGTAGCCGGTGACAAAGAAGATGAGGAAAAAGAGTATCTTCCAACATTGCCAAGGAGGGACTCGGATCTATCCTCAGGAGCCGCTACTTTTGACATTAAATCTTTTCACGGTAAAACGGCACGCCCCATCACCAATATTATTTCCCATGAAGCTTTTCTTTGAGATAAACCACCGCAGCATAGCCAGAGCAACATTGGGTGCTCATACCATGCCCGCACCACGGGCACTTGACCATCGTGGTGATGGTGGCTGAAACGCCAAGCAATTTGTCCTCCACGAGCGAGTCAGGTTTAGCCATGCATTCGTATACTCTGGAGGGCATATCGTGAAAGAACTTGCAGCTGCAGCACTCCACTAGCATTTTGGCCAGGGGTTCCGATCGGCCTTCCGACCCTCCAACCTTATTGATGCTAGCGGATGAGTTCTTATGCGCATAATGCGGTCTCAGTGGCCTAGACGTAGAAGCGGGAGGAATCGGAGCCGCTTTTCGGGCTTCTTGGAGATAAGCAGCACCAGAAGAGACTACCGCCGACGATTCGTCACTGTTAGAGCTGTTTTTGCGAGATGTCCTCAGCGCGGATTTTCGAGGGGCCCTTTCAATTAATTCTACTGGTGGTGAACTAGACAAACTTCCCGACATCATAGCGCCTTTCGCTTTCTCCTGCTGTGGGGGCTGATGACTGGAATCCGGCAAGAAGCTTGTCGAACGGGCGTCAAGAACAGATTGAGCCCTGGAGGGTAAGGACTGCTTGTGCGGATTTCTGTTGGTAATGTCGTCCTCATCTTGACTTTCCTTGACGTCTTCCGAAAATGAGCCCGAAGAAGGAGTTCCCACTAGTTGCGGGCTGGACGCCATACCGTTCAATTTAGATGCTGCAGCAGAGTCATTTTCAAGGTCTATCGGCAATGCTGTCCGGCTCCAGCTATCGTCTTGAACCATTGCATCTCTAGTAGTAGACCGCGATGTGCTCTTTGAAGGCAACTCCACAGTTGGAGGTCGATATGTTCTGCGCGAAGTTCCGTCCTCAACATCCACGCTTGACTTCCCCGGAACTCTGCTTATGTCTACCTGGGGTATCATGTGTTCTTTTTGCAATCGCAGCCGCAAGCTTTCTGGTGTCGGGACCGTGACTGGAGAGGGGGGAGCATCGTCGCATGTGGAGGATGAGGACCTCTCTGAGTTAGTCCGACTCTGATCCGTATTTGATTGAGAAGTGGACATGCTAGACGTTTCTACCCCTGCGAGGATTCTGGCGGCTCTTGGGGATATTCCTAAGCGTTCAAGCGCCGGCACGTTGCTGTCGGAATAATGAGAAGAAATAGAAGGGGAATTCTTGGCAGGCTTTTGTTTTATAATCCTACTGGCGTTGTTCGAACTGGATATAGTAATTTGGCTCGGGTATTCGGAAGGAGAACCGATTTCGTTAACCTTTCTCACCGGAATATGCTGCAGTATATGGTCCAAGTCGTTCTCTTCAGGTTCTTCGTCGATTCGTGGCGATGGAAATTTGCCCTCATTGGGTGATCGTAGCTCTAGAGACGGGGGGGCATACGATTGACTGACGAAAGAGAAGTAATCAGCGGACCTATCTAGCCTTGGTGGCTTCTCGTAAGATATGGCCTCCTCCCCATCCGCGGGCTTTTCTGATTTCGGTTGCTCTGTGGTAGCTGGTCGTATCTCTTCGTCGGATGAACTAGACGTAATAGCCCTTCCGATCATGTTAGGGTTGGATGGGAAAGTAACGTGCTTTCTTCCGTCCGTCGGAGGGGAACTGCGTTCTTGTTTCCGAGACACTGGTCGGATTGTTGATGAATGAGTGCCAATAGACCCTTCATCATCTTCTTCATCCCTAGCGGGGCCAACCTCTGGGCGACTCGGTCTCTTAGTGTTGATATTTCCAAATTCTTGTTGACTGGAAGGTGCTAACTCCGGACTTTGCTTATATTCACCACAGGATTCTACTTGAGGCTGGACGTATCCATTAGTTTGTTGTTTGACGTGGTACCTTGATTCAAGCTTCCGACGAATCTGCTCAGCTTGTCGGGGGATGTCCTCATCATTTTCCAAATTGTCGACTGGCTGTCTCGGAGCTTTAGGTACACGTTCCAACCTGGCCCGCCTCTCTCTCTCAACAGCTAATTCTCGAGTGGGTGGGCGATCATGTGGCACCTGAATACGACGGCCGCGGTACGAATTGGGATCTGGTGCCTCATATTCATTACCAGCGCCCACAAGATCTTCTATACGGGCAGGAGGTCGCGCACTGCGAGGGACTACTTCGACTGGAGGCTCAGTAGTCGCGCGCTTGGGTTTGGGAGGAAACGAAAACTCGGGGAGCTTATGGTTAGACTCTGCTGAAGTTAATGGGCGTTCTTTATGACGCTCTGGCTGTTGCACTACGGGTCGTTTTGTAGGCTGGTCGTCTAACCAACTAGTCGAAACATCCGGCTCTTGGGAACTACTCGGCCGCTGGAATTTACTACCATTAGACATCTCGGAAGGGCGATAGTAAAGGTAGGACGGCCCTTTTAACTTGTTTAAGGTGGACGAGAGCAATGATTGTGAGCGTCCATGACTTGAACCGGATGAATTTCGAGCGCTCGGTGGCAGCTGGTCGAGAGAAGAAATGGAGCGAGTTGAGTTTGAGACGGCCGACGTAATGGAGGGGGTCTTCAACATAGGCGATCCTCCGGGCTGACTTCCATCGCTGCTTGCCCGCTGGTTATCAAGGATCTTCTGAACGGCGGCTGCATTCCCATGCTGTAGTCGGAACCCAGATAAGAAGCCCCTGCTTTTCTGCTTGTTATCAAGTTTCGGATTGGCCATATCGCTCGACGGAGCCGGATTGGGAGCAACTGATTTCGCAGCGTTAGATTTTAGGTAGAGTTCTAACTCAGGGGCTGACTGTGAGCGGTCCGTTGTTATTAAAGATTCAACCCCTTGAACCTTTTGCGGCGGAACCTTGCTCAATTTGTTCCCCTTTTTCTTTAAGGTGTTCGCGAGTTTTTCCTCACTTTTTTTGCCTTCGTCGGCATCGGCCTTCTTGGGCTTTTTCTTTTTGTTCCGGCCGTATTGTTCCCAGCTAGGCGATTGGCATATGGAAGACTGATCAGAAGAATCACCCTCGTTGTTGTCCTCTTCCCCGGGACCCGAGAATGTCACCGTTTTAGTGCGTTCCTCCCTTTTTTTCTGTTGCAGCTCTCCTGAAGGTCCATCGGTTGGCGCAGCAGGATCCTTAGCTCCAGAAGGAGGTATAGATATCGAAAGCGAAGGAAGAGCAGAGCTCCGCCGCACGGCTTTCATTATCTGGGTTTGGTGGGAAAGCGGAGGATGTCCGCTTGCACGCCGAGCCTTAAACGGTTTATTTGGCTGGGCGGGGGGTGAACTTGTACTTGGCGAGACGATCGTCGCGGGGTCATGACCTTGGATGCGTTGCATCTATAAGACGTGAGCGGGCAGCGTATTAATGGTGCGTCGGCTAGCGGAGGGGTTTTAGAGAGAGAAAGGGGAAATGATATTTCTGAAATGGTCCAAAAGGAGGGTTGCATGCCGAGAAATCGACATACCTTGTACCTTTTCTCCAGGTCTAGCATCTTCAAGAAACTGTCGGACCTAGATGGTAGGCCTGGCTCTGACTTCTGCACCTTGGTCATATTGAGGCTTACGCGTCGACCGATGCGAAGCAAGGAAATGGTAATAATTCTCCTAGGCTAGAAACTCGCCTGCTAGGTATGCTGCCGGGTATGCCAGATATTGATCGGGAGAAGTTGGAAATGCGCACTGGGATAAAGGGCCGGATCGCCGCAGGTCGAGATGCAGCACGGTTAGTAACAAAACAAGCCAACTGGATACACCTTATTCCTGGTTGGACCCTCTAATCATAGAAGGCCCGGCAGCGGCAGTGAGTTTTTGTGCGAGTAGGGGGGAAGAGAAAAGAAAATCAAAAAGAAAATAAATAAATTATATTCCGCTGGTCTTGGCTTTCCAGATGCGTCTGTCCGTATAGCCGGGTTTATACCTGGATCCCGGAACTTGCTTAACTGCCAATAACTAATATTAGTTGGGCCAGATTTACTGGCATAATCGTCTTATTTTTGCTTACCAGGAAAGGTTAGGAACGGGGTAAGTAGGCAGCTGGGACGGAGCAAGTAAAGAGAGACATCTGGTAGGTATGCCGAATTATCACGAAGGTGAAGCTTGGTGGTTTTGGTGAGCTAACGAACGAGACACCCCTCGCAAGTTGTCGTGGGTTCAACAGACGGGTAAGATCAGATCGGATCGTATTAGTTAGATACAAGGCTTCCAGTGGCGTAAACATCTAACCTAAGGTTAAAGGTATGTATTAATCATCGGATAGACACTTTCAACTTTGAAAAACGAACGGCAGGACTAGAGAGTCCAGTCAGATTAGTTCAAAAATTAATTATTAGGAAATGGGAAGATTAATTGATAAAATAAAATACAAAAAAAAGTATAAAAAAAAGTGACGAGATGCCAGATGAGAAGGTGTTTGTTTTCGATGTACCCCGTGTTCTTGTGTGATTTCCATGTACTTCAGGGCAGAGACATTGTATGCAAGCTACCAACCGGAGACAAGAAAAAAGCCCAGGATGGGAACAGGGAGCATCGTGGACCTATGAACAACACGAGATGGGGGAAGAGAAACGGTCTGTCGGGGCTTGACAATATTGAAGTTACCTAACTACTGTCTTTCCCTGAGCCGACGAACTACGTACAACGATTGGTGATGATTGGATTTAAAGAGTCTAAGTGGACTGCAATTGATGCCAAAAACAGAAAACGGTCGGCACTGGTACGGCCCGGGTAGAATGGCGTCAAAAAAAGTGCCTATTCCACTACCAAGCAGGTCATTTTGCTATCCACATAACTTTACCGAATCGTCTCGTAGGCTGTCAAAATGACTATTAGGATAATTATAACATTTTGCTCTATATGGAAACAATTTTTTTGAATTTAATTTGCCTTTATATTCGCTAAAAAAAGGTTGGTAGAAGGAATATTGGTGTTAGGCACTTATTTTGACGGCATTCTGCCGGGTACAGGGGTTGCACTGCCCTATCGTCCGCCGTAGCAGCGTAGCCAGCGCCATTACCTGTACTTGAACTGACCTGATGTCTCTTGTGTTAAATAGGTACATTGGATATACGTTAGGTTAGTAGGTACTTTTTAGCTTCTAGGTACCTTAGGGTAGTTAGCTTCGTAGTTTCCAATAGACCATCAATTGTTTTACTATTTCAGATTGCTCACACGTAATATTCAGTGATCTTACTTACCTACCTCTTAAACATGTCCATCACACCTGCCAACATCGAAAGCATGAAGGGAAAGTAAAGATAGAAAAGGCAAGTACGATAACTCAGCAGGACCTCAACATTTGAACCAACAACGTTAAAAACATGTATTGTACCTACCTACGGGTAATACGAGCCTATGGAAGTACCTAACCCTCGTTCGGCCAGCTGCATCTTGACGATCTCGACTGCCACCATGGAGAAAATGAAGAGAGGGAAAAAAAAGACATAGCCTGCAAACTATTGGCGCACATGTACGTAGACATGCAGTGTCTAACAATTCGGCATGTTGCGTGACATTTCTATATTTATTGACATATTCCATTGCTCTACATAATTTCTCGACAGCTTGACCAAATCAACAAGTACAAAGCAGCTGTATATTCATATGAGATATTATGCAATATCTAATTAAAACAAGCAATCAAGCGTGTAGCTGTCCGGTATGCTTACATCCATACATGCACGATTGTCGGATGACAACTGTATAAGAAGTAGCCACCTGCTTTTTACATACCTAGGTATGTATACTACCTTCCTAGCACGAGTTCATCTTTAAAGGTTCTCTATTGAATTGGGCAGTTGTTTGCCCCGTGGGCATTAGCGCCTCCGTATACTAGTGGTAGGTAGTTGGTTTACAGGGCGGCTACTTCCAGATAACCTAACATTTAACACTTTAATAAGTGGCAATGTCGGGTACATTGTATAAGGAGGTACGCTACTTCTCTGCGCCATCTCGAAATAATACGAGCTCTGACGAAAACATAATTTTTTAGGCCGTCTAGCTGTCTCTTCCAAATATCACCCCATCCTTTTAGAACTTATGTACAAACCTCCAACGCTTCACAATCAGATCATAATCATACTGATTGATCTTATTAAATAATACAGCTCCGTACCAACATAGTCTTACGCTTGTTTCCAACCCATCCTTCAAAAAATCACTGCCGTTAGACGTATGCGTTCAGCCTTGGTCAAAGGAGGGGCTGATTGATTGCTATTCACAGTTCAGGCCGTGATCGACATAATTTTCTCACTCTTAGTAAAACTGATGGAAAATGACAGTACCTATTCATCCGGAAGTGCCAGGACAATCCCTTCCTAGATCAAACGTGCGACGAAAACATAAGGGAAAAGAAAAATATAACTAAGCTATTACCTATTGTGATGATTGGAATTCATCACATCGGGCACGATACTTTAACCGAAATAACCGTTTAGCGCCCCTATGCCATGTCGATTTGCTGAAAGTACACTCGGTTTCCTTTTTCCCATCTTTTTTTAAGGTGCCCTCCAACTCCACATTCCGCCACGCCTGTCAATCTTCCTTACATGGGTTTGCACGCAATGTAACCACAGGTTGGCAACAACCCGGATCATCGAATCTGAGCAACGGCTAGAAGCCGACAACGAGATCCGTCAACCATGAGCCTCTCACTCTAGGTAGTTGACGACGCGCAAGCAGTCCACAATAGCTGCTACTCTATTAAACAGAAAGGACCTCAAAAGTCTAGATGGGTTAGTTGTAGCGTAAGCCAAATCTCTATATGCGATCTTGTTCTAGACCGGCGGACCGGCGGACGAGTAATGGTTTCGCGAGCATTCGGCCCCCTTCAATAGTCATGACATCGCATTGCATCGCATTATCCCTTTCGGGTGGAGGGTCGGGCGAGATCTGACGACATGGAAAGCATTCATAACGTATGGTTCGCTACGTGCTAAGAGACAGATCTGGAGCCCATTGCATCCTGCATTCAGCTCCCCATAGCTAGCGAACTTGTCGGGAAACAGGAGAGCTTCCAGAAGATCCTATAATCCTGCACCTGAGTTGGGCTGCAGTACAAGGCGTCAAAAATCTCCCTTGATGGTGAGAGCCTCACCTCGTATTGCTCCTGATAGGGCCTTGGCCTCCTGAGCCATGGTCGGCATCATCCCTGTTTATTTTGGAGCAAGAGCGGCTATTTGACGCCATTTCTGCACGCTTCATGTACGATGCTTCATATGTGCTTGTCGTTGGAACGCCGTGTAACAATCACCCCAGGTCGTAATTCAACCTGTATACGCCACACACCACGGCATGTTAAACCTACGGCCTTCTCAATGATTTCCTTCTCACCAACGTCAATATCAATCGTGGTCTTCATTTAGACGCTGACTTTATTGAGCACGCAAACTCTCACCGAGAGGTATCTCCGATGTGTCCGGAAGGGCTTATTCTATGCGCTACGTAAGCACCGGGAAGCAATAAATCGCGAGACCTCGCAGGAGGAGTGGGTTACACGCTTTTTCTTAGGTAACTTCTTCGCTCAACCGAATCGGATCTTGCCGCTGCTCACCGTCCGGACTGAAATGCATCCAAACCTCGCTTCCCAGTGGGAAGTTGACTAAACCTATCAATGGTTTGCCTTTTATATCAGTAGCGACAGCTGATGCTTTAGCTTTTCGCCGAAACCAATTACTTGTACGGGTCCTCAACTCGTTAGGTATCCTAAGGCGAGAAGCCATCCACTTGCTATCGGGTCGATGTTCATGTGGCAGCTCGTCTGCGACAAGAACTTTTGTTCGTAGAATCCCCTCATCGATCCAGCTATTTCCAGCTGTGAGTTCAAGAGGGAGAACTCGGGTTAAGAATTCCAAGGAAGAATTTACAGTCAGGCCCACTGCCCTTTTGGGATTTACCATGGTTTTCATAAAGAAAGACATCCAATGAGGATATAATATGGCGAAATCAAATTGTGAAAGGTGGGTTGACCCTTTAATGGTGAGCATCCAGTAATGAGCCCCTCCGTCTCTCGTCTCTTCTTCAATATCGCATAATTTTTTAAGTTCTCAGGCCAATGCATGAATGCTTCAGAGTTGATGGCTAGAAGAGGCTTGCGTATTGATTGGTGAGTAACTTTTCCTACTTTTGGTGTGGCCCGTCCCCACGCATCAAGAAGAATACCTTGACCAATATATGGAAAACGGTCGTTGTGGCGAATGATCTCGACCGCCATCGCTCCACCGAAAGAATGGCCCATCACCGTAACGTTCCGCAGTAGAAGCCTGTCATCCCAATCAGACCAGTCAATGCCATCTAGGCCTCTGGAGCTAGACCTTGCGTTTCCTTTCTTCCTCAAGTTGTTCTTATAAATCAAATCCGCGTGGCCATTGTTGAGAAGCTGAAGAGCATAGTACACCTCTTCAAACTCAGACATACGCATTTCGATCTGTGCGTGTCTGAGTTCGGTATCCACTCCTTGGGCGTTGTGAGGTGAAGTATCCTGGGCATTGTCCAGAGGAAAAATGTAATCGGCCTTGTAGAAACGTCTCGGATTCGCGTCGCCGATTGATGGACATTCTGCTAGCTTACCGCTTGGCGGAATATTGACATAAGAACGCGCACCACTACCATCACGATGCTCTACTGCAACGACAACAATCCCATTACTAGCGAGCTCTCCGCATATTGCACTATAACACATACGGGAGCCCCCTAATCCATGGCTGAAGAAGATAACTGGGAATCTTGGTTTATCCCCACTTTCCGCTAATGTGTTCTCACTGTAGGCGCCAGAGGGTGGGCGGGGTGCAGCACCGGGGCAGTCGCCGGCGTGGTCACCGGCAAGCTTGGCATTGCGGAAAGCCGGCAGCTTAGTGAACATGGTCGTGGCGGCAATATAAACCGTAACAGGTAAATGCGGTATACTAAAGAACTTCGCATAGCCTTTGCTCGTCAAGGTACGCGGTCTCGGTAGCCACGTGGCTTTGGACGGTTTCCCCTCCCTGCTCTGCGTGGACGACGAAGGGTCGCAGGGGTAATAGATCGAGAACAGGACCGTATCCATCCGCAGCGCGTGCATATGGTTACGCTTGATTTGAGAAAACGAGCGTGGCTCGCGTACCGGCACCTCTATTTCCATTATCCCTACGCTATAAGGTCCGGTAATAATTGGGCAGAGAATGAAATAGGTGCTCTCTGAAATGATCTGGGTGGATTTTTCCCCGGCCGTCGTGGCTGGTTATTCTGGTGTTTTTCGTTCCCCATTGTTACGTGTAAGTGAGACTAGATTGGGGTGCTATATTGGTAATGACACGCCCATTATAATTATAATGCATTGAAGAGTGTATAAAACTATTATTAACTTTGCAGTAGGCTTGCTAACCTAAGGTTCTAGGTACCTAATTGACATTGAATGGTAGGACTTCGCAGTATACTAAGCTCCGCCCAAACGGGATTGACGTCATAGACGGACAGAGCTCAGGGGCTAGGTACCTTAGGTAATTTACAGAAAGCGCAATAGGTGCCTAGCATTGTAGTGGAGGTTAATGCGTTTCTCGTTATTTCCCTAGAAACAACATATACTTTTTCTGCTCATCCTCTTGAGATTCGAAATTTCTTCGACTACCTTTTGGCAATTTTAATGGCTTTTGGCCCCTAAACAACTTCTCGCTTCTTTCTAATTACATAAATTTTTATGTGGTTGGCCCGATAACATATACCGAATCGGAGGAGGGCAGCTGGTACAACATTTGTTCCTGCGTCCATCTAAGTCTTAAGTTCCTGGCTAATGAACGCTATCTGCACCGGTTCGTTGGGTTTTGAGTTTGCGACGTCGTGCTCCGAACCCGAGTACGTGGGTCATTGAGTCAGTATCACGTCCGCTTAGCAACGGCGCTGCGATTAGATGAACGTCAGTGAATCCATCCCTACCTTTTACTTAGGTCATACCGCATGAACAACATGAAGTCACCGAATCATATCAGTATTCAAGATTGCCCGTTTCACCTTAAAGAAGATAGCTTAATAGACTATTTCCTCAATATGCGGTGGCTCTTACTAGACGCCCCATATGCAAAGAGAAGAGCTTCATTTCTAGTCTTCCCGGGGCGTCTCTCGCTAAACGCCGGATCCAATCCTGCGGCTGGGTAAATTCGCCTCGATGTGACCCCTCGCTCCTGTATTCCTTTTCGCTTCCCCAGATCCACCTGGGTTGAAAGACTGGCTGATAGCTACCCAACGGCAGAACCTGGTTGAGAGAGCCGAAAGTACCCCGGATCTATGTTGACGAGGAACCCACCCGCTCTCGACTTTAACCCGACACCATACCGTACCATTGGCATGCCCTTCAGCGCGGGAAATTTCACCAGTCATTTCGTCAATCGACAGGCGTATGTCGCCAATCATCGTGTAACCAATGGTAGAAACTAATAAAAATTCTGTCGACGCCCAGCTGCTCCCCCCTTCCCCCCTTTAGCACGTGGATTTCGCAGCATATCGCCCGATGCCAAGAGCGAAGGACGCATGATGGCCCTATATAGCGAGGCAGCTACGCATCTATGGAACCTTGGCCCAGTTCTTGCTGTTTATTTTTCGTCGGCCACATGTCGGCGCGCTCGAGGCGACTTTAGCCGGCATGGGAGATAGCTACGGCATCGCGCAAACTGCTGGCATTACTATGTGTCGGTGGGAAAGGGGATTTCTGACTCATAATATCATCTTGCTGGGGTCTCTATTAGCAAGCAAAGCAAGCAGGCTACAGCCAGTCAGCCTTGTTCCACAACATGTGAGGTATATTGCCGTTTTCTGCGCGAGACGCCCCAGGCGCCCGAAGCTGAGAGCCGATGTCTCACGATGGGGGCTAGAATATCATATTTCTACCCAGGAGTCAAATTTTCATTGCTCCTACTCCCGCAGCTATATCTGCCAAGCTTGAACGCTGAAAACGCAGCCAAGGCAGGCAGACAAGTAAGCTATCATTTCGCGCGTACGCATATGACGCCTTGGCCCATCTGGTTCCTGGGCCGGGCGGCTACTCCCGCCTAGATCATGATTTGACATGACACTTTTGGGTCCCATCCGATCTATCGGCCTACATATGTCAGCCATGGCATTCCCGCGTCCCGTTCCATCGAATACGTAAAATAAAGCCCCTTTCATACGTAGGTCTTCGCATTGTAAACTCCATCCCGGCGGTTCATCAACGAAATTGCGCTGACGCGTGCTGCCGATGCTTAATTATAAGCCGCCTACCCGGACGCCACGAGCCAAGTCTAGAACGCGCCGCCTTAATACATTGGTATGTCGTGATATGATGCTGTCGAAAGCCGGCGTGGAAAATGCAGACCAGAACGAAATGAAACGAGTAGCTAGCTACCTACCTACCTAGTAAGCAAGACTGCCTTGCATGATATGTCTATTATTGGTGCTACACTCGATCCCCCCCCAAACATCATTACAGTGTCATTTTTGTACCATTGACATGTGCATGTTTGAATGGTTCCCCGACGAGCTACTTACTTCCTTTAGAGATCTAGCCCGCGCCCGCAGCACGTGGTGAATTGTTGGGCTGGTAGAGGAGACAGAAAGAAAAGGTCTAGGCAACGTCGATTTAGACGTTGGGGAATCTTACCGAGCATGCCGAAGGGGCATGATACGATGAAATATTCGCGAATTGCTTCAGACAGCATGGCAACGCCTCGGTGTAACTCCCTTTCATGAAGGCCTCTGGCGAGGTTGCATATATCGTTCGGGGTTTGATCGATATGTCTAGAAAGCTTAACAAATGGTAAGGTAAGAAAAAGGGGTGTGCCGGATATCCCATCATTTTGTAAGGGGACGGAAAGCTAGAAGAAATCACCAATGACGCAAACGGGGAAGCAAATATTGTTTGAGCCTGTTTTTCTTTTTGGCAATCATCACTAGGTGAGATGGAGCTATAGACTATATGCGGGGAGGCTGAGAGGGACACAATCCATCTTTCTAAGAAAGCAGACACAAAGGTCACGCGGTCACGTCAATGCCTTCACCATGTCTTTCATACCAACACCAAGCTAATATGGTTCTATACCATAGTTCTCTAAGTACCCGCTTCCTAGAAAAAGCTAACTTAGAACTTGTAAACCTGATCCTTGGAGTAGCCTAACTCCTTCAGGGAGCCAGATAATTCGCCCTGGTCCGACGGGCTGACCTTAGTGCCGGAGATGGCCTTGTACAAGCCCGGAGGACCGCACACGAAGATCTTGATGTTCTCGCTCTTGGGCTCGGGGAGGACGGTCTTTAGGAGGTCCTTAGAGATGTATCCCTTATGTCCGTTCCATCCCTTGGGGGGGTTGTCGAGGACGTAAAAGGCACGGAATCGGTTCGGGTATGTGTTCTCGAGCTCGGCGAACTCGTTCTTCAACAGGATGTCTTCTTCGGAGACGTTGCCGAAGACGAGCGTCACCTTGGTCTTATCGTCGGGATTCTTGAAGATGGCACGCGTTAGCTGGTACATGGGAGTAATACCCGTGCCGCCGGCAATCAGTGCGATGTGGTCGTGCTTGTTCGGCGTCCACGGGTACTTGGGCAGCGGGCCCTTGAAGTCCAGACGTTGGCCCGGAACCATGTCGTGCAGATGGGTCGACATGGGGCCGTTGGGGTACTTCTTCACGATCAGCTCGATGTAGCCCTTAGCATCTATAATCCCGCGCGCATTAGCTGTAGTTCTTCTTCATGACATCTTCATAGCGGGGACTTGCCCTCCTCGCTCGTAGGCGTATAGGGCCGTACGACAGGCTTCTGCCCCTCGTTCTGGAACTTGGCAAGCAGGGCGCTGGTCACGGTCAAACCGGAGACCTGGTCGTCCTCCGGCAGCTTGAAGATGAACCTCTTGGTGTTGTGGTTGATGTCTTGGACGTCCTTCAGCTCCAGGGAGATGAAGCCCTGGTCTCCGCCGAGGAAGGCCTTCTTCGGTGGTCCGCTCACGACGTCCTTGGCCTTGGCCGCGGCCGACCCGGCGCCCTGATTAGAGTAGAACCAGTAGCCGGCGCCCGCGACACCGGTGGCGCCTAATGCGTAGAGGAGGGTCTTGGAAGAGCCGCTCTTGGCTGGCTCGGTGGCGTATGCGCGCGAGAGGAGATTCTAGAAAGTGCGAAAGCAACAAGGCGTTACGTTAGCTAGGTAGCCATGGCCATTGGGACGCACATCGAGGGTTCTATTATTCCAAGATCTAACGGTACTTACCCTCTTCAGCGGTTGAGCCGCGCGACAAGCTGATCTAGCGAACATCTTTTTCTTTTTTCTTCTATTTTATGCGAATGAGGGGAAGAGGGTGGTGGTCGTCTATAACCCAATTGAGGTTCTAAAGGGGAAAAAAAAAAAGGAACTCTTTTGAAAACCCAGGTATTTGTTAGTTTTGAAGTTTGACACGATGTTGAAAAAAGAAGAAGAAAAAAAGAAGCAACTTAGGTACCGTAAAGCCCGTGGGAGCGTTTGGAGTTTCTTTCCTTAGTTGCCGGTAAGGTGGTTTAGGCTAGGTACCTCTTAAGCTTACGTACAATACCTCTAGCTATTACAAAGCTTAGTGCTAGGTACCTACCTCAAATTAACTAAAACCGATGGCATGATCGGTAAAATATGACGTCATCACGTGATATGGTGTAATTGGAAGCTTTTTTTCGGCATGTGAGTAATGAAATAAGTAAAAAATAAATAAATAAAAGATGTAAATTTAAAAACTTACTAAGAATAAAAACTTTTAAAAGTCCTAAGCTTTTTTTACAAGTTTAATGCATTTATGTTTTCATGAAGCAAGCGGCCGATTTCGATCCGGAGTTTAAGTGACCATTTCGAAGATTAAACTGCAATAGGATATCCACGTCGTCCTGGGGCATCCGTCCCGTCGTATCGGGCGGTACATCCAGCAGCAGATTCACGCCGCGCCCCACGGACTTGAGATACATATCCAACAGCGTCTCCGGCGTCTTCGACTCCTCGCCCGCGTGGTAGAACCAGCCGTCCCGCAGTCGCGCGTCCGCCTCCGCGGGCGTCTAGAAAGCCCCGTCCCGCACCCCGGTCTTTTGCCCATGCTCCGTTGCCGATCTTGTACGTGGTCGTGTTCGAATCCCACAACGCCATGCCGTCGTGGTGCTTGGCCGTCAGGATCATCCCCGCCATACCGGCGTCCGCAAAGGATTTGGCCCGTTGGTCCGTGTCCAGGGCCGACGGGTTGAACACGCCGGGAGGGCTTTGGCTGCGTCCCCATTCCTCGTTTGTGAAGGTGTTGGGGCCCAAGTGGACGAATGCGTAGTACTCCTGCCGATGCCATTCGAGCTGTCGGGAAGATGGCGTCTGTAGATATGCGGCTGGCGGAGGTTGGCCATGTGCCATGTTTACTAGCGAGTTTACGATGCTAATGAGTAGTAGCATCCATCTTTGGTCATTCACAGCCCAATCTCTTGATAGCATCGTAATCACGATAAGATGACTCGGGGCAATCTAATATATGTAGTAGCAGTACATGCCCAGCCACGAGTATTTCCAGTTACTGAGATTTACATTAGATGGTGTAAACTCACGTACATTATTGTGCTGAGGTGGACGATTTTGTTGGCCGCTAGGTACACCAGCTAGGTACACCAAGAAGTTAATGCGTAACGTTAGCTATCTAGGTACCTAAGGTATGTTTATGTTAGGGTATAGCGTCGGCAACTTCGTGTTGCTGTAGATTCGGGAGTTTGCCGCGGCGCTGCGGTGCGTACGCTCGCGATTTTATATGTGGCTCTGTGGATCTTGAAAAAGAGGGAATGTAAAGCGTGTGAAGCAGATGGCAAAGATGAGCGAGGGCGGCAAGGAAACGGAGCGGGTCAAGAAGTATAATGAAAACAGATAAGTTGTTACAAGGAATGTGGATATTGCGATGCTTGATTTGACGGATTTGGAGAATAGATTCTTCACAGGTAGGTACCCATTATAATTTCTCTGCAGCTCGCTTGAACATATCGGCACACATGTAGAATGGGTAGGTACCTAGGTAGGAATATGTCGATTTTAGGATAATATTCTAACCTATCAGCTTCTAGCTATTGTACACCGCCCTGAAGCTATCTCGAGGTTTCTAGAATTAGAAATGTTACATCCTGTTTAAACGTATCGTTATCGTCTCAGCGACTCTAGTAACGAACCGTCGAGAATGCATGATACCATGTCAACTAACCATTTCACCGTTGACAGGTACCTAATTCAAGGAGATAGGCTAATGTCATCACGGACAAGGCAAAAATCTGCTTTGGGGCAATTCTCCCTGGAGCATCCTAGATAATTGCTTCGTGTATCATCAACATCCGTGCGCTCATACTATCTCCAGTTAGGTGAGCTCTGTAACAAGGCAACATTTCATTGCAATAGGCAAGGCGATGTTATTTTTCCGGGCTGTCTACCTAGGAGGCAGGTACCTGCTAGGTCTCGATGTCCCCTTTTTATTATTAACTTATAAATTTGGCATAAAGTCAAGAAAGGAGTTGCGAATGTACAACAGACATGTAGTGAACACGATGAGATGTAGGAGGGAAGCCGTCGGGGGCAGTTTCAGGCATAGTCACGCGTCTTCTCTTCGCAAAAATCGCTAAACTCTTTCGCCTTCCCGGAGCCCCCATCTTCCTTCGGCTTCAGCGCATCGAGTAAGTCCTGACGAATGTTCTTTTCCTGCGCAATCCTACCGAAAGGAATGACATAGCACCCGTTTGTTTCCAAGCTGATGTCCCCCGACAGACCGGCGTAGAGCTCCGTGTATGCCGTCATCTTGGGTGGGTACAGCACCGGCCATGCCAACCAGTATATCGACGGTGTGTGCCGGAAGAGGTTCGAGGATGCGGAGCCGGGGTTGAGCGCTACGCTGACAACATTTGAAGTACGGCCTATGGTTCTGGCGAACTCAACGGCCAAAAGCCAGTTCCCAAATTTGGAGTTGATATAGTTTCGCAGCTGGTCTTTGGAGGGCGTATGTAGTTCGGACATATCAATGCCTCCCGGCGGCGCAGAGAGCTCGACGATCTGGCTGGCGGTCCAAACGATGCGAACGGAACCGGGAATCTCGGCAGCCGCAGTCGTCTCTATCAAGGGGAGAAGGAGGCGGGTGAATAGGAACGGCCCGAGACAGTTGGTCGCTAGCTGTAGCTCGATCCCCTGCTTCGAAACGCTCCCAGCAGGTGGCCGCGAGACGCCAGCGTTATTCCACAGGACGTGAAGCTTGGATTCCTTCGCCTTGAAGGCATCGGCCGACGCCTTTATGCTGCTGAGATCGTCGAGCTCCAAGTGCAGGAACTCCAAGCTGCCCCTAGATGTGGGCGCCTTGGCCTGGATGTTTCGAATTGCCTGACGAGCTTTCTCTTCCGAACGTCCGGCGATGTAAACGCGAGCGTGATTTCGGTACAGCATGGTGGCAAGCTCGAATCCGATTCCAGAGTAGCCTCCAGTAATCAAGAATACCTTGCCGTCTTGGGGTTCCAAGTGGGTATCTTTAAAGGTTGGCCCCGGAGGGAAGACCTGGGACCACTGAGCTCCCATGCTGCGGAATCGTCACAAGAAGAGCTGTATTTTGAAGTAGAGAGAAGGTAATCCTGAAATTATGTTATCGCCTCTGCCAGTATAGGTGTCGCGTTTTTTACTACCCTTGGTCAGATGGATATGTGATGAATAGGACAAACTAAGGGTTCTGGGAAATGCTTGCTAGAAGGAGGGGGGGGATAGGCACTTGAAGCCGCTGCCCTAAGCAGTTCCAACTTCCAACATGTTTGGAAGTTTTGAGCCCACCTTGTACTCAAGTACTTGTATATGTACGTTGGAGGTAGGTACCGATGTGTTGGATGGGTAGTACGACGGGACAGGTATTGTACATTTTGTTATCAGCATATACCTATGTACCTATTACACGGGTTAAATTAATATGCTTGCTTTTGTTTGTTATTATAGGTATGACGCTCCGCCACCCTCTTTGTACGACGGTTACATCGAAGCAGGCCCCCAGGCAGGCTCTCAAGAGTCAAGCAGGCTTGAAAGATACGGTGTTACACATATTAGTACGGGCTAGAATTTATGGTTCTGTAAATCATGCGATTAGGTACCTAAAGGTACTAATCATAATTGGGCGTGGTGTAGTGGAAGAATTTGGGCAGAGAAATTATGTGTCTCCATTTTCAAATCCAGAGTAGTCATGAACCCAGAGATTGTTGCGTAGGGCCAACGCGTACCTAAATGTGTCTATCTCCAACCGTAATATACCTCTTTGGTAAATACACAAGCGCACGAGTGCTCAGAACTATATCCCTTTTCTCCGTTTAACATATCAAGACGCGCACACCCTTCGAACTGAGCTTAGCCACTGGAATCATGAAGTCATGCACTGGCTTTACATCACTCTCGTCCGTTTCAAAAAGCTCGAACTTAGGACCATTCGGGCGGTAGAGAACGGCAAGGGCGAGGCTCATCTCGGCCATTGCCAAACTGATTCCAAATAGTAAATGGTTAGATTGTCGATAATTACCTACTTAGGGTACTCACGGGATATACGGGAAACATACTTCATCCCTAGACAGCCCCTCGAGCCGCGGCAGAATGGCACAAAATTTCTGTTCACGCTTTTATCAACGTCTCCAAGCCACCGCTCCGGAATAAATTCATTCGGAGAAGGGTAAGTTATAGGATCGCTATGCATCAAGTATCCAGACATGCCTACGGGTATCTATAGGAGGGTTAGCCGCTGAAATGGCTTTGTGAGAGGGATAGGCATCCTACACCAGCTGGAATCGTATATTCCTTGTATTGAATAGGAATATCGGGCGAAATCCGGGGTAGTCGGTGCATCACGCCATGACCGTGGCTACCTCATTTTCAAACTGTGAGTAATCAATCTGATCAACGAATTTTTGAAGTAGTTCACTCGTAAGATAGAAGGGTGTAGGGAAATGAAGACGGGAGACCGGAAAGGCATACTTACCGCAATGATTCTTTAATGATCCCTTGGAGGAAAGGAAGTCGCTCGAGCTCCGCCCAGGTTGGAACTCGCTCCGGCCACTCTGCCATGGAGTCCTTGACTTCGCTTTCTAGTCGGCCTCGTACTTCTGGCCGTGAAAGGATATAATAAGATGCAAAGGTGAGCGTGCGGGCTGTAGTAACAGTCCCACCCCCAAGCATAACCTGAGCTTCTCCCATGAGGCGTTCCTCAGACTTGTCTGACTCCGGCATATCGCTCTTCACCACATGGTGAAATACAGAGGTGCTGCGCTCCTCTTTGCTAGAGACGTCCGACATGGCCCTTCTGATGTTCTGTGTTGCTCTCTGAGTAAAGCGTCAGACCCTACTGGAAGGCTGGTCGTAAATGCAACGTGTGCCTACCTCTGCAAACCTTTTGAACATTTGGCCGCTGGGAAATGCCCATAGAAGCAAGGTTTCTGGCAATGCTTTTGCAATCCTAGCATTGTACAGAGTTAGGTAGTAGTACTAACTAGCCGGGCCAATACCTACTGAATAATCCACGGGAACCCAGTGAACAGGGGGATAGAACGTATGATCATTTGTAACATCTCATACCTGATTATAAGGTCAGAATACCCTTTTATAAAGAGAAAGAAAAAGAGGGATACACACCACTCTGATGAGAAGTGTGGGTCACTTAGGAAACGATCCTCTGTACCGTCGGCGCCCAGACATATCAATCTAATAATGTCTCCGGAGAACGCAGAAAAGGCATGATCAAGACGGATAACCTGCTTCTGGCCTCCCAACTCACGGATACGGGATTCTAAATGCAAGCATACTTCACTAAGCATCGGCTGCAAGAAGGTAATCCCCTTTCTAGAAAAGAATGGCTCAAAGGGTTTCCGTCTCCTCCTATGCAGGTCGTGATCCTTGGTAAGCAGAAAAGATCCTATTACGAGTTATTTACAGGCGGTATTGTGATGGGTTAATTGATTGTCATTACTTGCCTTCGTGGTCAATACCTTTACAGAATGCGTCATAGCTTTCGGTCCGGCGTTTACTTTCAGTAACGTAAAGTTCGTTGTAGAACTCAGGGTCATGGATTGAAAGTTCTGCGGGATTGATTCGCACAATTGGACCTACCCATTTGTGCAAATTTGTCAGTCGGGCTAAACTGAGCGAGCTGGAGCGGAATGTGGTCCTTTACATTTACTTACCATATACGTCATGCATTCTCTTAATCTCAAAAACGAACTGGCCATTAAGCCAGTAATCATAATAGAATTCATACCAACCGGTAGCAGCGGCAAGCTTCGGGCCCGGGAAACTGGCTAGAGGGGAGAAGTAAAGACGGTGAACGATGAGTGAGATAATGTAGAATAGGTAAAGTATTATGATTGCCGTGATAGCCTCGAAAGGGGAAATGTTGTAAATGAGAAGTTCCATTGTTACTCAAAATGCTCTATCAATAACGCTTGTAATCGAATAGCTAGCCCGAGGGAGCTTTGAGGCGATAATGTATTGATGGATGTCTACTAAGGAGTCGTAAACGAGATAAAATCTGGAAACACGACTTCAGATCGATAGGAAATTTATCAGTTGAGGTAATGACGAACGCTTTGTATACCTACACCTATGCATATGCCTCTGCGCCTAAATCTTACCTAGTCGTAACCCGGGCCACCCCACGGATGTGCATCAGTGTGATATCGGTTATAATCATTAGAAAGATGTTGGTTGGATGTAAGCCAGGAGACGCCGTGCCGTTCGGAAGATGCTTCTAAATGCAGAACTGTTGGTCGTAGGACCTTAGAGGTAGATATGCAATGCATCATGGGCTAACACGATGGCAAACAGCTTATTCATTTAATTCTAGCTTTATTCGTACGCTTATTGAATTTATATGAAGCATATCCAAATTTCCGATCGAGCCACACACGCTCGCCTTTGGTCAACCAGCGGTACTTCGTGTTACTTTCCATACTCCTACCTTTCGTGACCTGGCCTCTCGAGAACGCTGGCTTGATGTGTCTATATTCCAGAGAGGCGCCGTCCAGATATTTCTAACCCCTATTGTATATCAACACACATTGATCCCACCGAAAGACAAAAGATTTTCTCTTCTCTACCAGAAAGATGCGGTATCTTTACTCAGAAGAGGTTCAGCGGAATCTATATGACACACATGGACTTGGCCATAATATCCCGCTTCGCATGCACAAAGATTTCCTCAAAGAGATACGAGGCACATTCCGAGCTCAAGATGACTGGTCTAAGAGTGTCAACCCAGTCGATGGATATAAAGGAGGACTGGGCCGCCCCTATAGTTTTATGGGGGTTACCGTTCCAGAATGCTTGCCTGAGAGGCTCGAGATCATTTCATATGCGAATGAATACGCTTTTCTTTACGACGGTAAGATAAAAGACAACACTTAACCTTTCGCTCCGAGTTCTATCATCACTAACTATCTTCAAGATGAATTGGAAACACTCGATCTGAAGAATTATTCGGGCGAGTTTACTGGAATACTTGAAACGTTTAGCGATGATTCCTTCGACCAGAAGGTCTCTTCTAAGTCCCGCCCAGAAAAGCGCTTGCTAGCGCAGATCTACTCCGAGATGGGAGATATAGATCATATCCGTGCAGAGACAACAATGAAGGCGTGGACCAAGTTTGTACAATCTGCAGCACGGGCGAGAACTGTGCCCTTTAACACTCTGAGGGAATATATCCCGGCGCGAGTTATCGACGCTGGCCAATTGTAAGACCCCAAACCTCACCTTCCCACTCAGCTTACGTGGTCTCATATGTGACGCAGGATATGGTTCGGCACGCTGACTTTTGGTCTGGCGCTTACCATATCGGAAGAAGAACACGACGTGTGCCACAAACTAGCGGAGCCGGGGTACGCAGCTATGGCCCTTGTAAACGACCTGTACTCGTGGGACAAGGAGCGTGTGATGGCAGAGAAGGCTGGCCAAGATTATGTCTTTAACGCGATCTGGGTAATCATGGCGGAAACTTCTGTCTCCGAAGCAGACGCGAAAGAGATCTGCCGAGCAGAGATCCAAAAGCTTATCCTACAATACTCCCAGGTTATGGATGACGTGCAGACGGATACTTCCCTGTCCCGAGATCTGCGGAGGTATCTCGAGGCTGTGAGGCTGAGTTACATTGGGAATTTGGTGTGGAGCATCTACTGCCCGAGATATCGTGATTTCTAATTAGTCCTAGAATTGTCGGGAAATGGCCAGAACCACGGACTTGCTCTTCGATTAAGAAATCGTTTCGTTCACCGAATTGTGGTTAACTACAAGAACCAATGGTTGTAGTTTGTCCGAACTTGTTTTCGGGATATTGTATCAGCCCAGCTCGTCCGGATAGCCAGGTAAGCTTCATACACGTATTTCAAAAAGCCTGACCTGACTCGCCAAGGTCAGGCTCTTACGCATATCTGATCTGATCCGGTTCGACCTGATCTGACGAGGTCGCTGCAATCTGCAATATTGGTGAACCATAGGATGCATAATGGACTCAACAGAAGCATGTTGTTGGCGCTAAGGAGCAATTTTGTTAGATTAGAAACAGGTAAAGGATTGCATTTTAATTTACATGTTAGATGTTATGCAAGGCTCGGCGTTCCTTCACGGTGTTACCATGTGGTACCTAAATAGCAGTAAACGCGCGTAGATGTATAGTACAATATGTTGATCGTTGGGGATAGGGGCGGGGCGTAGGCGGGGGGGCGGCGCATTGGCACAATCAATCAAGTGCATGACTTCGGAGGGAATTATCTTGAACGTCCAACATACATAGCTACTATGCACTTAAGCAACTCACAACAGCTGTGACCTACGTTTGCACTATAAATAACTATGTACTTAATGGGGTCCCCGCTGTGAGGTAGTAACACAGGTGCAGATATCCAGTGAGCTTTTTCTACTGTGAGGAATTTAAGGGGTGGAGTTAAGGGGTGAAGTTAGCCATCCAGGAAAATATGCACAACGGAATGGTAACGTACTGCAACTGTAGTCTCCCGTTACCTATTGCATTAATTTGTTTGTGTACCTAGAGGTGGCTCCTAAACCATTAGCCACTCTCCCACAGTATTGTTTAATATCAAACAGACAGCATCATCATATATGTACCCAATGTAGAGAAACATAGGCCAAGAGAACACAAATAGCATATTATTGATTTCTTGGCTGCAAGTTAAGGGGCCCATCAGCGGGGATCTCCATTATGCTTCTGCCGGGACCTCACTCCTCGGCTTGATTTTCACCTGGATAGGTTTCTTCTCAATGAGTAAGAATACTCTAAGATCATCCCACTTTAACACATTCCCATCAATCGCCTCGAAGTCAAACGCCCAGACTAGTTTCGAAATGATTAGCCGCAACTCTGCCATGGCTAGATTTTGGCCCAAGCAACTCCGCGGGCCTAGGCTAAACGGTTGGATAACTCCACGACTGTCCTTCGAGAAGGGTGATTCGGGATTTCCATGTACTTCGGGGAGCCAGCGTTCTGGAATGAAAGACGATGCACAGTGGAAATAACTGGGGCTCCTGTTCATAGTATAGGCTTGTACCGACACAGCTGTCTGTTGGATATGAATCAGCTTCATCCTATGTTGGTTTGGATACATACGACAACTTACTCCTCCAGGCAGCCATGTGCCGCATACGGTGCTCCCACCATGAGGGACACGTCTAGGAAGTACCCAAGGAACTGGGGGGCACATCCTGAAGCCCTCATTGATTACAGCATTCAGGTAAGGAAGATCTTTCAGGGCTTCAAGAGTAATGTCATCTGAAGTGTTGAAATTATGGCGTACTTCATGTTTAAGCGTGTTGAGCTTGTCAGGACAATTGACCAGATAGTTCATGATACCAGAGAGAAGTGTAGCAGTAGTTTCACTACCGGCAGTGGTTAATATCATAAAGGTCGAGTTGATTTCACCAATAGGAACAGCCTCTTCTTCACGCTTCTTAATTACGTAGGAGAGGACATCGGGTCTCTCCATTTCGAAATTAAGCCGCCGATCAACCTTATTAGAGATACGCTGGTAATGGTCGGTCTGTGTCTTCATTAAAGAAGGTGGGATACACTTAAGCAGGATGAATTCGATCAATGGATAATACCGTGCCGACGCGACCCAGGCAGCGGCTTTTACAGTACTGAAAAGCATAGCGGTCCACGGGTGATATCGAGAGTGCTGTAAACAGTTGAACGAGTCTCCAAAGCCGAGGTCGCCGATTATATCAAACGTTGTGAAATTAAGCCAAGGCACAAGATCGACCTGGGCTTCCGAGCTTTCCAGCGCGGACTCGCGAAGGCGGTCCACGAGCAAATTGACGTACTGGTGCAAAATCGGCTCTTGATCTCGTAAAGCTCGTAGAGTAAATCCGGGCGCAAGGATTCTGCGTATGCGGGCGTGTTTCTCAGGGTTAATGGCACTTAGTATTGTGTCAGGAAGACCCGGTTGCGTCTCCCACCAAACCGGGTCCTTCAAAAAGGGCTTACTATCGGATCGGGCTTGGAAGATGTCTGGGTAGGCGTCTGCATCGGCAAACGTGACCTCATCTGGGGCGATACGGACAACTGGGCCATATTTCCAATGAAGCCTTTCGACGTCATGGACGAGAGTTCCCCGGAGGAGAGACCATATGAATGGCAATCGCGAAGCAGACCAGGCACGTGGTCCTGGTATATCGGACAGAGGGTGGAAGAATACGTTGTGGAGAGCCCGAAATATAGGATACTAGTTTTGATTAATTCTGATTCGTATCATGATCATAGGTTGTGAAGGATGAGGCATACAGCAATCAAGACAAGTAAAACATATACCAATCCCGCAGAGGTATGAGATTCTTCGGTATTCGACATAATGGCGCAAAGACAGTCCCCAAGTGCAATATAAATCGACTTTGATCTGGAAAAAAAGAAGAAAAAAAAGCAGAACAAGCAGCAGGTTGGAAATGTTTGGGGAAATGGTGAACTTGTTTGCTTGCCACACTAACAAAAATTTCTAGGATAAAGGCAACCAACATATGAGGTTGTGTATAGGTAGAGGTACCTACTGTATGCAAGGCATGGAAATATTCAATAATAGATACCTACTTCAGGGACTACATTCATTTAACCGTATTATCTTGCTATTCGATTAGCAAAATAGGAGGCTTTATCGGTGTGATCTTAGTACCTAGTCAGAAGATGAACTTAACCGAAAATTACTGGGCAAAGCACCTGTTGGAAGTTAGATGCATCCCTTACTCTTTGCAACGCATCTATACGGCGGTGCTTCATGTAACATGGGCGTTTCCGAAGGCCTTCAACCGTTCTCAGCCCGACACAGTCAGCCCGATTTCGTTTTGTACTTATTTGTCAAGACATCCGGTTAACATGTAGGTAGTTCCGTCGGATCAATCTGTTCTCTTCGACCATTCTCCCTAATCGACAAAGGAGACACCACTTTGAGAGGATACAACCCCCAAGTAAAAATATATCCATTCTTCTCACACATCATTGAGGTATGGCTACTGGATGGTTTGGGGCTATGCCCCCTCCATCGGGAGTCGAGCCAAACCTCATCGACCCTCCGAGTCAGATGAAGCAGAATATAGCCCTTCATACAGTATGCCTTACGCTAGCTACGCTCTCCGTAGGTGTGCGAGTGTATACGCGTATGCGCCTTGCCGGTGGTAAACTGGGTATCGAGGACTGTCAGTGTTCGCCACCTGGTCCAATTGAAATCTTGCTAACTACTTGAATAACAGATTTCTGCGTTGTCTCTTGGGTAAACAAGATCTTCTTATATTGTGCTGACTACCTAGGTACCTGTAATCTAGGTATGCTAACGATACCAATAGGCCTTGACTGTAACATTCTCGGGTTTGATGTTTAAAGGTATGTCACTTATATAAAATTCCCCTCTTAACGTAATGTCTAGGTTGCTTATTTTTTATTTTTTTTTCGTACAGCCTATTCAAAGGGTATTGGGCGTCATATATGGGACACACCGGCTACGTGGATCATAGATGCTCTGAAGGTACAACCTTTTTCATATGTTTCTCACTTAGAAGCGCGAATATTACAGGTACCTAATCAACCCAATCTATAACCAGATATATACCATTGCCACTTGGGTCTATTTGATCTTAGCTACGTGTATCAAGTTGACCTTTCTTTTCCTATATCGCCGCATATTCTCACCGCAGACGATCACGAAATATTTCATCAACGGGGGAATTGTGTTTGTTGCTTGTCTAAATACAGGATTGCTATTCAGCACGATATTCATGTGCTCCCCAGTGGCACGTTCGTGGAATTCGGCTCTAGATGGCCAATGCATTAATCCTAAAGTCCTCCCCTACTTCTCTGGAGTCACGAGCTTTCTTACGGACATTTACATCCTCATCTTACCTATACCTCTTTTATGGCGCCTGAATATGGGTCGAAAGCGAAGATTCAGACTTGCACTGATATTCGGTACGGGTTTATTGTAAGTTATCTCTTCAATCTGTCAAGTGTATCCTAGTATGTTAACGGGTCATTCCTAGTGTTTGTGTTGCAAGTATTGTTCGGCTGTGCATGACGCCGATCTTGTCAAGTAGTTTTGATGCCACTTGGAATATTTCTAACATCACGGTTTGGGGGTAAGTGCTTCCACAGATACATTGTGACGGCGTCGATGTGTAATGACAAAACAGAACTCTCGAGGTCAATATTGGCATAATATGTGCCTGTGCAATGCTTTTCCCAGCATTTTTTGATCGTCATCTACCACAGTGGGCCAAACTATCTATGTCTCGTCTTCGATCATACACCCAAAGTTTTGCCGTCAGGGGCACGAAAGACTCAAACCATTCTTTGAGTAACGATCAAAACACTTGGCCTAATTATAATAATCTGAATGATACGGAATCGGTGAAGCTGGTGATACAAAAAACTGACACGTTCAGTATGGAGGATGTTGTCTTGCCACCAAGGATGCCGGAACCGATCGCCCGACAGATATAAATGCGCGAAGCATCTGCTGACATTGCTCTTGCTGAGCCTAAAGGTTAGTAGGATATTCCAATTGACTGGTCAAGGATGAATACACTTCATATCAAAAATATGATCTTCAGTATCAATGGAGGGTCCCATGTAAAAATAGCGCTACCACGACACGGGAGCAATGTTCAACTATCCAAACCCCTTTGAAAGGCAAGACTAACGGTGGAGGTGTCAGGAGTCTCACTTGAGACTCATTGGAACAAAGGAGTTATTCTGTATATAGCTTTGACTTCAAAGCAACTGTATTAGAGTTCCTTGCGGAACAACGAAGTTGTTTTACCTGCCTCATGCTCTGCGACGTGACAGGAGGTGGAATGCATTCGGTAGCAGGTTTTCTTCCCATTTCTCTCCTTGCACTGCAACAAAGTCCCCTATGGTCTTGTGGCGTTGTGATAGCCCGGCAATGTACACCCGGCCTCGGTTCTGGTACCACATGGCGGCCATTGGCATCCCTCCAACAAGAATCGAAAAGCCTCTTCCACCCTGGGAAGCAATTTCGGTTGGATATCAGGCGTCTAGCCTAGGTGCGGGCTAGTGCAGAGTACCGACTAAGATGTTACCTGCCGCTTGAAGTTTCCTGAGAATTTGACCGCAAGTAAACTCTCACGATACGGCTTTTTCTTTCCTGCTATATGAAGAAGGCAGCGTTAAGTAGTGGGCTTGCCTGCGATATCTTAGGTATACATGAGCACCACACCTGCTAGTATACAGTCTAGAGTATAGTAAATAGGGAATACCCCTGAGCCCATACTAATAAATACGTTAGGCGGAACTGGGGGAGACTACCTAATATACCAAATGGCCTTTTCGTTCATAATACCTTCAAACCCGATAAGACAACTCATAAATAGGTATGCTTCATACAACCAACCAACCCTTCTCGCACACCAAGCACTGACTGCACTTCGCGCCGAATTAAAGCCCTGCGCGACGGGTTTCTCGACCGCAAAATACTTACGCCGGATCGAGCAGTGAGCGCGAGTAGTGTCCGCGGCGGGAACGCGACGCTCTACGGACCAGCAAACGTACTTGATGGGAACAAAGATACGTACTGGGCGCTTGACGACGGCGAGAGGGCCGGGTGGCTGGAAGTTGATCTCGGCGCGGAATATAGCGTAGACGCTTTCATTGTCCAGGAGCATATAGCGCTAGGCCAGAGGATTGGCGGATATGCGATTGACGCCGTTGTGGATGGTGGGGCTTATAAGACGCTTGTGACGGGGACTTCGTTGGGGAATAAGAGGATTGATAAGTTAGGCAGGGCCGTTGAGACGAGGAAGATACGGTTGAGGGTTACGCAGGCGAATGCTACGCCGGTGGTGAGTGGGTTTCAGGTCCTTGGGACGAGGATGAGTTCTACGTAGGCACCCAAGGGACCTACGGAGTTTGGATATTATGATAAAATAAATGATGAAGATAGTTTCAAAATAAATAAAAGGATGAATTGAATATTCTATCTGCTAGCTCTAGTTCTTTTCTAGGAGGTGGTCAATACAACTACCGACGATGGTTGATGGTTGAGCTGTAACTTGACTTATTATTATGAGATTATTTACCTAAGACTTGCCATACTTACCGGGCTCTCTCATATTATATCACTACTTCCATTGGCGAGAATCATCCCGACGAGATAGATCAATTGAGTTCAGTTTCTATCCTATCCTTGTCGTCTGAGATGCGTATTAGCGATATACCCAGACCCGCCCCTAAATATTTAGTTTCCACGACTAAAGTGCATACTAGTAGCAGGGAGGCATTCAAGCACACTACTGGGATCCCATCCGCTCTCCCATAAATACCTAAGTTATATATTGTTTAAAAGGGAATCCATTTCTCTTTAAAGCTGCGACAGTATGACCTAAAACAGTAGACCTTGCCTCCAAGTGCACTACACTACTTCCGTACTAACTAGGTACCTAACGTGTACCTACTAATGTACAATATACAGTACTATATAAATACATACACGTAAGGGGTATAGAGGTAAACTGCGGGCGCTTAACTACAACCTTGAAGGTACCTAATGTAATCCGTACCTACATTGTACGAATAGACAGCTGGTGTGGCTTAATGAGGTCGATCCATAGTATGTAGTATGTACTAAGTACCTGAGCAGCTGAGTTAGGAGATCAAACGCCGTTCCTCATTAAAATATGCAGTAAGCTGGCCTCAAATTTTAGTTCATAAACACATACACACAGACCCCCTTGGCTGCGAGCTAAATTTTAATGCTTTCAACCTTCTATTTCCATTCTACTACCTACCTACCTAAGGTACCTAGGTATTAAGTAGCAACATTTGTTCTATCCTATAATTTACGCCGCACCAGCTCCCGATTGGTCATTCATAAGATGCACCATCTCGCACTTCACCCACAATGCGGTATATGTACCGACATGATGTTTAGGCACGAAAGGGTCATAGCATGTACGCTGAATCTTTAATATTTTTGATTCGTATTACTGACGTGGTGCAGTCTTCGGCAACGGCAACTCGACCTCGTATCATGGGCAGACGCGACCATTCCTGTTCCCCGACGTCCAACATACAATCACCACAGTCGACGGTTTTCGGTTGTGTCGCTACCCTAACTGCAAAACATGTGCTGCGTCCCCTCACTTTATACCTGTACATTACGAGTGCTTTAATATTTTTCGACATTATTGTACCGACGCCCCAGACGCCCTAGATCGGCTGTGGACAGCAGCCGCTTGGAGAATCCCCTGGCAAGGAGCACGTCCTGTTCATCTTCCAGGTTACCGACTCGACATAACCTCATTGAAGGAATTATCTCGAGTTTGCCAATTATCGCAACTGTGCAAGCTTCCACCTGAACTACTTAGCATCATTCAAGGCTATTCCGAGCATGCCTTGTTTTGGCGGGCAGTTTCGGCACATAGTTTCGCTGCGCGTATATTGTCCAGTAGCCCAGAACCCCTCTTGACCATGTCGCTAGGTGATATTCTCTTCTGGAAACGCGGCGGAAAACCTGAAAAGCGTCGTAACGATTATCCACCAGGCGTGTCTCTGGTAAGATTTACCATCGATTCCGACGGAATCAGCAAGATAGAGCGCGTATCTAGTCATGTTTTCAAAGAGGGGCCTCGCAACGGTTTCGCTTATATTGTAGAGCAAGAGCGGAAGATTGCCAAGTTTGCAGCGCAGTTGAAGGTACGTATTGTGTCTTAACCTACCTAGGTAAGTACCAACATTGTCTAATTGTGTTTAAGGACGGCTTGTTACGTCTCGATTTGCCGCCCGGTCAACCAAACCCCCGAATTTGGAACACGCCAGATCCTCCAGACTTATTTCTTTGTACACCATATATCAGTTCGTATCCTTCCTGGCAACGCTTCTTCGCCATTGATACGGGCTGTATATCGGGTATCACTTTCTTTTTCTCCCTCGGCCGGCTTGTCGGTATTCACCCTCATTACTCTAATGCATTAGATGCTATGCCGACGTATCGTCGCTTTTCACATAGACGCCGACGAAGCTTAATTTGGGCCTTTCAGCCTATCGCAAAACATGATCGACTCCTTGTTCTTGGAACCCGCGAGTCTTTGCAAGGAGACTTCAATGTTCTTATTCGGACTGAGCAGGCTGGTGATGTGGCTATCGGGCCGTATATCCCAATTCCTGCGAGAGATCGGTGTCTGGGTTGGCGTCCTCCTATAAGTCTTATTTATAATGAGCCTATAGAAGGACATGAAATTTCTTTTTTAGGCGCATACTGCGGGCTGCCTAGGAAGATGGAATTGCCCAAGCCTTTTGCAGTGGAAAGACTAAGATCTAATCCACTTGGCGAACATGCTCATCTCTCAAGGGCGCCCTTAACGGATGTTGCGTCGGCGGAAATATTCTATGACGAAGAAACCCAGTATTGCAGAGGTATCATGTTTCGATATCATGATGGGGCATGCCGAGTTGTAGGTCAATGCCGTGTACACGTGGATGCGACGAAGCGGGTATCCCGGCCACTGCGATTTTGTTATCGTATTGACACACGCCATCTTTGTCGTCAAGTGGTCCACTCCGCTCAGGTAACTCTACAAAAGGGGCCTTGTCATCGACATAATGAAGGATGGAACTGTCACCAGTTCGATGGAATGTTGAACTTTTGGTTTACTGCTGATTCGTCATTTATAACTATCGAGAACTAAGCGAGACGCTGAGACTTCTGGGTTCTAATCGTCCATGAGACGCTGGTCAAACTACAACCTTCAAGTGCCGTACGCCATCGTTCAACCAGCACGTGAGAATGATATCGTGAGTATCATCAGGGAGGCTATATCAGCTTCTGTGCCTCTCGTACCGGCCTCGGATGGGACACAGTCCATGGTCTTCTATCGACCAGGACGGAATCATCATCGATCTGAGCCGATATAAAGGGGTTACTGTTGACGCGGCCAACAATCTTGCCACAGTCAAAGGCGGTACTCGGCACTTGTGAACGAAGAGGGGCGACGCATGTGCGACATGCACACCTTCCCTATTCAGAGCTCGGAACCCGTCTGCGCTGCCTTGGAGACCATCATGGACAGCACGGGGTACGTATCAGCAGGCCATTTTATGATCGTCCAGGCGCCGCCGGACTTCAAGCAACAAGCGCTGATGGTTGCGCCTCAAGCCTTATGCTCGGCCGCCGAAACCGCTAAACTCTTCCAACCACTCGTCGACGTCGGTCCGCTCCAGCAGATAATACTTCCGTCCGCTTTTGACAAGCACAGCGACCATCTAGACTGGGTCTGCGTCGAAGTAGACTTCAAATGGTTCAACCAGATGGGCCTAATTAGCTGAAGTACTACAAACTTCCAACATCCTGCCGAGCTCTATTCCGAGCTGGTTGAGAAGTGCTCAGACACAGCGCGCTCCGGAGGATGGAGCCAGCCACAAAGTCGTTGATGAGATGGACCGTAAAGGACAAGCTGCCATGCGCGAGGGCATAGAAGAGGAGGCATTCGTCTCCTATACTAATACCACCCGTCACTCCCGAAATTTTCCCTTCCCTTCTTCTTTTTTTTTTTTTTTTTTTTTTTTTGGATACCAAGCTGCAAAAGTACCCGCACATGAGTGAAAAAATCGACAAGTTAATGTGCGTTTCGGTCGATTTTTTCTTCGCGACAGTGTATGCTTGCCATGCTCTGTTTCGCATACTTCATTACTTTTTGGAAACTGTGTTTCCTCCCTTTGAGGTGATTCGCAACCACACACACTCGCACCTTTTTTTTTCGTTGATTTCGTTGGCCTTGTGCAGCGGGTCGAGGAAGAACATTTGTATAGTAGTTAGTTTAGGGGATGCCAAGTACCTAACCTGCTAATCCTGTGTTAATGATGTAGATATATCAGCGTTCGATTGCTATGGTACAGATGGGTATAAATAGGTACCTAGATATTATGGTAGAAAAGGACTGGTCTACATGATCGACGGATGCCCTACGATATCAACCGTGATATGGGAGGGACCTGTCGCATCATGTAATCCTATCTAACCCCTCTGCCCAGGCAGGCTACGATCACGACCACATCGCACGTACCAACAAAACAAAATACTTCTTTCAAGCCAGTCGAATTATTCAGAATTTTAGTCTTTATTCATAGACATCCCAAGCAAGGAAATCTCTTCTCTTATAGCCACGACCCTGCCCATTGAGCTGGTCCTCATTCATCTCTCCCGTCGTATAAACATGCAAAAGTAACCCAGTACTTTTTATCCCCATCCCTACCTACTCTATTTGGTATCTGCCATGCTACATCCGTACAACAAAGATATCATTACTATATCAAAAGAAAATATTCAAAAAAGAACCGCTTTAGGGCATTATATTCTATGCCGATTGGAGGAAGTGAGGCGCGTTGATAAACAGACCCATCAGTACGCCACCGAGGGTACCGGCGATGGGAATCGTGGCGATCCACGAGAGGAGCAGCAGCCCGACACGCTGGAAGTTAACGGCCTTTATCGTGCCGTTGCAGAGACCGACGCCGACGGTGGCGCCCGTGATGCACATCGAGGTAGACACGGGCAGGGAGTACTGGGAGAAGACAAGGACTGTGATGGCGGCGCCCATCTCCATGGAGCAGCCTCGGCTGGGAGAGTGGTACGTGATCTTGTTGCCCATGACCTTCATGATGTTGTAGCCGTAGGTGATAAGTCCGATAGAGATCATCGCAGACAGGACGGCAAGTTGCCAAATGGGAACCGGTGCCTTGGATTCCGCAGCGTTGCCGGTTGACCACGCCGAGTAGATAACGGCCCAAGGTCCGACGGAGTTTCCGATATCGTTGGCGCCGTGGGCGAACGAGGCGGTGCAGGCGGTGAGGATCTGGATGAAGGAATACGTGTGCTCGACCTCGTTAGGGTACTTCTCCGCATGGGCGTAGACACGCTGCATACGCTTACCCTCGGGAGTGCCGGAGATACCAGACTGCGCAGCGTGGATGTCGTAGTGAAGACCGTAAAGCAATCCGCTGGTGATAACGGCGGGGATGCGCTTGATGAGGATCTTGATGTTGTGGAGTTCGTAGATTTCACCGGCACCCATGGGATTGTCGCGGAGCGTGCGCATGGCCCAGCCCATAGGACCGCGGCTGTTGAGAAGCTTCTTGTTTAACTTGTTTTCGCCCTGAGCAACAACTTCCTTGTAGGTGGCCTGCTTGGCCTCGATTTTAGTCAGGTTCTTTTCGTTCTCGTTAGAGCTCGAAGTAGGCGGGTGCTCGGAGATAGATTCGGAGCGGGTGGAAGCGTGTTCCTCTTCATCATCCTGCACGACAGCGTAGTTGGGAACGTTGGCAATCTCGGAATTCTCGGGAGCGGGGCGCTTGAACAAGAGAGGGCCCTGTAGGAACATCCACCACTTGACCGTGTGATCCTTCTTGATAACCTTCGAATGCACGAAGGGGACAAAGAAAAGAGCCGAGAGAATGGCAACGCCGCCGCCACAGCCCATTGTAACCGCGGCGACATACCAGCCAGGCTTCTTGTTTAAGTTGAGGCTGGGAGAACCCTTATACACGATAGATAAGGTACAAACGGTACCAGCGACGAGGAAGAAGAAAGGAGAAGTATAAACAGCCCATGGAATCGGGTTCTTGCGAATGTGAACGACGAGTTTGATGAGCATGAAGAATGCAGCACCGAAACCTCCAGCGATGACGGGTGCCATCCCAAGGCCAGCAAATATAGCACCGAGACCCTTGCCGTCGTTCCAGCCCCATTGGACATGCGAGGCGCCGACGGTTGCGACACCGACGCCAGCAACAGCGGAGATAAGCGAGTAAGTGGATGATACGTGAGCCGAGTGTCGTGTACACCACATAACCCAAGACGAAGCGGCGGCTAAAGCACAAGTGAAAGCCAGCATCTGAACACCGGCATTTCCTCCGAAAGCTGTGTATGGGATGATTCCATTCTTGATGGTATCGGCCGTACGAGCACCGACCGTGATGGCTCCGAGCATTTCGAATACGGTACCGAATATCATGGCTTGTCTGTACGAGATGGATCTCGACGAGACACTGGTGGCCCAAGAATTTGCGACATCATCTAAAGAGATAAGAGTCAATACCCATCCAAAGAATACGGTAGGATATCACGCGTAGGAAAAAAAAATGAATAGAAGCGGAAAAGTGATGACTTACTAGCACCATTGTTGAAGGCATCGAGCATGGCAAACAGGGTGCCAATGGCGAAGATGTAGGTGTACTGGTCGAGAGCCATTTTGACACGCGCGGACAGAGGCCGTCAATGTCGGTATCGATGTCGAAGATCGATGTTCGATATTCGATGTTCGATGTCTCGGTTGATAACAAGTGGCTGTTTATCAAGTGCGAGGTAACAAGAGAGACTACGGGCAATAGGGAGAATATATAGGTCCTACCCGAGCCTATGTCCGCGACGTACCTATCAAGGTCATCCAAAGCTCCCTCATATGGCCTTACCGAGGGGACTGTATCCTAACCTGCATAGGGTGTACCTTGTAACATCCACATTCGCAAAGCAGGATCTCTGATTTGGCCGAGAAAGCCGCTTTCACGAGCAGGACCAGTCGGCCGTTTACCCACCACGTCTGGGCCTACCCGGCTTGGGCAAGGCTTATATTGTCTTGTCATTGTAGAGGCAGAACTGGGTTCCTTGGCGCAGCTTGGCAACACAAGATAGGATTTCAATATCCGTGATAATGTGAAATCTGTAAGGGTTGATAGACAAACGACTCTGGTTCGCGGCGTGTTCGCGGCTGAGGCTCTTGGCGGGGGCACCATATTCCAGCGGACCCTAGAGCTCGCATGGGCCAATGGAAGGTCTTAAAGGACCCCACGTGTGAAGATCTGCCGTCGTGAACGGCTCTTATGAAGTACGGGGGGGGGCCCGTCCGCCCAGACACCCGGAAAGATAGTAACATGGGGTCCTCGAGCTAAGGGACGAGTTAAACCAACAGCTGGTATCAGTATCAAACGACCACAAGTCGCCTTCCTACAAGGGAATCATTCTAGAACAGAAAGAAGAAATTCGGCGTTCGCGATACGCCCAATAATATGCATTCTGAGACAATACACGAGCATAGCTACGCGACGGAAGCACGTGTGACAAAAAAAAATGACTTGACGGAAATTTACATATGCTCCTAGGACCTCGGTATAGATTTTCGGGTTGGCCAACTCGACGTTCTATAGGTGTTACGTCAGTGAAACTCCCTATACGATATATTCTAATCTTAACTTCATGCTGTCATTGACGTTGCCTTGTTATACTCACTGCGGATAATAGAGTTCAGATTTTTCATCCCCCCCCTAAATCGTTTAGCCTGACGGCCAGATGGATGTTAGCGTGCGTTAAGCTGAAAATCTAGCATTCGGTGCACTAATAAGCTTCGACTTGGCACCTTGGTATCTCATACGATGCGATGAGAACGTGGTGTCAAGACATTGACGAAGCTAGATGTGCATTAGCTACCTCCTATCTTGATAGAATCAACAACGTGCACCACAGCTTGGCTGAAAAGAGACGTCGGTCACGAGAGCGTGGGGAGGCTATTGTTGCACGATCAAGCCACAGGACGTTATTATATCTAGGGATTAAAAATATCCTTCCGTCGATTCAGGCAGACCAGCTCGATCTACTCCCTTCGAAAGCTATCACATAGAGTAACGTTATACTATTACCTAATTAGTCGTCAATACTATAATACTATTAATAGATTTAACAAAGTAGGCGCTTTAATTTGTAGGCAGATTTGTCGTTTGGCGGTTTATTACCTAGAGCATAACGTTGGTGTTGTTGGTTCAACGTGGGATTGGAAGGATGAAAATTCAACAACGGTACGGAATATTGAGTCGACCTAACAAAATTATACCAGTGCAAATGTTTAAGATGTCGCACGGCCACGTGCCCACGTGCCCACCCGAAGTTTAGCTTTATCATTTTGAGATTTTGAGGTGGATATCGCGACGGTCCGGATCTAGACTTCAGACGTTTCTTTTGCCTCGTCCTATCCAAGACTAATAAGTCTGGGCAGTCCCGCATTAGATTTTTTAGTCCCGATCACAATCTTTAGATAATATTGATAAAAAACTTTTTTAGCATTAGCATTTTCTCATTTAACCCCTAGGTATTGGCACAAACACAGCAACCCTAATTGCAACATCATCGTCCACTTATGATGAAATGTTTATATTTCAAGTTCATATACCTTATAATACTCCTGCTCCATAAAAATGTGAGGAGGAGAAGAAATATAATTTCGTTAAGTCATGAGAGACTAGGTATCTCTATAATACTTGGACGCCCAGCTATACGGCTCTTGTTCCTCGGTCGCTAGAAAATTTATCAATTAAGACACAATCGACTCACCAACTCAGGTAGAAATTGATCCTTTTAGGTTCGGACATATATGCCTTTGCCACCGTTCTTCCAGATTTTCGATAAACCTCCTGCATGCGACATAGGCTCGTAAGACTTTGAATCATCTTACAAGTTACAACTACTCAGGCTAACTTGCCTAATATACATTCTTCCGGTGGTATTCAGAGTCAGGGCGTAGGTATATAGGCACTTCCGATATTAATAAATACCAGCTTCTGGGTAGTAGTCCCATTTCGCGGTAGAAGAGGTTGGGCAAGAAGCTGTTATTCCCATCTCGACCAGCACATTGATCGCAACACTTAGGATTCCTTGAGAGACTATGGTTCATTATGAATCGAGCCTCGACTTGGTAAGTGTATCAAGCTTTTCGCTATCCTCGCGTAATCTTCATATGCAAGGTAGACAAGTGAGCAGAGAGTTTGAATGCAAGGAAAAGAACAGGTGTACATGAATTACCCATCTCAGTAATTTCCACTTAGCCTTCTGATCTCAATAGGATTATTATTTCAATATAGATCCTATCCAACCATCCTCTACTTGTTAAAACTTCGAGAACTTCAAAACCGCTCCTACTCTGTAAGAGTTTAAAGGATGTGAAGAAAAGGGGGCTAGAAGAGGGACGTGAAGGAAAGTGAATTCGGGCTGAAACAATGCCAAAAGTAATTCGAGATACCAAAGCTGTCTTATTCCGAGTCTGGTGTAAAGTTATTAACTATCAACTAATCCTAACACTCCCCAAGACGTTAATTAATTCCTATAACAGGTTCATAGAGGGAGTTGGCCAGCCAGCAACATGTACTTAAGAGGTTGCTAGATTGGAATATCCCACGAGGGATGATGCATGGGAATTACGCCTACGAAAAAAAGCTTCGGTGGTTTAACCATTTAAAACAATAGTTATTATCATCATAACTATTACGGTATCCATACACTACTAACAACCCGGGAGGCCTGAAAGCCGAATACAATATATCTCTACCAATCCCAGAACCCCAAAAGAGAACAACCAGTTCTTCTATACCTATTCCTAACCTAACCTAACCTGCCAACTCCCCCTTATATGTATATATGTGTGAATGATTGCAAAGAGACTGTCGCGGGACCGATACGGTGCACAGCGTGCACGGGCTGCTGGGGAAAAAAGGGGCCGTCTAGGCAATACAGGATTGTGCACCACCACAAACGCGCGATACAAAATAGTACAGATTACAATCACGAGGGCTAGCTAGGGAGGGATTACCTAGAATGGAAAAAAAATTAGCTCTTGTTTAAACATTAAGATAGGTACCTATATCTGATAGGTAAAGTAGTAGCAGTGATTTTGGAATGCGGTCTTGCTAACCATACGTGCAGGGCACAACGCAGAACACAGGCTATCCTCCGTCCGCTAGCTGTACTGCGGTCTTATGATATGACAGTCCTGTGGTTGTGCTGAAAGTGGTTGTTGCTGCCGCCGCTCGTGTGTGTCGATCCCCAGGACGACTGCGAAGGCGTCCGGGAAGAAGGAGGCGATCGCCGCGCCAACGATAGGAAGCTGGACAGGCGATATTGGTCAAGCTTGCTGGCGTTGTGGAAGGAAAACGGCCAATTGAACCTTGACTGCTTAGATATACCGGACGATCGCGTCGAATCTGTTCCTGATGGTCCGGGCATGGTCTTTCTTTTTGTTGCTTGGGCCCTTTTTTATTTTTTATTTTATTTTGTAGTTTTTTGCTCTTCTTTCTTTGTTTTGCTGGTTTGACGCTGTGTCTTTAAAAGTACGGTGTTGCTTCGATTAAGCGTAATGTTCAACGTTGAAGCGAAGGTAGTATGATGATTTTTGGATTTCTAGAAGGGTTAGACACAGAGGTGCGGGAGCCATATAAACGGGTCGCATGTTAAGTGACTACCCTACCCGTCATGCGGCCAAGTCCTGCTCAGAGGGAGTGATATCAGGTGACCTATAGGACTGGCTGTCTGACTGAATGGCTAACTTGGCTGACCTGAGTTTCTTCTCGGTTAGGATCGAAGTCATCATTTGGAGACGCATTGTGATACAGATTGGGAGGGGGAAGAGGCACCCAGGCCTGCGATTGGCTCGGAAAAAGAAATCTGAGAAAATGTGTAGCGCCACTAGCGACGGCCTGCTTCGCCCCCGAAATAAAGTCATGATAAGCCAATGATCCTCTGCCACATTCGTATTGGAAGGTAAAAAAGAAAATCGTCTCGCATATGCAGCACGGGCCCGCATGTTACCATAGTCTGCGATAATTACAGAGCGGCAATGGCAAGAAAAGAGGCAGGACCAGGAAGATTCAAGTATAATCTGCCTAGAGCCTGCTTCTACTATACATTTATACACCATATAGGAAGTAGGTAAGGTCTGTATGGATGTAAGACAGGAGGCGTAGTAATGGATAGACCGGAAGCCATACATGAGGCTCTGCATAATGACTTGATTCTGGAAAGATGATGCGAAGTGCTATGTCTAGTGTCTATTGGATACTTAGGGACGACTTTCTAGCCCCTCGTTCGAAGATGTCGTCGTAGCAAGTTTTGCGACTCAATAATAATCGATATCATGGCGTCTTTCCAGGTCGGGTTCTATACCATAATCATTCTGGCTGGTTGCAAACTCATTTTGATCGCGCTAGAGTTCTTTAGTATAACACTTCAGCAGAATGCTAGGCACCTTCGTGTGCTTGGATACTTATCCTCGTTTCTGGCGCTTTTACTCGGCTGCTTGTCTTTCATAGGGCTGCGAGCGAGGGGCCCAGACGAACCGGGCCAATGTGACAACGCGGATGCTGATATCGTTGGCGACGGTGTTCGCGCAGCTGCTTGGACCCAAGTTGGGATACTTTTCTTCATTACTCTTACTGGAATATGGCATATCTGCAAGACAGCTGTGAAGGAGATTGGTGGCGGGTTAATTATCACTCACGTGTCTTTGGCTATTGCGCTTCTTGTTCCATTGGCTCGTCGAGAATTGTCTCCAATCGACGCGATCCTTGGGTCGTTAATTCTTGATGCCCAAGGCAATTCCCTTTCCATTCAGCTGGTAACTAAAGAGACACTAGCAGCCCGATGGCAAGTGGTAATCGTTCTAATCGCTCAGCTACTGGGCTTGATTATAGAAGGGATCCTCGTGGGTAACTTTACCAGGAACTTACGTCCTACCAGCGACTGCGATTGCTTCTCTGCGTTTTGGTGGGCGTGGCTAAGCAACTGTCCGTCGGATTCCCCGAACGACGTTGAGCCGTTCTGGATTTATTTCGGATATCGATTTGTCAACATTGTTCACGGCGCTTACTTTGCAGCCACCCGTACTACGACTTATGACGATGCTGAGAAATGGGATAGAGAGAATCCATGCGATTCCTGCGACATATGTAAAAAAGCAGAAACGCCGAGCATATACTGCAGCTGTCATTTATGCGAAGAATGTCATTATTGCAAAGTATGTAAGAGGAGGATGCGCGGTCTTCACGAAAAGCGATGTGCCAATAATAACAACAACCTTCCTAAAGGCGGCGGCGACTCTAACAACCACGCATCTAATAGCGCTGTCACCCATAATAATGACTCTAACGACCATGAGTCTCACAGCGATATCACTCATAACGATGAGACATCCCCGAATAATATCAGTAGAGTCTCATCACTAACAAGGGATGATAATACTCAACGGCAAAATGGTCACAACGGTGTACCACCACCGAATGGTAACAACAGTACACCTATCAACGGTATAAATGGCAACTGTATACCATTACAAACCCTGAACAAGGCAAGGGTACAAAATGGCAATCATGAAGCAACAACACCACATGCAGGCGATGACGGCGAATCGTCACGCTACGAAGAGTCAGCATGCGAAATGTGCATAGCCTGCCAAAGATGCCACAAGTGCGGACACATCGACCTGGAAGCCGGCCAAGCAGTGCTGCTGGTCGGCGAGCGGTACTCGGAGGTGCCGGTGACCGTCAGCGTCAACTTCCTGGAGAGCAGCGTGCTGGCGCTGCTGAGCATGATCTCAGCCGAGGTCACGATGAGCATCAACATGGTGCAGAAGACCTCGCCGCTGTACTCCGTCGGCCAGGTCACGGCCCTGATAATAGCCGGCGGCACGGCAATCAGGGCGCTCTGGGTCTTTTTATATATGTTCGATGGCCGGTCGTCGCGTGAGTCAATAATCTCCCCCTCCCCTTTGCTAGGCAGTAAGCAGTGACTTTGATCTGGCTAATAATAGTTATTACTAGACTCAGCATATTAAGTAGGGGAGTATAATGATTTGGAATGATTGCCTACCTACCTACCTACCTACGTTTTACGAATAACCTACGTTACATTACGTTACCAACGATATATAATAATGATTCACGACACGAAAAAAAGTGATTTAACGGAGCTGATCGGGGAAAAAGTCAAGGTATATAGACATGCTGTTACATATTCTGGACCCAATCGACCTTTGCGCGATATATTTATAAAGACACACGGCCAGCTTTTGGCAAGACAGGCATATATATACGATGGTGTTATATGTGACATATTACTGCTTACAGCTTGATATCTTGATATCTTGTTTGGGGAATCGACGAAGCGAACTACGAGGTCACACCCCTAGGAACGAACCATGCTGGAACGGGTACGTACCCACCACCGTCTGTTCACGAGATGTCGGGACGCGGAGTGGAAACTATATAATATTTTATGTCCAAACAGCGTCATGTCATGCATATCTGGTTCGTATCAACATACCAGAACCATACTTCTAAACAAAGTTCATAAATGACCAGATATCCCACCGATACGGTACATACATACATCAGGATGGATACCTTGAGCTACCGAACCTAACCTATAGGCAGCCTACCTCCCACCCGTCACAGCCTGCACCCCCTTAACCACCAACTTCCTCACCATCAGCGTATGCAACCACCTGCCGACCCGTCCCTCCAACGGCGTACTAACCCCCCCGTCCCTCTCCCGCCACATAACCGTCTCATTCACGAACCTCACATCCCCCTCCACCGCCTCGCTGCTATAACTCCGCCCACGCCCCTCCCTCTCCTTCTCCCGCTCGCTCTTCCGCCCCCGCCCAGCCGCAACCTCCAGATCGAACCCGACGACCAGCACCCCCTCCACCGCGGGGCCCTTCCACCCCTCCGGCGGCGCCACCTCCAGCACCACGCGCCCCTTGCTGCGGCTGCGGCTGCGCACCACGTACACGCCGCACACGCGGTCGCCGGGGCGGAACTTGCACGCCGAGATGTACGCGGGGTCGAACGTCTTGGCGAACTCCTCCGCCCGCTGCGTGTCCTCGAGCGCGGCTCCCACGCGCTTGAGGAAGTACGCCTGCGCGGTGCCCGCGAACGCCGTCATCGTCGCGGCGAGGTACGAGTCCAGCAGCCCGCTCAGGTTGCCCTTCTTGGAGATGAACTCGGGCCGCAGCGACGCGACGGGGACCAGGTGGGAGGTGACGCGCTCGCGCGCGACGACGTACCGGTCCGGGTGGTGCCGCACGTCCGACGGGAAGATGTCCCTGTCGCTGAGGGGCTCGGCTGCGGAGGAGGTGGTGGAGGTGGGGTCGGCCAGCGAGTCGGGCGGGCAGATGGCGGCCGAAGCGGCGGTGTGGCGCGCCAGCGAGCGCTGCAGGTAGATCATGTAAGCGGCGGGGATAGCGATGGGCGCGAGGGCCAGGAGCACTTTGACCGGAGTGCTGCTGCTGCCCACCGCGCCGGGTAGTCTGAGCCCCGCGAAGGGGGAGCTGGAGAGTGCCATTCTCGCCATGATGAAAGGGATTTCTAGGTAGGTTAGGTACCTCTTATGCAGGCAACCAATGTATTCAATGTATTCTGCGTAAGTTGTGGGCAGGTATAACACAACTATAAGTCTATAATTGATGTAAATCGAGGACGAGTATATTAGGTCAGGTAGTCAAAAGAGAATTGCCTATCAAACGTGTATATGATTGGCTTACCTCACACCGATATTTCTTAGGAGCAGATGAGTCAAGACTTGAGATCTATTTTGGAAATAAGGCTGGCTACACAAGGCTTCCGAGGCTGAATCGATCGATATTTTTCTATACTATGTATGTATGTACAAGCCGCGATCCCGGCGCCGAGTTTCGCTACCCAAGAATTAGCCACTTGCGGTAGCCCAACATTGACAAGAACCAATGAGGAACTGCATACGAGATCTTTTTTCATGGACTAATACCTATCCGGCATAGCTAAAATCGTTAAGCATAGGCGCCGTCTAATGCTAGCTCGAGCACAATTCCGGCTCTGAGAAATTCATTGTTCAAATATCCTAATTTCTAAACATGGGGGGGAATAATACTGCGGGACAGTAATTGTGTATGTATAGAGAGAGAACGCTCCTCGACTCCTCGACTCCGTGATGCAATGGGTGCGTTTGGTAACCAATTGCAACTTAGAAAAAAGAAAAGAAAAAAAAAAGAAAAGGAAACCTAAAGGGTATTTTAGCGCCATATGCAAAGAGGCCATTATGCCTCGGTATGATCCAACGTGTCCAATGGTACATATCCTTCGTCTTTCCTCGATCTCCTACCCAATACCGCACCTGCAAGATCCTGGGCTTTAATGATAATACCATCAAAGCCCCAGCCACGGCCGCGCTTCTTAAGCCCACTCTTCTCGGCTATCAGCGCATCCTCCATCCACTGAGGTCGCTTCCAGAAGTTTAGGAGTAGCGAACTAACCACAACACTGACACTACTGCAAGCCATAGCGGCACCCGCAGCCATAGGGTGCAGATGCCAACCTATGGGAAGGAAAAGACCCATCGCAAAAGGTAATCCGACCACGTTGTACATGCATGCCCAGGTGAGATTGAGCTTGATTCGTAAGAAAATGGTCCGGGCAAGGTGGAGAGCAGCGGGGATATCCATAAGGTCGTTGGGTCGCATGAGAACAACATCTGCAGCTTCCATGGCGACATCGGTACCGCTAGACATAGCGATACCAACGTCGGTGGTGGCCAACGCGGGAGAATCGTTGATACCATCACCGACCATGGCGACGCGTTCACCCCTATCTTGGATTTCCCGGATGATAACCTGCTTCTGATCCGGAGACGCGCCGGCATACACATTGTCATGCGAGATGCCAACAGATGAGGCAACGGCCAACGCGGTAGAAAGTTGATCACCAGTAACAATTGCGGTCTTGATTCCCATTCGATGTAAAACAGCGATTGTTGCTGCGGCTCCGTCCTTGATCGTGTCTGCCAGGCATAGATGACCAGCATACTTGCCATCGATGGCGATAAACACGTTCGTCGTTCCGGCAGAAGAGGCTTTCGACTTGTTTGCCTTCGAGTTGATTTCTTCCGATGCTTCTACTGCATTTTCTGGCACGTCGACATTGTTTTCTCGTAAGAAACGAACACTTCCAACAAGGACTTCGTAACGGGTACGCTCAGCGCTAGCGGGTTCGACACGTGCACTAATACCGCGCCCGACGACGGCATTGAACTCGCCGACGCTGCCGTCGATAGCTGCCTCAGCATCCAAACCGAGATCATTTCGCGCCGCTGCTAGAATAGCCTTGCCAACGGGATGCTCGCTTCCCATCTCGGCAAGACCGACGATTTTCCACCAGAGGCGTCGTCGCCATTCGTTGTCCTGCCATACAGCGGGCATCTTGATGCTCGCAACACTCATCTTGCCGTACGTGAGGGTTCCAGTCTTGTCGAGGACGACCTGAGTAATCTTTGTAGTGGCCTCCAAAGCGGCACCACCCTTAACCAAAATTCCGTTCTCTGCGCCAACTCCCGTACCAACCATAACCGCGGTAGGAGTAGCTAGACCGAGAGCACACGGGCAAGCAAATACAATAACGGATATGCAAAGTTTGACGCAAACCATTAACTTGCCACCACTTTCGGCCTGTAAGAAAATCTTAGGTGGGTTAGTCAGGACATGGCTGAGGATCATCCACGTGCAAAATGTCAAAAACCCAAGGACCAGGATGGCAGGCACAAAGTAACCGGCAAGTGTATCAGCTAATCGCTGGATGGGAGCCCTGGTGGTTTGCGCATCCTGAACGAGCTTGACAATTTGACTTAGTTGCGTATCTCGGCCTGCTCTGGTCACGCGGAAATCCACTCGACCGTGTCCGTTGACGGTACCACCTATCACGTTGCTACCCTTCCTCTTCTGAACTGGAATTGCCTCTCCGGTAACCATACTCTCGTCCACATATGTTTCACCTCGTACAATAGTCCCATCCGCCGGGATCTTATCTCCTGGACGGATTATAACGATATCGCCTACGGAGATGAGTTCGGTAGGAATGACCTTCGCTTCTTCTGCATTACCGTCCTGAGTGGGTGTCTCCGGCTTCCCCGACTTGGCTATATCCCAACCTTCGGCAGCCTTCTCCGCAGCAATTGGATCAGCGTATATAGTAGCCATCGACGGAGCTAGAGACATGAGTCGCGAGAGGGCTCTTGAAGTTTGACCCTTTGCGCGATTCTCCAAGAATCGACCAAGCGTAACGAAGGTAATAAGCATAGTACTCGTATCGAAGATAGTACCCGGACGATTGTGAGGAGGAAATAAGAGGGATATGATCATAGCGAAAACGCTAAAGAAAAAGGCAGCAGACGTGCCCAGGACGACCAGAACGTCCATAGTCGGGGACTTGTGCTTGATGGACTTGAAAGCTGAAACGTAAAAGCGTTTGCCTATGCCGAATTGTATGGGTATCGTTAAAACTAAGCAGATAACGTCGCCGAGGAAAAGGCCGGGGAGTAACTCTAGGCGACCGAAATCTAATATGGGAAGCATCATAGGAAAGACCATGCCTATGAAGAATACCGGGAGGGCAAATGATAAAGAGACCTGGAATGCTCTTCTCCATTCCTGAATCTCCCTAGTCTTCGCTAGAGACTCCAATTGCGCATTGTTGTCATCGTTGTCAGCAACTAAAGCGTTGAATCCCAGCTTCTCTATTTCTTCTACAAGCGCGCGTAATCCAGTAAGGCTCGGCTGATGGGACACGGTTAGTCTTGACGTAGAGGTGCTTAGCTTAGCCGAGCTAACACCAGGGAGAGCGAGCAGCGTGTCCTCGATGGTTTTAGCTGCCGCAGCATCTGGATCGCCGTAGATTTTGAACTGAGCTGTCGAAGAACCCCCGGAGTGATCAGACATATCGGCCAATGTTGATAGGACGTTGGCGCCAAATCCCCTATCCTCGATGATCTCCGCGATCTTCCCCGGCGACAATTTCGTCATGTCGTGCGTGATAACGGCGCGTTCCGCCAATAAACTGATGTTGAACCGTAACACACCCTCAACACCGGCGAAACCACTCTCAACGGCAGAGGTACAAGCGCCACATGTCATGCCCTCAATCGCAACTGTAGTCGTAGCTAGTGTCGATGTTTCGATGTTCGTCAATCCCGCCTGCGACGGCTTCGATTCTTCGCTCGATACCAGGGTCGCGCCGAATCCTCGATCTTCGATAATCTCTATGATTTTATCGGTAGGAAGGAGAGTAGCATCGTGTTCTATAACAGCCCTTTCCGAGAGTAGCGAAATGCTAAAATGTTTTACCCCTGTTACATCTGCGAATCCACCCTCGACTGCAGAAGTGCACGCTCCGCAAGTCATACCCTCGATAGCGATCGTGGTAACAGTCGTTGCCGGGTCATCGTTGCCCTCTTTCGTGTTGAATATCGGGGTTTGTAATGGGGTCGGTAGATCAGTTGACAAAACCTCGGCTTCGAACCCGCGATCTTCGATTATTTCCTGTATGGTCTCGGAGGGAACTCGTTGGGGATCATGCATTACTACCGCACGCTCCATCACCAGACTAACCGACACGCTACCAACCCCGTCGACGTCTTTGAAGCCCGCTTCAACCGCCGAAGTACAAGCGCCACATCTAAAAACAAACGTAAGCTAAAAGAAACAATAGAACAAAGGGGATTGGGTGTTTATACGTCATGCCGCCAACTCTCAAAGTTGTGGTAGCCCATCGAGGTACTGGACTTAGCAGAGAAGATCGAGTAGAGTCCCTCGTGGGGACTTTAATATATTCCGGAGCCATATTTGACTAGCGTAATTTGATAATATTCGGATAGGGGTTGACAAAGGCGTGGGCTGCGTCGCTGGTCCGTCTATTATACGCTTCGCAAATTTTCTATACAATGGCTGGCATGATATTAGATTGTTCTTTGGCGATTCTCGTCGGATAAAGGAGTTGTTAAAAGATAGGATGGTTCGCGTAAGCCTCGGCGCCAGGCGGAGGGGAAGCAGGATATATTAAAGTCGGGATTATATCGTTGGTTAATCGTTGCTGTGTGTATTGCAGGTTGAGGTTGCAGCACCGTGGGGAGAAAAAATGGCAAAAGAGTTAAGAAACGAAGCCGGAATGTCGAACGATGGGATCCTTTTTTGGGTTTAAGAGGGTTTGTAAGCTGCCGGGGCTAAGAAACGGATCTGAGGTAGGTGCGTATGGATGTAATACAAGTGGTAAAATATGAAGCACCCTAGAACCAATCGGGTGTTTCCTTGAATAGGAAATTGGTGGAGCTAACCGTATTAAGAGATTATTGGTGTTTGACCAAGCGTATATCTAACACAGTGCGGTATAAATAGGTACCTACCTAACCTAACAATAATCCAATACCATTACGAAGTATATACGAAGTGTGCACGAAGTGTGCCACATCGAACATAACCTTCCGGCCTTCCTAACACGGCGATTCCCAGCAATCCTCAACGGCAAGCTAGTAACTACACGCAGGTAATATACAACATTATAGATCTGGACATGTAGTGCGTAAATGATTATTGATTGCTGACAGTTGTATGTTCTATACACTGGAGAATATAAAAGTGGTTAAATTAGAAATCAATTATGTAAAGAAAAGAAAAAAGGAGAAAACGTTAACAGACAGTGTAAAGATACTATACACGATTCGTAAATACGTTGTAGTTGTTTGAGACCAATTCTCGCCTCCGGTAAGTTCGGACCAGGCGGAGTAGAACCTCTTTTTAGATGGCAGATGTAGGTCCTATGTACGTACACCCCGCTAAATTAGATACTTAATTTTATCCGGTAGGCCGCAGGCGTACTATGTAGACTTAAATTAGGAGAACACCATTAATGATTAGGTAGCCCCGGTTCTATTTCTAGCATATTCCTGTATTAGTTATATGGACTAGGTAGTTGACTCAAATAAAGGCTGACGAAATATACGGAAGTGGGTAATATTCACAAACTGTTACGATCAAAATTCATACCTATATAACCTAAGGTATATTTATGGAACGGTTATGAAAAGCCATGTTTTTTTTTTCTTACCGACGGAATATGTTCAAAGTTGTGAACTTATGATGCCTAGCTAGCTGAATGGAATATGGACACTACCTATGTTGAGTACCCAGGTATTGTACACATTTAGTGCGGAGTGATAAGATAAGACAGGCAGCTAAGACAAATGCCCCGCCAGGACAGGGTGCTTTAGCGCGCCATGTCACTGGAAGCTCAAACGGTGATGATACAAGGCGCCTGCTTTTAGCAACTTCGAGCCTATCCTAAACGTCAAAAATTAAACAATAGGAAAATCTTGTCTCATAATCCAGTCTTTTATTCCAGTCTCATTTTCCTTATTCCATTGCGTGAGGCCTAGCCGTTTCAGTTCTACACCCGCCATTCCCAGTACCTACCAGCACCGGTAATCGTACCATACCTACCTCTAATCATCGAAACGGACTGAAGCAGGGATCTCCAACCAAGTCGTCTACTCTCTAGATCTTGGAAGACTGCCCGATCTGAAAGCTTAGCTAGCTGGAGCCTTGTAGCCTCGTGATAGTCTGACGTCAGTTTTTGCTATCGCCAGCGTAACGGCGAGGCTACCTTCACCATGGAGCAGACCAAGGCGTTAAACGCTCTAGAGGTACGATTCTATACTTATTTATTACTTATCTACCTACTCAGACCCATAAACCGTAATGATAACAACTAGTAACTGACAACTGACTTATCACATAACTAGCCCTACCTCGCTCTCACCAAGTCCGCAGCCGCCCCCCGAGCAGCAGCCGACCTCGTCACGCAAGCGACCTCCAACCCTAACACCTACGTCTTCGCCGAGCTGCTCCAGGCGCCGCAGATCCAGTCCCTCCGCCAGTCGCCCGAGTACGCGCCGTACCTGTCGTTGCTGGAGCTCTTCTCCTTCGGCACGTTCGCCGCCTTCGCGCAGCAAGCCGACCAGCTGCCCCCCCTCAACGCCGCGCAGACCCTCAAGCTGCGCCAGCTCTCGCTGCTGACGCTCGCCCGCGACCCGCGCAACCTGAGCTACGCGTCCCTGCAGCAGCACCTGGGCCTCCCCGACGCCCGCGCCGTCGAGGACCTCGTCATCAGCGCCGTGTACGCGGGGCTCGTCGAGGCGCAGCTCGACCCGCGCAACCAGGCCGTCCACGTGTCCCGCGTGTCGCCGCTGCGCGACCTCGCGCCCAACTCGCTCCCGGGCCTGCTCGCCGCCCTGCACGCCTGGTCCGACCACTGCGCCTCCACCCTCGCCGACCTCGAGGACCAGGTCGCCCGCATCAAGGCCGAGGCCAAGAGGCGCCACGACGAGAAGACCGCCTGGGAGGCCCGCGAGGCCAAGCTCGTCGAGGACCACGGCAAGCTCGACCTCGTCCTGCCTGCGAACCAGGGCGCCGGTAGTGGTGGTGCTGGCGGTGGTGAGGGCACGCACAGCCGTAATCAGGGCCGGTATCTGGATTCCGCGATCGCTCGACTACGCGGCAGCCAGCGCAACGGGAAGCGTGGAAGCGGCAGCTTAGATGCGGCGCAGGATTCTGACGAAGCGATGGATTTGGATGAGGAGGAACCTGATGACGGAGAGATTTTCGGTGCTGGCGCGTCAGGTGCGGCCAGGAAGCAACGGGCGAGCCGACGAAGACTGTAACCTTGATGCTGCAGTGAGATGGTATTAGCAAGGATAGATTTGCATTAGAGGTGTTGGCCATGAGTTTAACAGGAAGTAGTTTACTCATTTTGACGAAACGACAGCTTCTAGCTAGCTAGGTGGTTTTCTGTGCTGGCAAAAAAGAAGTATCACGATGTTATGGGGAAAAGGAACTAAATATACAACATGACCGTGGTTGCAGCACATTTAGACCATTGGCATGCCGAAATAGGCTCATGAAAATACAAACGATTTTACTAATCGCACATTAACACACTTGAATAACATAACGGTGCATATAAATCATCGTAGAATCAATTGCAATATGCCTAGCCGGGAGACTTGACAAGTTCTCAGTGCTTAGCTACCTTTTAGTATTGTACAGAACGCTCAGCAAATCGATTAGAGAGGTAAGGCACCTAACCTTAGGTTACCCTTGGACGGAACACGTGAAGACATGTCCGTGAATCCTCTGATTAAATAAGTCCCGATGGATGGGACTGTAGACGAAGAGAAAAAAAAAAGTAAGATCCCTAGAAACGTGCTCCAACGAGCAGTGCCGAACCAAATAGAGGACTCAAGATATGACGAATCCATACGCCACATGTCAACCCTTCCTCCTTTTCCTTCCTTGCACATGTATGATGGCCACGTTTCTTCCGGAAATGATAACGAAAAAAGGGAAAAGTGAAATGAAAGCTTGCTTGCTTGTGCTTAGTGGTATCACACTCCTCTCCCACTCTAAACCGTGCCAGAATATTATTTTGGACTTTGGTGTTAAGTCTTTGCAAACCTTAGGCTCGAAACTCCTGGAAACAAGATGGTCATGACGTCGTAAAATGCAGCGCACCAATGGCAAAAAGAAAGAAACCGAATGCTCTTGCTGAAATAGGCGATGAGTATTATTCGTGTTTATAGCCTGTGACCGGGTACGAAGATAAACAGCACGCAAAGTGCTGCGTCAACTATTGCTGTCACGGCTAGGACCACGAGGGAACGCTGGATCAGCAGCTTGCGAACATACGGCTCTCTAATGCGGGTGAACTGTAGCGGCGTCAACTCGCTAAAGCCGGCAAGTGCCATGATAGGATCCAGAGAGTACTGATATGATGCGAGAAAGTAGACGCCAATAGTAAATGGCAGAATTTCCTAAAGACAAGGTTAGACAAATATTTATATGATATCAGTCGCGTTAGGAATACATACCCAGCATCGTTCTAGGCGGGAACGGTCGAGAAAGATTAGGTTGAATCCTGTCCAGAAAGCTCCAAACAGAGCGATAAGACCAATAATCAGTCTCGCAATGAGAGTAGGAGGGACCAGGTTGCCAAAGGCACGAGCACGGAGGAAGCCCGGAAACGCATCACGCTCCATCGCTTGAAATACGTAGTCCTTAGCGACGTCGAAAAGCTCGGGATCGTCACGGTTGTCTTCCTCGATAGCTTGGGTAATCTCTGCCGCAATCGAACCATCTAAGGTGATCTCACGTTCAGCGCCGGGGAGCAGGAACGTGTAGAGAATCTTTTCCGCAGACGCTCGGATATCACGTCGGGCCACGCTATGCTCGGGCGAATTGGAATCGGTGATGTGATGCGGCGTGCCGGAACTAAGCTGGGTGCTAGCTCGGGCTCTTCGTTCCAGGCTGCTAACCGGGGAATCGTGGATGCCACCGGGCGCGGGTTGCTCACGCAAATAAGTGGAAATCTGAGCATCTCTATCTCTTCCTTGCTCATCGTTAAATCTTGCAGGACCTGACAGATCGCCCATAGCTTCGAGGATTCTGGAAGATCGCTTAGATTCCTCCGTCTCCAGGTCGGGTGTGCCCACAAGAACGGACCGCCTAAGTTCGCGAACGTAGTGACGACAGAGCGACATATGCTGGGCTACGTCCAACCTTTTTTTCCTATTAGCAAATAGACTTCATTAACCCGAAAAGAGTACATACCAGAAATCCAAGTAATCAACGGAACGTTGCTGGTCTCGCATATAAATGTAGAAGGAGAACAGGTCGACGGGAGGATGTGTACGACGGCAGAGCACCTCAAAGAGGGTAGGTAGCCGATTGCGTACCGTCGCCTCGGGAGGTGAGATCGGTTGATTCGCCTCCTCTAGAGCAGCACTGTACGCCATCTTGAAGAATTCTCGCTCGGCAATTGAATTATATCGGGTTAATTGTCGGATGGGAATTCAACGCCAAAATGCGTTGGTACGACGGTTATGAGCCGAGCTCTCCCTTGAGAAGGAGCTTACAATCGTGTCTATTATCGTCGCGTAAGATGCGATCGGAGTGATGAGAATAGCAGGATTGATTTTGAGGCGAATATTGTCGACATGTAAAACTCATTCATCAATTACTTGATCTAAATCAATTATTTCCAATGAATTATTTTTTTCGCTTCGGGTTGTTTGTATACAATCGAAACGAGTGAAATTGCGCTCGGCGCAGGGTGATGACGATTGTATAGAGAACGTGGATGTTGGTTGCTGGTGCGTTGGGCGAAATCAAAAACCGGAAACCCAGGGTAGGTAGTTAGAAATTGGGGAAAGTCGCCTGGAAAAGCAAAAAGCAGCGTAGGATGATTGTCCGCCGTGGTTGCTGGCTTGCTTTGGCGCCTGGGCCAATGTGACTGCTTGAAGATCACCTGAAAAAGGAAGTACCTCGTAACTGTCAAATTAAAGGGCCAGGGGTTGGGAGAACTCGTGGCACAGTAGCTTGTAAATCAGCCACACTAGTTCTCATTCTCATGTTGTGAGGACATAAAAAGGTTCACAAAGGATCATGTGAGTTTTTTATATGAAGGAATAAAAAGTTGAGAAGGAATTGGATAACACGATGTAATGGTATTAGGCAATTCCTGTCGAGATGTCAGCATGTGCATAGCTTGCCTTGCGGCTTCTTAGTTGCGATTTGTTGCTATCACGACGGAAGCTGCTAACCCCTCAGCCCCTTTGGACTTTACGAATTACGGCCTAGATTCTTCAGTCAATGGTGTAGGATTACGTAGTTCGGTACGTAGCTGTAGTACTGCGACCCATAAAATTTCACACATCTGAGGCAGCTCCTGTGTTCAGGCCACACAAATTTTCATAAGCCACTTCATTAGCGTTAGATGGGGGGTTATAGTAGCCGTATATATACCGTATACATACAGCTCACTATGTATGAACCGCCCCCAAAGTTAGGGGAAAAGCTTTAACTTAATAAGCGTTTTATACGCTGTTTATGCGTTATTTATTATTAATAATTATATAATATATATACGTATTTCGTTATAATATATATTTAATGGAAAAAAATATTAATGTATTTTAAATTATATAAAAATAAGTTTTTTTTTATTTTTTTTTATTTTAATTTTACGTACGTATTTATTAATAATTATTTTTATATTATTTGTTTTTTTAAACCGCTTTTAATAATTATATATTAGAAAAAATAAAAAGTATTTTTTTATATATTTTTTTATTATAATTATAATTATAATTTACTTAATTAAGAAATTATTAAGTACGTTTTTTAAATAAGTTATATTATGTTATGTATAATATATTATAAACGGGTATATGTCGAGTGGGATAATTACAAAAGAGGAAAAAGTGTTAAGAAAATGTTAACTCGCTGTATAGTCCCTATATCTAAGACGAAATATAGAGACAATGGTATGATAGACGATAACACTTATCCTTCTCTCTTTCTTCCATCTTAAAAACGGGATTCTACTTTCCTTATATACACAATAGCTGCTTTGCTATGACCTCGTACCATATCGAAACTTCTGATCAAATATGCCGATCGGATCTTTAATAAGGTATTCCGTCAACTTTATAATAGGTTTTTCCCCGGACATCGGTATACCTTATATGTAGCAGCGACCTGTCCGACAGGTCCAGTATCCATCCGTCCGTAACTCTATATCAACATCATCCATATATCCAGATGACTAATAGAGTATCTGACACCTAGCAGCTAATACACACTTTGGTCCCTGACAGTATACGTATAAGTTTATAATTATAAGCTATAAGGTAAGTGTGGGGTAAAGTATAATGTAATATTACTATTTGGGTAGCTGCATATATATTATTTAAAACGGAGGAGCCGCTTAAAACGGGGGAGTTGTTTAAAATGGGAGCGGCGCAAAAAAAACGAGCGGCGCAGGAATTTTGAGAGGCGCACGCGCAGCTCATTCGCTAGGAGCCATGTGGATACAGCTGCGTAATACTTTAAACGTTACAATTAAGAGCCGTTCTTTGAATTGAGTTGGATAAGTACGGCTATATTTATTAAACGGTATGTATGCAGCTACCGTAACCCTATCAGACGCTAATGTTCCAATCACCGATCTGTAAGGTGCACAGGCCGGGTAGGTAACACTAGCCACATAACAATCCCACAACCCTAAATTTGATTGGTTCGGCTAGCGAAATCCTCCTCCTGCCCTCAGTTTCCCACATCAAAGGTCTTCCAATTTTCAATTTCGCAAAGCTAAACAACATCACGACCCCGAACTTTTTTCGACCAACACCCAGACAACAACCCAGTAAGAATCTCCGCCCGAAAACCACTCCATTTCCGTTCGACTACGTAAATAATTCTAACTACGGTTCTCAATTCAGAAATGTCGTCGAAAGGAAAGAAGCCCGCCACCAAGTCGGCCATCGAGCAGGTCGTGACCCGCGAGTACACCATCCACCTCCACAAGAGAGTACGTCCACCGTGCGCCAGAACCGAGCGCCCATCGATGCAGAAATTTTTAATTTTTTTTTACTCGGGAGGAATAACTGAAATGCTGATGGATTTAATAGGTGCATGGTGTAACTTTCAAGAAGCGGGCTCCTCGAGCCATCAAGGAGATCAAGGCGTTTGCGCAGAAGGCTATGGTACGGACATACCTATCATCCACCTCTATTCCACCAATGCAATACAATGCATTGCAACATTGCATTGCACTTCACTGCAGTGCACGACCGAACACGATTCCGATAGAATGTTGATCTGGCTAACCCTATTCTCAGCAAACCTCGGACGTCCGCCTCGACCCCCAACTCAACAAGAAGGTCTGGGAGCAGGGTATCAAGGGTGTTCCGTTCAGACTCCGTATCCGAATCAGCCGAAGACGAAACGACGAGGAGGATGCCAAGGAGAAGCTCTACAGCTACGTTCAAGCCGTCAACGTCAAGAACCCCAAGGGTCTGGTGACGACCGTGGTCGAGGAGTAAGGAAAGGCAAAGGAAAAAAACATTGTTTCGTTGAGATACCGGCTGGGTTCAAGAAGGGCATGGTTTCGGAGTTACCTTCTGGCTTCATGACATTGAGATCAGATTCACTAGTTGATGAATCAAGAACCGTGAACAATTATTTATTTATTTCGTGACCCTTCACGTCTGGATTACTATCAGATTCTCCTGTGGCATTTTTCAGCTGATTGTCCTAAATCACACTGAGCAAGTTACAACGGGTCAGGGCGATATTATTCGTGTGGAAAATTGGGCAATGCTGCCGCACGTCATGATTAAAGGAATTGCTATCGCCAGCCCGGAACCACCTGTAAATGCAATGCGTACGAGAAGCCGGGACAATTGAGCCTCATGGCACCGACCGTGCAAGTGCTAACTCCATTCTCCCATGTTGGTTGACCCTCAACCACCCAGATTTATGAAAGCTCGAGGAATGACAGGTATAATAAATATTCATCTAATCGTCGTCAACATCGCGGTGACGTCCAAGAACTTTCCTCTTGAACTCCTCCGCATCCTTATCCCATAACTCCGCGGCCTCGCCATTTAATGGAGAAGAGCTACAACTGCGTTAGCATAATGAAGACAGCATAAACATAAGCACAGGGGAAGATAACGTACTTGTTCGGTTCCCCGAGCAAACTTTGCAGACTTAATAGAACTGTTTGAACGTTGTATGCAGCGGTCCATTTGTCTTTTAGGATATCTAGGCAAATACGACCCGAGAAGTCTACATTTGGATGGTAGATTGGAGTCTTGAACAGTACTGTCGGCGGAGCATAGGGATAGTTGTTGGGAAAAGAAAAGGACAGCTTAAAGGTAAGACCAGCATATGGAGTGTCGTCAGGGCCCTCAATGGTTGCAGACCAGGACATCAGGTTACCGTCCGCCGACGGGAAAGCAGAAACACCAGGGGCAGGCGAGGTCATCAACTGCATTAACTCTGTTTGTAATCTACGACTTGTCAGTATAGAATATTACTAGCGAGAGCGAATTAGAGGCAATCTCTACGGCATACCTTTTCGTCACACTCTGTGCATCCGGGCCCTTCCTTGTGCCCCCGAGCTTGGCTGCTTGAACACTGCCAGGGGCAGAATTTTGGCTATCTTCTCCTGCGTAGTCCATTTTGACAAGTAATTAAACCTGAGCCGATGATGACACACAATCAGGCGATTTTCCAGGTAGATATTGGAGAATGAGAATGGGAGGAATTTGAATTAAGGCCGAGTCAAGTTACTCGATTCGGCGGGTACCGCAATTGGATGTATTGCGGCAGGGAGAGGGAAGTAGACGAGGTAAATCGAATCGGACTGGAATGCAGTTTGACCGTTAGCGATGAAAGGTCCAAAATACAACCACACCCGATTCATAAAAAAAAAAGGAAAAAAAAAGTTCCAGTAAAAGGCAGAAAGAAACTCGAGGTTGAGGAATGCTGTTATTTACGAACCTCTTTGATACTATGTTTCTTAGGAATTATAATAATAAGGAAAATGACGAGATGAAGATTTCAAGAGAAGAGGAAAAAAAAAAAAAAGTAAGTGAGGCAGGATCTACGAAGCAATTGTGATTTTGTAAACAACGTTGGTCGCTTGTCCCCGCCAGCCAAACTCCTATGGCAACCGCGATTGTCCCTAGATCCCTGTTGGGATAGCGTGGTTAGGTAAGGTAGCGCCGTATCGGGCTTGTGTCACTGTCTGTTGAACCTTGAGAGCCACCAGTAAGGCAGCAGCAGCGTTTTTGGCCATGACGACAGGGGTTTTAATGGCCTCTTCGGCCTCTGCGGGGTGTATTACCCGCTAAACAGCCCTTCTCAACCAATAAGATCTGGTATTCGCGCGATAATCTCAAACAAAAACATCTAAACACTCTTGACTCAACCTTTAATTAGTATTTCAACGCGACAAGACGCGTTTATGAATTTATCATGGTATGTTTTTTTTTCTCTGCCAATTTCACTGTTTTTCAAGTTTGGATACCAATTTGTTGGCGAATATCATTTCTTGTTGTTGCATTGGCAATCCATATTGGATGTTCCAGTCTCTACATGTTCATGTAGGATTCGCTAGGCGATTTATACGTCTGGTTCCATCTCAACAAATCATATCGTCAAAAAAAAGTGATCAAAAAAAAGACTTTACTTGACTAAATAAAATGATACCTCAGTCTCAATTAGATCCTCTACCGGATGATCTTCCCTTCCGATTCATATCGAAGACGATTGGAAGAGGAGCATATGCATCGTGAGTTTCACTTACAACTCATACTTGCACCATTTACACCACTTACACCACTTACACTTACACGTGCATCATCTTATACCGCAGTCTCCACTCTATCCCGATTTGCTACTAACTTATACCCCAGAATCAAAAAGGCAATACCTTTAGATGCGCAGTCACCGGTCTTTGCTGTTAAGTTGATTCACAAGGGTTACGCAGTTAAACATGGCCGCATCTCAGCGAAACAGATTGCTATGGAGGTGTCCTTACATTCTCATATCGGCCAACACCCGAATATCATTGAATGGTTTGCGACAGGAGAAGACCACATTTGGAGATGGATAGCGATGGAGTATGCCGAGGGAGGTGACCTCTTCGACAAGATTGAAGCAGACGTGGGTGTCACGGAGGATATTGCCCAGGTCTATTTCTATCAACTCATCAGTGGCGTGAGCTTCATGCATTCCAAGGGAGTGGCGCATCGAGATCTAAAGCCGGAAAACATATTAATGTCAGAAAATGGCAACTTGAAGCTGGCAGACTTCGGCATGGCCACTATGTTCGAATACAAGGGCCAAAGAAAGCTCAGCACAACAATGTGCGGTAGTCCGCCGTACGTTGCCCCGGAGGTGTTGGCGTGCGGCCGAGTAGATAAGAAATCTAGTGAAGTTACTAAATACTCGGCCGAGCTGGTGGATATCTGGTCGTGCGGTGTCATCCTGTTCGTCCTCCTCGTGGGAAACACGCCGTGGGATGAGCCAACCTCGCAAAGTTGGGAATACCTAGAGTACAAGAAGACGAATGGTCGCAGTACAGACAGCTTATGGGAAAGAATACCTGCAGAGGCCCACTCACTGCTCAGGGGTATGATGAGTATCGAGCCCAAAAAGCGATTCTCGTTTGCTCAGATACGCCAACATCCTTGGTATACTCGCCATAACAAATTTCTTGCCGCAGATGGCCAGATCAATGATCCTATAAATCTAGCAACGAAGATGCTCGAGAACCTGCATATAGATTTCAGTCAGCAGGCTCCCTCGTCGCAACATGAGTCACAATCACACGATTCTGTGGATACAGACGGCGGCTCATCTCACAAGATATCTTCGACGCAACCAGAAACGCCAATTAGTGATATTCTATTCGACTGGGAGAGGCCAGCAATCCGTGCCTTAGCCATATCGTCTACACAACCCGTCTCCCCAGCAGACGCAGCATTACCAACGCAGTCTAGTAAATTCTTCGATGCTCTAGCTGAAGAACCCTCCATGAGCCAGTTCTCGCAAACGCGCGGGGTGCTGCTCAGTCTAACACAGAACGCACAGCGTTTCAAGGATATCATCCCCACGCATTCATTTACCCGCTTCTTCTCGCACATGCCACCGCAGCTGCTCGTCCAGATGCTGAGCGACGCACTACACAACCTCAACGTCCCGCTTCCGTCGGGGCCGCCATATGTTGGCCAGGGCGATCACGTGTCGACCTTCAAAGTCCGGACGGTAGACGGTCGCAAGCAAGGGCTCCACGGGGAGATCCTGGTCGACAAGTACTACCTGCCGGAGTCGCAGGAGCTGCTGGAAGTGCGGTTCGTCAAGCTCAAGGGCGACCCGCTCGAGTGGAGGCGCTTCTTCAAGAAGATTGTGCTGCTGTGCAAGGACGGCGTGTACAAGCCGGAGGACTAGAGGGACCCGCCAGTTCATCCATGTATCTGATTCGAGGGGTTTATATAAATAATAGGACAGGAAAGGGGGAAGGGGGGAAAAGGGGGGAATAATATCCGGAGTAGTTAGGTATGCTATGAGGTAACTATGTATTTTCTTTTTCGCGCATGGGTTACGGAGATATCGCATACGGAGCTTGTGTTAGGAAGCTTGCTTAATGATAGACTCAGCTTAGGTATAGCTTTTGTTTGCTACGGCTAGATAAGACGTAATGCTATTGTACTCTTATAAGCTCGCTTGGATGCTGAGTAAATCAGTTTAAGTTCTACTTGGTGGGTGGCTGGGAACCCGACACCTTGTCTTGCCACCTTAGAATTGACAACCAAAAGCAGTTTCCATCCTAACCACTATCTACCGTGTCTGTATCTTTGATTAGCGACATCCTTCAAGAGCCATCTTACCCATCTTTCGGAGCAAATAGTAGATGGGACTCCGTGATCTATGTGAGGCTACACGAAGTATGTATTACGGACCCGGACCCGGACTTTAAGATATTACCACGATTAGCTTACGCCGGTGATATATTTCACAGACAAACCCCACCAAAAAACAGAGAATAGGTATGTAGCTTTAAAAAGCTTTATTAGCAGTATCTTCGTTACGCGAAGAACGCATTTATTATCTAGCCGGCCTCTCAACTACCGAAACGTATGTTAACACGCGACCCGCAGGCACGCATTACACGTCTCGTCTCAACGTAGGTTTTCTACCTAGGCCCGAACTAACTGTAAAACACACGCAAACCATTAGGCACCTATCTAATACCTAGGTAGCCGGAACAGACCAGACTTCTTCTTCTTCTTCTTCTCCTCCTCGTCTTTCTTTCTTTCTTTTCTTTCTTTTTTCTTCCCGTCTCTCTTGACCTAGTCCTCCACGCGCTCGTATCCGTCGTGCGGGTATCCGAGCCACCGGTTCCAGAGGCCGCGGACGTGGCGGACGCCGAGGCCGACGAGGGAGCGGGTCGCGGCACGGCCGCGCTGGAACGAGTGCCAGCCGTGCGGGTAGCACCGGTGCCAGGTCGTCTCGTTGGTGTACCGGATCACGCCCGTGTACACCCCGTCCGGGGTGAAGGTCACACGGTCGCGCATGAGGGTGGTTTCGCCGGTGAGGGAGGTCACTGTTAGGGAGGGGAGAGAGGGAGATGTTAGTAAGAAGTGGTGGGTGGTTTGAGAGAAGTAGGAAGAGCGTGAGTAAGTAAGTAGGAATGGGATGGTAAAGGGTAAGGGGGGTAGGAAGGTAGTGAGGCAATATAAGTTAGGGCATATTCATATTTAGAGAAGAAGGGTTTCTTGGTCAAGTGGGACATTTTCATTTTCACTCATAAGGGGTAGATAAGAAGAGATAGTGATAAAGGCAACTTACAAGGTAGATCGTACTCGTGTATGCCGATTGGATACTCCATGATGGAACCAACGGCGCCGCCGCTGGAATTGTCAGGACGCTGGAAGCCTAGGCGGCGAGGCCAAGCGGCACCGAGAGATCGGTCGCCGGACCGCACGTCGGGAGACAGATCGTGCACGGCAGCTTGGATCGCCAACCAGATGTCCCAACGAGAGTAGACGCGGGGTCGTCCGTTGAGAGAAGTGCAGACGACGAATGGCGGGATCTGATTTCCGCCGTTGTCTCGGTTGTAGTCATTCATCATCTGTTCCATCATGGACGGCTGGTAAGCACCAAAGTCTTCGGTGAACGGGTTCGGGCGCGGCATGGGGTCAGCCTCCAGGTCGTCATTGGGAAGCCTCTGGTTCGCCGTGCTAGCGTTGACCGGCTTCGCGGAAACAGGAGCTTCTTCCGAAGAAGTCCTGGTAAGCCGGGAGCGAGCCAACTCAGCAGTCATAGGATACAGGTCATCTGCTGCGCCCATGCAGTCCTGGATGCGATATTATGGTCAGTATTATGTAGGTCTCCAAGACCACGGAAAGATTTATAGTAGGGAGATTATAGGCGAAGGAATCGTATCACGCATCACAACATAGACTCGAAACTTACGTTGTTTCCCATGACGAGAAATTCATAGGCGGTAGGCAACGGCATGTCGGCCGTCGCGGTGCTGACGGGCTCAGTGTGCTCGGGTTGACTCATTGCTCTGGATAGAGGAATGTCCAGCAAAGTGGATGCTAACAAGAGGATAAGTAAAACCTTCGAGAGAAGCATCTTGAAAGAAGATTGTAGAGAAGAATTGCAAAGTAAGTAGGTATCAAAGTGAGTGTTGCAGATCTTCCCTTGGAAGCTTTGGGGGGGAAACAAAAAGGAAGCTTGAAGTTTACCTTGCTCTTGGAAAAATTGTTGCAAACTGGAACAGTCCAAGAGAGGAAGAGAATTTAAGGTAGGAAACAAGTTATTAAATAAAGAAATCTACCTGTAAAAGTTTTTCCTGCGCTTAGTCGCCTCTTGCCCTGGGTAACCTAATAATATGTAGCGACAGCTAGGTACCTGATGCTCCTTCTCTGTTTAATCTAATGTGACTATCTCTTAGAGCTCACATGGGAGCATATGCGGGTCCTAAGACAGTGCTAAAGATCTAGAGGAAGGCATGTGCGGGTCCAGGAAGAGGGCGGGTACTCTCAAGAGTGAATGGATGTTCCGGGAGACCCCCTTGAGGTCTTTTGACCCTAGGCCACGATTTGTATTTACAGTATGGGAGAATGTAGCTAGCTAGCTGGCTACCTAGCTTGACGGAGGGACGACGACAGCAAGATTGTTGACGACTGCCAGATCTCACAACTCACCTCGTCTCTCTATATGTTTGGATGAATAGGCCTATCAGGGACTATCAGGGAATTGTTTTATATTGTCATTAAAGGGGTATCCAAATAACAATTACGAATGTCTGAGGGAGACCTTCATTGTTTTACGGATGCTGCTTGTGATCTTATGTGATAGGAAGAGTGTGTATCTGGTATTAGTTGTTATGGAGAAGGTCACTCGCCGAGACTAGATGATCACACATATTTGGGCTTGTATGCTGGCTTCGTCCACCTTGTACTATATTCCTTGAGTGAAGGTTGTAACTCTTTTATGATTTTCTGGATCACAAGTCAACCTGTATTTTGGGACACTACAGCGGCAGTTGAATGTCGTGTCAGGAAAATATGCTGTAATGTTAAGTATAACTATTACAAATTCCCAATGGTCATGTACGGAACAATAGCAATATCTTGTATAAGGCCGGAATAGCTAAATTTATCAACAGCTTTTTATCATTGCCTCCTATAAGGAATGCCTGTATAGTTGTCTTGGAGCGTATTTGGAGGCTTCATGTAGATATTGTATACTGGAAGCATGTCTAGAAGAAGCGTTAGCAATTTATTAGAGCTAGTTAAATGATCATTAGATTTTGCAATAGGAACTGTGGTAGACAGGAGCGTATAAGTAATGGAAGAGCTTGTAATAGGATAAATTACAAAAGAAATTATAGAAATGAATTGTTGATTATAAGTGACTCTGATATGTATATTAGCATTTCTTTATTTAAAGACAGTCAAAATATGAGGCGCCATGACAACCTAGATTAAGAATTACGGGAGCGTTTTGCTATAAGTAAAAGCCTATTCTGGACGGCAAAATAGGACTGGTAGTATTGATTCTATGAAATATGCTGGACTAGGCTATATGCAAGGACTTACAGTTGGATGTCTCCTTTTTTCCAATTTTTTTCAAAAAGGGGCTAGGAATTGGATGCTTAGTCATATGAGGTCCATAAAAAAGTTTATCGATAATCAAACAGCTACCTGAGCTTTACTATGCTGCTATGTAGAATCTTCCATCAAACCGATACGTCATGCAAAGCTCCAACCATCATCATTTCTATCCTTGCGGTCTGTCGTCTTTGTTTAGTTCTCAAGGTCCAGCACACTAGTTTCATCTGTTCATGCTTGCGTGTGTTATCCGTTTTTTTATTTCTTGTTTCTTTAGTAACCCTTGCGAAGTCAAAGCAACATCGCGCCGACCTCAAAACTAATTCGGCGGGCAAATATTTTTTCTTAACCAAGCTTCGTAGAAAACAGCTGAGCCCCTGAATTAGTCTACGCTGTCGAATGTTCTCTATTAGGAGGTCGGTTTTGAACAGTTCTTGAATTGAACTAGTCAAGCCATACCTAATTTAGCTGAACGAGGATTTATCCTGTAACTCACCAGCATATCTCATCAATTATACATACCTACCTAGATACACATACACATACGCCGAATCCTCAATCCTCAATCCTCAAACCAAGATGACAGCAAAAGGGGAAACTGCTCGCGGGGCATCGGGTCGCTCACCAATGCGCTTTATATCCGTCGATAACGTTCTACAGCATGCTTCCGAAATACCGTCCGGTCAACCGCGTGTTCCCCCACAACGCGGCCCTCGTGTCATTCCCGGTGTACGACGCGTAAATGGAGGCGGTCTTCCTAATCTTGCATCACGCACGGGGCAGCATAACATGCCATCGCGGACCACTAGAATTAGTGAGAAGCTGGTGTTGTTACCCGAGACAGCTGGCGATTTAGAAGGACCCGATGAAGAAGTCGGATCTGGTTTTCGCGAGGACGAGACGAGGCCGTTGAAGGATGAAGAGCTAGACGTTTTGAGGAAACGGGGAGGGCTACGTGGGAAAAGCTATGCCGAACGACTACCCAAGTTTGAAAGAACCGAAAAACTGTCGAGGCTCACTGCCTATTGCACTGCACAGTCCTACAAGATGAAATCGACCTCGGAATTTCTCCGCAAGAAGCACGACGCTAAAACAAAACTCTACGACGATTGCCTCTATACCGTATACCATCTGCCGCTACTACCGGGCGTGGACGGTTGTCGCGTGAGGAGTCGACCGATACTTAAAACCCCCGGCACGGGCAAGACGGTTTTAGATCTCGAAATCGAGCGGAGCGAACGGAGAGATGAGCATATGGGCTATTACGACGAATATTCATTCAATGAACGAAACGGAAGTCCCAGCCACGAAAATGGCAGCTATCAATCTACATCCGATGATAGTGGTAGTGGTCGGGATCCCGAAGGTCACACTTCTCAACAAGACCACCAATCATCGAGTCCTATTAATAGGCTGGCACCCAATGCTAAACAATTTGCTGAGATGTTTGTTTTCTCGTACGGCGTTGTCGTATTTTGGAACTTCACCGAAGCCCAGGAAAAGGCTATTCTAGCCGACATCACGTTTGCTGAGACTGAGAACGGGACACCGTTGGTCTCGCGACCCCTTGACCAGAGCGATGTTGAGACGGAGGAATTCCATTTCGAGTATAACGCGGATGTAAAGAGACCGCGAATATTCAACGATATGATTACATTGCTTCCACGGTCGGATCATATGGTCAAACTGACTATCAGCCACGCTATCGCACAGAGCACCAAACTCTGCTTTTTCGAGGAGCGTATGTCTGAAACTATGCTGAATGCGCAGGATGTGCCGAAGCGACTAGCTCTTACCGGAGAGTTGAACATGACGAGAACCGAGATCGTGAAGATCCTAGGCCGTCTATTCAAGAGTCGTGTTGATATTAACCTCTGTAAGTAAAACAACTGTATCATACCGTTACTGTCTAGTTGGTACTGACCGGCTTCGCTAGCATCCAATATTCTTGATGTACCTAACTTCTTCTGGGACTCGGAACCTACGTTGCATCCGCTTTATGTTGCTATTCGTGAATACTTAGAGATCGATCTGCGCACCAAGGTGCTCAATGAACGATGCCGCGTCTTTCTTGATCTTGCTGAGATATTGTCGGATTCTGTCGCTGACGCGAAAATGAGTGCCATCACGTGGATCATTATTGTTCTCATTATCGTTAGTATCCTCGTTACCGTGACCGAAGTTGCTCTGCGGTTTGGTATCCTCTCCAAGGAGCGAGGCGAGGGCAATGGCGTGTCGAATCCTCAAAACATTCTCGGCGAAGGATGGGTTGCTGTTCGATCTAACGCTACCCTGGAGCAGCTGAGACAATGGGGCGTTAGCCTAAACGAAGAAGAAAAAGCGGCCGTGTGCGGTGCGGATTACATCGGGACTACGTTTGCTGGTATCTAATATTTAACAACATTTCCTTTTGTACCACGCTTGCATTCTAGGACGGCGGAAAACAGGCGCAAGGGGAGTACCGGTTTTGATACCCATGTAAAGGACCTTTGGGCACATATGTCTCTTAGCATTCGAAGTACGTAATTAACAGTATTCTAATAGCCCCCAAACCATTACCAATTTTCTTTTCATGGTCACCATTTAATTAATCACATTCTATGAGTTACCTATAAATCCTGAGACATTTATATGGACGTATGCTACTAATTGGATACCCAGGTATAGCTGTTCCTTCACGGTATCTTTAGCACATCGTCGACGTTGACGACCTGGCCTGTAGCGATGGACCTGTTGGCAGCGATACCAGTTAAAATGGACAAGGCGCCATCGACGTGACTCGCGGCCCGCATGTACTCATCTGTCGTGGGTTCGCCAAATAGATCGTTAAGCAGCACGGTGTCGCCACCGCCGTGAGCACCAACACCATCTTCGATCTCAATCTCTTGTGGCTTCTCGAATAATTTGCGCAGAGTAATTGTGCGCTTCTCTAGCGACCCTTCCGCCGCCTGATCGCCGCCCGAGTTCACATAACTGTTCTCAACAACCTCCATCTCCAGCCGCCCTCCCGTCCCGTTGAAACTCACCCGGAACCCTTCCCACGGCGCGTACGCCGTCAGCGAGTACGTCATCACAGCGCCGTTGCGGTACCGCACCAGCAGGTTCATCGTGTCCTCGATGCTAATGCCATCGCTGAACACGCTCTGGTCCCTGTAATACGCGTCCTCGTGCTCGGCGTCGAGATACATGGCCTTGAGCTGGGGGTGATCTTCGAGGTGCAGCGCAAAGGGGTCCCGCCTCGCGCTGGCGCTCCCGCGCGCGCGCGCGTAGAAATCCGCGGGCGGGACCCCCCGCGCCTCGGCGTTCTCGCGCCCGTAGAACTTGAGGTCGCCCTGGGCGTACACGGTCTGCGGCCGCGTGCGCAGCCAGAAGTTCACCAGGTCGAAGTGGTGCGTGCTCTTGTGCACCAGCAGCCCCCCGCTGTTGCGCTTGTCCCGGTGCCACCGCCGGAAGTAGTCCGCGCCGTGCGCCGTGTTGAGCATCCACTCGAAGTGCACGCTGGTCACGGCCCCGACGGCCCCGGACCGCAGCAGCTCGTACACCTTGGTGTTGTGCGGCGCGTACCGGTAGTTGAATGTCACGCGCACCCGGCGGCCCGGGTTGCGCCCGACGGCGTCAAAGATGGCGCGGCACCGCGCCGCGTCGATCGTCATCGGCTTCTCCGTGACTACGTCGCAGCCCAGGTCCAGCGCCCGCGCGATGTACGCGTCGTGCGTCCGGTCGATCGTCGTCACGACGACCTCGTCCGGCCGCGTCTCCCGCACCATGCGCTCGAAGTCGGCGGCCCGGAACGACGGCACCGCGCCGTGGCCCAGCGCCGCGAGCCGCGCGTTCGCGAAGTCCATCCGCGTCTGGTTTGTGTCGCAGATCCCCACGATGCGCGACGTCTGCGCGTAGTCCCGCGCGATCGCCGTGTAGAAGAATATCGCCCGGCCGCCGGTGCCTACGATGGCGTACTTTTTCCGCGGCGGGCGGGGGGGAGCGGTTACGTCGGCCATTATGGATGGGTGCTTCCGGAAAGGTGCTTTAAACGATAGGTCCCGTAATCTTTAGTGCGCGGAAGTTACAGTTTGAGACGGGAGATTTGGGCTGTAAGTGGATGAGTTCAGCGACGATCCGCTAGACAAGCACGAAGTATGGTAGGTATCTCTTGAGGAATTGCTATTCACAACGCCTTTCCTGGTCTTTTTAGACTGGGCGGCTTGATGTCTTACAAGAGAGGGGATGGGTGTCTATCACTTAGGTATTTTACTTGGCAGTTTACTTGGGGCCGTTATCGCTGTCGGGAAAATACACTGCGAAGTATACGGCTCCCGAGTTGGAGAAGGTTGGAGTAATGCTTCCACTACTCTCAAATGACCAAGGAGCTTATAGCTGGCTACCTCTGTCGTATGAGTTTTCACAAGGCGGATATAACCGGTCTAGCTTAAGAAGGAATGCCGTCTAGCGAGCAAAGTACTCTCTTCCCACATGGCTTCTTTTTTTTTCTTTGAAAAAAGGGGACAAGGGTGCTAGGTTAGTCTTCTTCTAGACGTGGTCATCGCGATTCGTCACTGTCTCTTGTTGGTCTCCAGTATATCTGCCGAAGAATATGAATGGGATGTAGCGGGGGTTATCCATCAGCTGGGTTTCTCTTTTTAGCCATAGTCTGGGTTTTGTCTCCGCCTCCACTGGAACTCGCGATGCGGGGGATCTTGGGGTCGAACTAATGCGACCATGGAAAACGCTCCAAGGACGCGTTATTCGTTTTCATTCTCGGTTACCTCTAGTGTAATCCTTTCAAGGAAGCCTTGGTTCTGATATCTACCTGTCGAAAACAGGGCGACACCTGTCTGATCCGAGTAAACCTTCTTGACAGCTATCATGGCGCATAGATACAAGGTAGGTAGATAGGGCTTGATTCTGACGAAGACCAGCTACAGCTTATTGCTTACACGTGGGATCTTATATTTCCACCAATAGCGGGCTGTACCGACCCTTATTATATTTATCGTTTAACATTCGCCATTTTGATATTCATCTCGCTGTTTTATTTCAGTATTCTCTATCGATGAGGCTGTCGTATGTAATATCGGCCTTTATATGTAGCTGCCAGCATCTTTGTAGGTTTCCGTGTACGTTAGATTGAGGTGCTATGACATCTGGTCCACAACCCGGGATAGATATTGACGTCAACCCGATGAAAGCAGTAGATAGCATGTAGTCGGCGTACAGAAGGACGGCACGTGGGGGTATGTAGGTATCCCGGCATCGCTTACAGGCCCAGCCTGTCCGATGTTCCTATACCATGCACCTCCGCAACCCCAACCTGCCTTCTTCCCAGGCGTTTGGAACCACTCTGTATATAAGGGGAGTTATGCTTGACTAGCACCCCTGTCTGGGAAGTGATCATCAGCTTTTAAACCCAGCTATATTCCCCTCTTTTGATTTCCTTGCCTGGTATTTCTTCATGTATATACTGGCTCGTTAAGTTCTCCTAGTTATTCGACCAAGACAATATGGTGGACGACCGGCCGATCCAAGCTTCGGCGACAACGGATGCTACCGACGCCATAACGCCAGCGGCACAGTCGGCTGCGCGCGCTCCGGTTGTCAGCTCGAAAGCAGACAGAGCAGCTCAGTTTATCGCCGAGCATGGCGAGGTCACTTTCACGTACGAGGAGGAGCGCAAAGTCCTACGCCGTATTGACTTGCGGATCCTCCCCTTGATCCTCGGCGCCTACTTCTTCCAGCAGCTGGACAAGTCCTCGCTCTCGTACGTTTCGATCTTCGGCATCATGGAAGACGCCCATCTGAAGTCCATCGAGTATTCCTGGCTTGGGTCCGTCCTGTACCTCGCGCAGCTCATCTTCCAACCCCTTGCGGCTTTTCTGCTGGTGAAGCTTCCCACTGGAAAGGTTGTCGGTACGGCGGTTGTCTGTTGGGTGAGTGATTGGGGACTTTTACTTCTCTTATGTTACCTACTGCGTTTATGCTAAATATCTGTTGTCTGCAGGGCGCATGTGCGGCGATTATGGCGGCATGCACCAATTTCGGCTCGCTCCTCGCCATGCGTTTCCTCCTCGGCTCGTTCGAAGCTATGATCGCTCCGTCGTGCTTAGCCGTCACGCAGATGTGGTGGAGGCGATCCGAGCAGACGCTCCGAGCTTCGTACTGGAACGCGATGAACGGCGTCACGTTCATCGTTGGCAGTTTGGTAACGTATGGTCTCGGCCATGTCGTCAGCACCAAGATCTATCGCTACCAAAGTATTTTTATCTTCTGTGGTGTTCTCACCGTCCTTTTTGGAATCTCCTTCCTTGTGTTCATGCCGGACTCGCCTATGGAGGCCAAGTACCTGAGTGAGCGCGAGCGTAGTATTGCTGTTGAGCGGCTGCGCGCTAATCAGATGGGCGTCGCGAGTCGGCAGTGGAAGTGGGATCATGTTATCGAGACGTTCACAGACTTGAAGACTCTATTGTGGTTCATTCTCATCGTCGCCATCTCAATTGCCAGTGGTGGAATTAGTACCTTTGGAAATCTTATCCTCAAGGACTTCGGCTTTACTAACTTCGACGCGATCCTCTTTAGCATGCCGACGGGAGCTATTCAAGTTGCTATCATCATCGGATCGGCCTGGGTTGCTACCAGGATTAGTCGCAAGGGGGTTGTGATCACGGGGATTAGTTGTCTCCCGACGATTGGATCAATCCTCATGTTGACGGTGCCCCGAAACGGGAAGAACAAAGGAGTTCTCCTGCTGGGCTATTATCTCGTCCAGTGCTTAGGGGCCATTACCCCTATGGTCTATGCCTGGTCGGCTCAGAATACAGGGGGAGACACCAAAAAGAAGACTAGTTCGGCAATGATGTTCATGGGAATGTGCACAGGTCAGTAAGGCGAACAAAGCTTTCGGCTCCTAGCTCTTTCAGCTTAAGCGAAGTGTCTTTACCGTCGGAATTACTTTGTTACATTATCTAACTCTCAATTAGGGAATGTTATTGGACCCCTTTTGTACAACACAAAGGATGCCCCCTTGTACCGCCCCGGTCTTATCGCCAACCTGGTCATGTTTGTCACAGTTGGCGTTCTTGGATTGTAAGCCACTATGATCCCCTCTCCCCTCTCTCAGAGATTGATTGTACTAACTAATGAGGTAGGCTCATTCCAATGTACCTCATGCTACTGAATAGGCGGCACACTAAGAGGAGAGAAGAGCTGGGGAAACAAAGCAATATCATCGACGAATCTATGGTGCGAAGGAAGGATATGCAAGGGAGCAAAACTCTCGAAATTGAGCAGAACGAGCAGGTAATTAGGAACATCGAGGAGGATAACGGCCTGAATGATCTTCCGGATCTGAAAAATGAGGACTTCATTTATGTGTATTAAATCTGCTGGAGATGACTACATACCTGATGGAGATATACCTACCTACGTACCTACGCAGTAATGTTTAGATCCTTCATATGATTTAGCCTTCTGGAGTGAGTGAAAGGGGAAGAAGATGGGGTTCGCAATTGACCCTTTGACATGTTGCATTGAAAATACAATACATAACCTTTTGATGGTGTTCTATCCACGGTAGTCAATGATTATCGCTTACCAACAAGGCCCCCTTTGTCTAGGAAGGTATTTATAAAACCTATTAACAATTATAGTTGAGCGTTAACTCTTAAAGAGAGAACAAAAGGACAACAAGCAACTTTGTATAGGTATAATCCAATTGTATCCAAACATTTCTTTATATTAACCCACAAAGATGCGACTCCTAAATTCGAGTATATCTTATGCCCATACCTCGAAGAGGACACGAGAATACGCCATAGCCTTTCCCGAAACACATTCATTATAACATTCGCAGTATACCAGATTAGACCGCGTGGCAGGCACCACCTTATATATACTAAGGACTTCTCATCTCATTTTAATATTAACACAGCTCACTCAAGCTACAATTCGAAAAGAAGAAAAATACTTACTTCAACTATAAACCGGCTGGTGTACGGTCTTTGTACATATACGCAGAAGATACGTTTTAGTTATACATATAAAAGGAGGAAAACTGAAATAAGCAAAGATGTGTCACGTCCACCTAATACACAAATACGACTGCGGCCACCAGGAGATCTCCCCCGGTACGCAGAAGAGCAGCTTGTGCTTGTTCGACCGGGGGGTATGCAACGCGTCGGACCTGGGGCGGTACCGGGTGTGCCACGTCACGTTAAACAAGTACTGCACGCGGTGCCAGCCCGTGGCCAACAGCATGAGGATGCACGGGGGGCAGTGGAAGAAGGGGGCGGCGGGGCCCGCTGCGACGGTCAACGAGAGGAACAAGCAGCGGAAGCTCGAGAGGGACCTGAAGGCCCAGGCGAAGATGCCGATGCACCTGGACAACGTCGGGCGCGCGCGCCAGCTCAACCTCATGGCCACGCGCAACCTGGAGAAGGTGCTCGAGCGCGAGGACACCTATACCTCCCAGGTCTACGCCGACATCGTCAGGTATATCGCGTCCCTGCCGCGCTGGCTCGACCGCAGGGCCCTGGTAGAGTCGATGCAGCCTTGGTTCGCGCAGCTGTTCGACGAAGATCTGCAGCTTAGCCTGCGTCCTACGCTCAGGTTTATATTTTGCGAAGACATGTTGGATGACTTGATGGTCTGGACGGCTAGAGACGTACGACTAGAGTCTTGAAGGCGTTCTTAGTTATAGTTATGCTTGTTGATGGAAGATATGAGTATATGTAGAAGCAGGGGCACTGGCATAGGCGGTGGATAACATAATTGGGATAGCATAGGAGTTAACTAGGTATTATTATTCTACGGATATAACATAATAATCTATCATATTGATACATTTTTTTGGTTATCTGATGTCTAGATCTTACTGTGAAAGGGCGACTTGATTGAAACTGAATGTCTGGGTTATGCGACAGGTAACTGTGGTATATTAAACGATCCCTTTGCATAGATGCCCAACTAAGGTACGTAATAACAGAGCAGATGCAATTTCCTCAGAGAAACATAACTCTGTGACGTGTTTGAATATCATACACATATGTTCAAAAAGTGTCAGGTTCTGGAAAGTCATTATACACAACGTCTTGGATCCGACCAATACTAATCTACCTCATATTAACCTAGTATAAGTGAGAGTGGGTTCAACTTCGTAAAATCAATGAAATGCGTTTGCAACCTAGTTTAACAACTGTGCAGACAGTAATTAAGGTGATACCATGAAAAGCTACCTTAGGTAGGTAGGTATACATATTATTGTGTGATGGGAATTGCCGCGTACAAAAACAGGATTATAAGATCCAAGAAACCGTACAAACGTGTATATAAGCTTAGGTATTCTATTCGACTGTCTGATCAAAGACTTGGCGGAACAATGTCGCGAACGCGATAACTAACGAGATGGAGCCAGACAAATTTATTTGGATTTTCTATTTCGAGAACTATGCTTTTCAAAGTTCTGCACCAAAAATACCTAGGTATGCATAAAAAACTATCGAAAGCGTAACAATCAATTAGAGAATTGACCATTTGTTGTCTGCTTTGTGCCAGAACAATTTTTGAATTAACAAGCAACATCCGGATGCATCCTGTTTAACTTGAACAAAGGGCAATCCCAAAGTATATAGGTATGCATGTACCCTCGCATGGCATCAACCGCTTGCAGAAAGGAAAGCTAACCAGATTAACAAAACAAAGAAAGCACAAATTTTAAGCAAGCATATTATATTATATGCATTGAGAAAACTGCTGACCCAGTACGGATAATCATATACACCCTACCTTACCCTACCCTACCCTACGTCCGCTAAATTGAAGTTATCACGACTAAGAAAGCAAAAGGTTATTACGAAAAGATAGGGAAAAAAAGACAACCTGGAAATAAGGCTGAAAAGAAATCAAAAATGGCCGCAAGAGACGGAACCGGCCGTGGCGGTCCTGCTACCCGTTCTAGAACTGCAGTACCAGCAGGACCAGCAGGACCAGCAGCTGACGCCGCTCCGGTACCGAAAGTAGAGTTGCCGAGAACCAGCATATTTAGTGTTGAACCGCAGAGGAACGGGAGGATATGGCATGGCACTGCGAAACAAGGGCGTTGGCCTAATAAGAGAAGGACAACGGGTTTCCCCGAGGGGTGGCAGGATAACGAGCAGTTAGTACGGCATTTGGATGCTCTCGAAATAATCCGTGAGTACCTACCTACCTATACACCACTTGATGTGAAGGTTATTTTGCTAACGACCAATAACCAAAAACCAGAGGCTACCAGAACCATGATGGTAACCCCGAGCTGTCTAGACGTCACCCTGGGGCAGTTCCAGACATACCTAGCACCCGTTATTGCCGAAGACGTCAACATCGTGTCAGCGTGCGAAGTAGCTCGCATGGGAGAGGAGGTATTTTGCTGTTCTGAGGATAAGTTTAATACCTGGCTGCGGGATGAATTCGACAAAAAAGACGAACTGAAGCGGACTCTGCAGGGCATACTTCGGAAGCCGTACACCTTCTGGCCGATAGACGCTTGTAACAAGGGCCCACATCGCTGGGTGGTGGCTGTAATCTACTTGAGGCAGAGCTGGGAAGCGACCGAGGACGTGGAAGAAACTTACGACATGCTCCACGAAATTGCCGTCATAGACCCTCAGTCGCATTTGGACGAGCAAAGAACGGCGGACAATGTCGTACTTCCTAGAGTAATTAGCATCTTGGAGATGCTAGGAGTTGAGAATTACAAGGAAATTAAACTGCCTATCGACGTATGGGTCCCTCCCTTGCATGAACCCGACGAAGAGCGCGGAACCGCAGGCGGCACCTGGAGCTCTGGCCTGCGCGTCTTCAGCATCATCAGGGAGATAATCGACCGCATGACGTGGTGCTACAGCAAGCGACCCAAGCGATACGACCACGAAGCTCTGTGGGGGGATCTCAGCGGCTATTTCAATCCCGACCGCGTGCGAACCGAGATGATGGGTCTAGCCGCCATGGCCTGCCACAGGGTTCTCGGATACATAACACGAGTGGGAATAGAGCCCATCAGGCATTATTACTACGGAGAGCTCGAGGTACTTGTAAAGAGTCTGGAACCTGGAAAGCACCCGAGGCACTGGAATTCAAGCGATCCCGGGTATGACGAGAAGAGCCAATATCGGCAGTGGTCTGAGGAGGAAATCCAAGAACGTCTCGTGCAAGCTGGTCGTGTACGCGGCGAGGATGGAAACGAAAGCCAAGTGGGTGGATCGGACGATGACGAAGAGGATGACGATGACCAGGGAGGCTATGATGATGATCAGGGCGGCGATGATGATAATCAGGGAGGTGGTGATGGTGATAAGGATGGCGACGATTCCACGGGAGTTGACCGGGGAGGCGATGATGGCCCCGACGAAGATGACGACGGTAGTGGCGGCGATGGAACGTTTGATACTACCGGTACTGGTACTGGCGTTGGTGATTCTACTCAGGATCCCTCTGGAGATACTACAGGTGATGTATCCGGGGAGACCACTGGGGAACCGTCCGGAGGGACTACGGATGATGCAGCCGGCCCCCTCTCACCAATAAAAGAGCAGACGGAACCTTTCACGGACCAGCCCGGAGACACTTCTACCCCCGACCGTCCTATCACGCATGAAGATACCCTAAGGGAGCGTGACGCGCTAGGGGAGACATATAGCAGCCCTGTTGTTCCACCCGGTTCCGCCAAAGATTCCTCCGTCGTAAGCCCCCTAGATGACGACGGCACGATCATAAAAGGCACAGGCCGGGGCAGATCGGATGGCGGCGGGACAAGGTACGTGCACTATCACGGCACGCCGACTCCCGTGCCCCACGGTCAGGATGTCCCCGGCCCGAGCTCTTCCACCGACCACGACGCGAGCGAGAGCATCCCGCAGGACTCGCAACTTCCAGACTACGAGTCGTCGTCCGACAACTCCGACATCGAGTTGGCTCGCAAGAGGAAGGCGGGCGAGACGCCGGGGCCCGATAAAAAGAGAGCCAGGACGTAAAGAGAGGACGGAAGCGGAAATGGGTTTCCCCGAGCTCTTGGATGGGGATTGACGTGATCACGACGCCGAGTTCTACAGGTTATTATCGTTACTCCAGGTATAGGAGCGAATAAAGGGGAGGGAGGGATTAGGCATGAGCTCAGGTTGATTCGATTGAGCTTTTTTTTTAAAAAAATGTAACTTTAGTTATATTCAACCCAGTACATACATAGGCGGAGCCATGGATGTTTCTATTCGCCTCTTTTTGTTATTTGCAATCGAGGGAGTTGAGGTTTTTTTTTAGCAGGTATTAGTTATACCAAATACGAAAGTTGAAATAACTTCAACGTTGCTGACCCGCATGCACCTCGATGGACCCTATGGATACCCCCTATACCATTAAGGTATGTGTATGAGATGCGCTTAGTAATTATGCAATCTTATGATGATACTACCTAGGTAAGTACTTGCTCAATTGTTGAGGAAGTGCTCTTACCTTAGACTAAGTGCGTTCTTTGGCTGTTATAGTTCGCGCCTGCCTCCTCAGAGAAAAATATCACTTGTGTCGGCGGCGTTTGTGGAACATGTTGTATGAGTAATTTGCTCAAATGGAAATTTGGAAGCTACTCTGGGCAAGTTTATTACATACGCTCCTCCCTAAGCCACGCGCACCTGCGCTCTAGGTACGTATAAGAGAAATGTATAACCTGGAACCAATTCATTCTTTCGTCTGCAACCGGGTTTCATATCTTCTCTTCCATTCAGTTTAGTCAATCTCCTTTTCAATCTTCCATTATCCCTTCGCCGTCCACACCAACACAGTCCGCAAAAAGAGAGAGTCATACTCACAAATCCTACTATGAAGGTTATCATCTCACTTCTTGTCGGCGCCTTGGGTGCCGTTAGCGCTGCAGTTGCTGGTGTGAAAGATGTGACATTGGTAACCTCCCCGTCCGTGCTATATCTAGTTACTAGTAACGGCTCGTGCTAACGGTTTAACCTATAAAGGACGAGGTTGGTGATCTCAACACCTCCTTCCCTCTCCCTCCGGGATACACTGCTGTTCCCTTTTCCATGGACCTTGTTCTTGAGCCCGGCGGTGAGCCGATGACTTTCAATGGTACGGTCACGGTAAGCTATGCCAATCTGAAGGATGTGATCCATACGTGGCATCTAATGAACTGCAGGAAATCCTTGCACAGGTCCAGAGTATCAAGCCTGACTTCACCTGGGAGAACTCTGGGTCTGCCACAACCTCAGTCGAGGAGAGATCCAAGTTCAAGCGAAGCAAGGTAAGCACTCATGATAACATAAGGCAAGCATATGGTACTAATTGACCTATTACTAGTCGAAAATCCTTTGCAACATCCCCGGCTATTCTGTTGGTCTGCGATGGGCAGTTTTGAAAGGTTACGACTACTTAAAGAACCTCCACCAACCTTGCAAAGTTGATGCTGGTCCCAGGAAGTGCTCTGTAATCTATTGTGAGGCCGGCACTTCGATTTGGATGTGCAATGACAACACGACCCCTATCAGCCGAGACTGCGACTACATCGCCACTTACGCCTTAGACATCATTGCTGCCGAAAATTGCCAGACCCCGGGACCCACGGGAGCCGGGGTTTGGACTAATGGGCAGGAGTTCGACACTGATAATTTTAACGTCATTGCTGCTGGTGGTGGTTGCAATTGAGCTTCACTTGAACCAGGCTGTATAGATGCAAGTGGTTAAAATCTTCTCTGCGGTATTACCGCACTGGACTCATTCTTTTGGTATCCGTTGCCAGAAGTCAGATCTGAGACGACGACTAATTGTTAAAGGGGCGAGCAAGTTACTGTTAGAGACCCTGAATGATTTTATTCATGTATGCTAATACTTTTACCTGCCTAGCTACTGTCGCCTACGACTTGCCTTAGAGGAGTGTATCCCAAAAATATAGACTTTACCTACCAAGAGACCACCCCTTTTTTTCAAAGTATTGCGAAGCAATAGCCTACTACGTACAGCATAGGGGTACTTGCGTGGGTTTCCTTCGATCACTAAACGTAGCATGTCTGGGTCCGAGCTTCACCACATCGCAGTCTCAAGGAAGCGCTGGTGGAAAACGATGTGTGACGCTTGTGAAAGAACTGAATAAAGAAGACATGATGCGATTTAACAATTGGGAAATTCCAAGTTTATTGTTCCAGGAGATATTTCGGTACGAAAACATCAATCCAACTAGCTTTGACCGTGTGTATACTTACAAGTGCCTTTCTTTGTTCAGATTGCTGGGGTATTTTGGAAAGACTTTGTGGAGTCATTGTCTATTTCCCCCTCAGATTGGGTATTACTCAGCACTCAACACTCGAGAGGACGAGGCTCATTACGCGTCCGGTCATGAGAATACCTTGAAATGCCATTGGTGTATCTAGCCCAGGTCCATCAGGGTTTACGAACACCATTCGCAAATATGACTGTTTGGCACTGACCCTCCATGCTGCGATACGATAGAGGACAGCTAGTCATCGATAAGCCAAGTGGCGTGACCAGATGAATATGCGTGTAGGTAGCACAGCGGCAACAAGCGCGTTACCTAGCAACGGGGACAACGGATAAAGGGGAATAAATCTCTTTAGCTGAAGCACATGCATACCTACGGGCATACGTAGGTACCTACCTAGGTATCCTAACCTATGTAGGTGGGGATTGGAACTTTGGCTCCCGGTGCCAGCTACGTACGAGGAGAGAGAGGTATTTCTCCGTACTGAGGACACAACGGGTGAGTTTAATCTCCGACGGAAGGATCCTGACCATGTGGAATGCGCCGGTTCGCTTGGACTAATGCGGTGGTACTGTGTAAGTAGGTAGCCTGCGCGGATGGATAGCTGCTTGGCGATGCGGCTCGGTGCGCCCCCCCAGGCCGTGCGACGCTGCTGAGGGAAGAGGTACAATATCTGCCTGCATCTTTCCCTGGGTACCTACCACCCAAATCAGTACCAGCGGGTAGGCCAGACCGATGCCCAGACATGAGGTCGTAACGTTCCAGAATGCTTCCATGCTTGTCTCTCGGCGTCGCCTTTACCTAGATGAACAGGGGGGTACGTAGAGGAGGACGAGCAGAAACGCGTCAATCATTTTTTTTAAGAAAAAAAGAGAAACAGGTACCTACATACCTGGTACCTAAAACTGGCGCAACAATCTTGTTGGTGGAAAGAGTGCCTAAAGTGCCTGGCCTAGACTTCGTGGTGACGTTCCCTATGCCGATATGATCTGCCGGATGTGGTTCCGCTGGATACAGACAGCACCAGATGTAACGGGCGTGCCGACATCAGTTCATGTACGCGCGTAAAGACTTACGCCCTGGATGTATGGTGGTGGTATCGTAGATAGGTAGGCTAGGTGTTGAAAGGCGTACGCGAGATTTAGCCTGGGTGAAAGTGGTGGTTACTCAAGCGGTTGGTTGTGTTCAAATCGTTGTGTTGTGATAAGTTGTTGCTGTTGTTGTTGTGTTATCGTCGGCGCAGAGCCTCAATTTTACATGTGGACGTATTTGTTAATGGATCGTGTTGGTTGCATATATTCAATAGAGCAATATTTAATAGAACAATAACACCCTCAGGCAAGTCAACTCCATCCACGTGACCGCTTACGTACACGGTTAGTGCCTAAGGCTTAGGCTTCACTTTCACTGCCTCATTGCCTCATTCCCTCATCATCTCATCTTGTCAATTTTGTCGTTTCATCCATCAGCCATTTAAGGTGACTCGGTTTTTTTTTCTCACATAAAAATAATATGTACATATTTCCTACTAGTTTCGTCTTATCTACCTCTATAAGCCGTTAGTTATTTTTATTAGAATACAGTATTCAGTTTCAAACTTCAAACTCTCTTCAATATGGCGTCAGCCCCGAAATGGCACCCGTTACCGATATTTCCTCATCTTCCTGCTCTCATGATTTCTTTACAGTATACTTCTTCGTCGTACACCCTTCACGTCACCGATCTAGCCAATGTCTGGGTAGAGAGCCTTGACAGAAAAGGTATAATATTGCGAAGCCTGCAGGAGAACACAAGCATAGATCTGAGCGACGGCGATCCTAACCAGTGGACCGTCTTTTTCTCTAAGCTTGACGCAGCTTTCGACCCCGCGTCACCAGATCACCATACTACCAGCCTTAGTTTATCCGCCTCTACCGTAGGTACCACGTCTGGGGGCGGTCTGGCTCTTTACGTCACCTGCGTCCTATCCGAACCTCTCAACCCGCTGAAGTGGCCCGTCTATTTGACGAAATGTCCACCCGTTGGCCTCGCCTCTGAGCTTGTCTTACCTCTCATCCAAGCCCATCATGCACGTACGCTGGAGGTCCGAGACCTCATAACGAGGCTCAAGGAAAAGGATGCTGTCATCACGAAGCTAGTCGACAAGCTAGAGGCCAACAAGGTCGGGTTGGAGCACGTCTTTAATTCGCTGTCTACCAAGCGCAAGCAATCCCGGGCGACTGTCGAAGAGAAGGTCAAAGGTCTGGCACCTTTCAATGAATCAGACTGGAGGTCGAGTGTCACCACGAGCCGGGAGCTTCCCCGGGATCTGCCGTCCCTGATTCAGGAGGTCTTCGCGGAAACAGGGTTACATAGCAGTGTGAACGGAGATATTTCACCATCTAGTCAGCTTAATGACTGGTGGACCAAACTGGGTTCGAAACCGACCACTGCTACCAAACCCCCGCCGAAGGAAGCCACTAGGCAGCTACGGGAGACAACTCCGCCGGATACTAGGACGACTGAAGGAAGAGATGATGACGACTTCCAAGTGCAGGCTACCCCACCTCATCTGCAGTCCATTAGGCGAAAATATGACTATTCTAAGGCTACTGGTGATACAACGGACGATGACGATAGCCCAGTAGCGATTCCCGATAGTCATCCCACAGTGGCTCGGGACAATCTTCGCTCCCGCATCGGTTCTGTCGGTGGGAAGAAGCTAGCCAACGACAACTCAGCTAGCCAGTCTTCTCGTACTGTCCCTATCGACGATGATGAGACTCCCTCAGAATCTGACGCAGAGCCGGTACTACCAGAGCCCCCAAAGCGGAATAATGCCCGGATAGGAACCATTGGTAAATCTAGAGAGCCGTCATCTCCACCAAAGGCATCATCTGTACCACCATCATCACTACCACCACAACCACCAAAGGACGGAGATGAAACAGCATCTGGCTCGGATCCTGAGGATGACGCCGGACCATCCAAAGCCCGGTCTTCCTCGCCTGTCCCTACTGAGAGGAAGAGGGTCGGGCTGGGTCGAATAGGCGGGAAGCCTAAGACTCGAGTGACACCGGAGCCTCCTGAGGAACCGAACGTGACATCCCCCCGGATAAGAAGTCCTCAAGCTGCTACGAGCCCTGGCAGGCCTGCGAGTCGAAGGATTGGAACCATCGGGACGAGAGCTGATGCGGATGGCAAGAGATACCGACCATCGTCTCCCGTACCCGCACCAGAACCTGAAACGGAAGAGCAGAGGGCAGAGCGCAGGCGGGCGGAACTAGCGAAGGAACTTGAACGGAAAGCTGCTGCACCGACAAAGAAGAAGAGAAAATTCTAATTCGCCTTGCGAACTGATACCGTTCTGAATGGATATCCATAGTGGTATCTCGCTAAGATTGGATCGGACATACCCAGACGACACTACACATCAGACATTCAGGGCCTCCCGACTGCTCTCCTCAGAACGTATATTATGTTACGACTCCATTGTTAACTATCACTATACCCCTGTATATAACTGCATTATACCCGATTCAAACCGCTAAGAGGATCGCGACTACTGCCTTAAGTTTTTTCTTTTCTGGACCCAAAGGAAGCGGTCGACTTGTAGTTATCTCGTAAATCTTTCCCAAGGCGGACTGGTACACATAAAGAGAGCAAGGGAGACACGAAGTCAAACCAAGTTTGTGATAGAGTTGTACAGGTGAAGAATTAGGTAAGAAACTATCTACTAAACTACCGTTCTATGGATCAAGAGGTAGTATACCGATCCGTATACTCGGTATCATCGCCCATCCCTCGACTAAATATAGACAACCCAGCCTTCTCGTTCGACGCGGAATAGGACCTATAGAGATTATAGTGGAAAGAGAAGAGAAATCTTCTAGGTAATAGGTATAGGCATAGTAGTCTGCGACTAGACGCTATACCAGTTCAAGGAGGTCAAATTGGCCAATAAGTATTATTAAATAGGCGTACGCGTATGCGGTCTGTGGTTTAGGTACGTTTTAGATATATACTAGCCTGTCCCACTTCAATACCGGTGTGTACGCAAGATGAAAATCTACAAGTAAGGGGAATGGGGATATAATCCCCCGCGAAAATACGAGAATAGGGTATAGTCTCTTTCGATGGCAACTTGGCGAAAATAAGCCTTTCATTTCCTAAAGAGATTCTTCGGGACGCCCTTACTAGTAACCCACTAGTTAGGCGTTATACCTATCCTACAGTACAGTATATTATGTATAGTATGTATTGTATGTAGGTATGTATGACGGTGACCGCGACTAGGTACCTCGTAGTCTATTTTATCCCCGCAAGTCTTTTCTTCTTTGCCGTTGAGAGGTAACCGGCGTTCACATATGTTGCTTTACGTCTCACAGTATTATTGCCTTACGTAGAGGGCTATCATGGGGTAGATGGGGGGGTACTGTGGGAAAAAATCAGGATATCCCATGCGATTGTGAGCGGATACCGATGGTAAACATCGCAGCTCCTGCCGTCGATCATCCATGTAACAAGCGGACTAACTATCTGCCTCATGTACCTGGGTGGGCAGTTAGTCGTTCTGCCAAACTCGATGCAGATTTCTTTCGATGAACTGCAATAGGTTAGGCCAGGATATAGGTACCTATCTAAACTTAGGGTAGGGTAGGGTAGGTGGAGATATTGTACATCTGCCAAAACCCATCGGTACTTCGACAACCTGGTACGGGTCGATTGGACGAAGTAGCAGCCATGTACTAATACTACTTACTCCCCTTCACGAAGAAGTTGAGGGAAATTGAGGCCTCTAGACTGAGAGGGGATTAGTCGACGTTGCACGAAACTGACCAGGTCCGTCTTGAATGACAGGATCCATACCTACACACTAACACTAACACTAACCTGAGGCAGCTAAGGTAAGGTAAAGTAAGTGATAGGTATTGTACAGGACATATCTCTATATGGTGCGTAAAAGGATGGGCATGGGAAAGCTATACAGATGCTGAACTAACAGAGACCGAGAGAGATGGGAAGAGGAAGAGAAGGTAAGGTGTTGCACGCAACCCTGCCTCTGACCGGAAAACCTCGTTCCGCTCGCGTCTCTTCTCCCTATCAGTTTCCAGGAAAATAAAAAAATAGCAATAACTTCTGCTCTAGCTAACCTATCTACTGTAGAGGCTTGGTGTTAGGGTGGCATTGCCATCTCAGAAACTTTCGGCATCTATTAAGCCACCTACCTAACCTACCTGCTACATGTACCTGGTATGCATTGGGTATGCATGTACGCGTCCGTAGGCTCTAGTTTAGGTATGTATGTATGTATGTATGTATGCATGTATGTGCGACAAAGTAACGAGATCACCCCCATCCTAAGCTCGTTGCGCGCTTGAATGGGGGAGGGGGGGCGCAATGCAAGAGCTACGCGCTGTCAAAATCGCGCACGGGTTGGGACTGGGGCTGGGCTGGGGAAACGATGACTACCTAACCTAAGGTACCAGGTAACCTAGGCCCTATAAGAGGAGTCCCGCGCGACGTTTTCCCGGTTTATCCCAAGGCTAATTTGGGGCTGTTTTGAGAGCCGAGCATGTATGTAGATGGCGATCTGAACACCCCCCCTATCCCTACTGTTAGATACTTAGCCCGTAGGGTATGGCTTCCCAGTCGGTGGACGTAGGTAACGTTGGGCATTAGCTTGACGACTCACGAGATGCTTTGCTGAGAAGAAGGTTCCCTGTCGTAGGTAAAGGTAAGTAAGTATAAGAAACCTCGAATAGATACTTGAGACCGGGCAATGGCGACCGTTTCCTGCTGGTGGGTCGGTACATCTGCCGATGGTGCACAGGAACGGTTGTCCTTATGGGCACCATTATATTAACTGGAGGTTCTGGTCTAGATTTACAAGCGCAGTACGTGCGTATGTAAGTGGGTAACAGCGACGATGGCGATGGACTCTATTCACGGAAACCCACAATTTGGTGATCATGCCTTCTGCTTAACTTGTCTATGCGTTTACAAGAGTGGTATGACTAGTAGTATCGGGTGGTGGTTACAAAAGTCGGTCCCGGAATAGAGATACTTCTCGCCGTAGGTACCTAGTCAACGGGTGTTCTTCTAGTTACGAGTCTATTATCATGCTCAGGGGTCCCTAACGGTTAGTTAGACGCTAATTATGGCCCTGAAATCTCCAACAGAGTGAGGCATGCGAAGCCTGTCCCAGTTCCCCCATGAGCCGCCAGGTCGGCCCTTTTAGTACCTTACCATATACATGCCACCAGACACCTCCTTACATAAGGGCGTAATTAGTACATAGAGAGGGGACCACCGAGAAGCTTTTGCCAGGAACCCCAGGTGAGAGAGAAGGCAGTTGGCAGTCAGCCCTTCGCTAGACGCTGCTCCGTAGACGCTGCTTCGTGCAACTTGCCTCAAGGCTACACTCGAAGCACTACTGAGCCACCCCACGCGGCCCCTCAGACAGGCTATTTCACGTCCCTCCCAGGGACCCAATTACTAGGCTTAGTGGGAGGTGCAAAAGAGCGAGGAGACGAGTAAGCCTTTTACGTTAGGTAACAGAGACGAATCAGGGTTTCTACCAGAGAATTTTTCGGCACATATAGACGAGGCTAGTCACACATGTCATGGACATAACATGACTTGATCTTCTGCGCTCCTACTTCAAGTTGCTACACCGCAGATTGGATGGGTTATTAGAATGCAGAAACAAGATAATAAGCCTCTACCAACATATGTCTGCTTGGGTTTCGCCAGGGACCAGCAGAAGTGGATTGTTGGGACAAGGCAAATGGATAGGAACAATGGTAACATACAGACGGTGATAGGCGCGGGTTTACCTAGCGCTCAAGGAATATTGCCAGAATAGATATTACGATGATACTGGGTATAGGTACCTAAGATTACAAAGGCGATTAACCTATGTGTATATCAGGTAGACATCTACAGAGAACCATGAATGTCATTACATTAACATACCTAGCTAAGTACGTGGTTTTGGAAGTTGTTGGTGATAGTATCGCAGATAAAGCCTTGGATACCTACCTACCTTAGCCCAGTTCTGCGCGAAGAACATTGAAGTATCAACACCTACTTTGCCTCTATTGTGGAAGAACCCGTTCCGTGCCATAGCGAATAGGACACAAGGCGTATCCAGCATCGGCTAACACGTCAGTGCGAAAGCCACCTCGTGTTCTGTCGGGTTGACTTGCCAATCCGATAGCAGGATGTTAAACAGTGAAGCACAGGACCTTGATGGTCGTCTAAGTAAGGCGAACATCTCGATGCATGGAGTTATACGCACAGCCCTAGAGCTAGCTTTCAGTGTTGGGATCACTTGGCTATATTTACCGCGTTAGTTTCAAGCTAAGACGTCGTAACATTAGGTAGGGAAAGCAGGCCATCTACGTTGGGAACGCTACTAGAGGCAAGTATGCATAGCGAAATATGCCTAGGTGTCGCCAGTGATCGGACAATATACTGAAAAGCTTACTTTTATTCGCATATTTGAGCTTTGAAGTTTTACTTTTAGCTTCGGGACGCTGTAAATCAGTCACGGACCGTCCCTAAAGCATTCTTAGCCGTATACCTGCGGATACACCACTGCGCAAGGCATTCTGAATTGATGTCTAGCCCAAATTACCTGAACAAGTAAACATGAAATTAAACTTAATATAGTCCGGGTTATATTTCTACCTAGGTAGGTAGCCACTTATTTGTGTTGAAATAGGGCGATATGGACTTCACTCTCCGTAAGAATAGGAGATAGACAGGAGAACCAAGGGATCACAGAACACTTGGTCATAGCCAACCCTAGGGTTCATCATGCAATAACACTACTATACTATAACTAACCATTCGTCCTCGTCACCCTTGAATCGCACATGAACATGTATAGGTCGGTGCCTCGCGCATTAGTGGTGATTTCGTAGGGGTAGCCAAGGTAGCACGCGCCTATTAGTTCCTTTCGCGTCTCTGGCTAGTGCTTCTCATATCTCCCCTACAGCACCGAGGGACCTACCCGCTGCAGAAGAAGAGGAAAAAGAAGCGCTAGGGATCGTGGAAGGGGAGTAGTTATGCGGTTATATATGTAGCACTAGAGTTAACGGCCCGACTTGATGGTCGAGTTACCTACCTTTTGATTTAGGATACAGCAGCCAACACTAGCAGTTTACATACCCGGCAGAAACTAGCGGTGGTATTTTATTGAACATCGTGGTACCTACGAGCCTGGCCCTATATCGTCGTCGATTGAGACTGTCGTCAAAGTTAGGCACCTAAGATTAGGTAGGTAGGTAGGTATACTAAACGAATAAGAGATCGATTGATCGAAACTTAACTTGAAGCTATAGGTATAGTAGACTTAAATCCTCAAAATCTGATGTTATAAAATCTTACTGTGTCTTAACTCGGTACCGTAGACAATGGAGACGCGATGCTGTTTGAGGAAGTAGATGTGTGGGAAACTGGGTTTTTGAGCCCGTATCGAGGAAGCCAAGAACCCCTAAAAGACAGCCACCTAGCTGAAGAGCACCCATCGGACAGGTCGTCTGAGGCAGAGTACAAGCGACCAAAAAATGAGGGCAGCGAACCCAAAACTAAAGGGAGAAGGGGGGAAAACCGTTCCCAGCTGTGGTACGTCGAACGGGCCACGACAGATGTCATCGAGAATTGAGGTTACATTAGCGATCGCGGAATTATGGAATTATACATTGCAAGACAGGTTGTCGCTAAGTGCAACAAGTGTAATATCACCATCTGACTAGGAATACATGA